TCACTGGAAACGTTTCATCTTTCATCAAAGTTTCCAATCAAAGTTTCCAATTGAAAATTGCTTTTCATAAGCAAAATTTTTCCATTTTTTAAATTATCAAAGACAATTGAAATTTGATAGTAAATCATCAACTTTTATCGACTCTAACAAGACTATCATGAACTTGATTATTCCGAGTTTATACCAGAATTGAAGGTCATTTCCGGATGCTAAAGCTAATTGAAATGAAATTTAATTTAATTTTGGATAAAAATTCAAGTTTAATATTAAACTTGCGAGTTGAGATTTTTGTATGAAAAAGTTTTCTTATTCAAGTTCAATTTTGTTATTACATTTGAAAATTTTGATTCCTTTTTTGGCAAACTTTTCAGTTGAAGTTAACACAAAGTAGCGACAAGTTGCCAAAATTGCATCTCAAATGTAAACCTCTTTTCATGATTACAATGGTAATTTGGTTGAACTTTGTAATTACGTTACAATGAAAGTGGCAAATAACAATTTGTAAAGAAACTCAACTTGAAAAGTAAATTGTAAACCTCAAGAATTGGTGATTTCTTGGTTATCGTGAATGTACACCAATTTACCAGCCACTTAACATCATGCCTTTAAAGTTTCATTTTTGCATGAAAAACACTTGAATGTCCATTTCAGCTGAATCTTGAATCATTGTCACTGTAACAATACAAAATGTAGACTATTTCATGTTACAGTTTCCTATCATTTTGATAAATTTAAATACTTTTAGCATAAATGAAAATTGTTGCTGAAAAGGTTCCAGAGTTCATTTTAAATCTAGATTAATGTTGAAATGGTTAAGATGATTAGATTGAATCGTTTAATCTTTTCCAATCTTTTTCATCAAATCAAATTCCAACTCCATGAGCTGAATTGAGGAAACCAGCAAAGAAAAAAGTTGTAAAATCTTCTCTCATTTGATTGAAAAAGACATTTGAAAATATGAAATTCAAAATTGAAAAGGGTTTCCATGAAAAACAGTTATCATAATGATGTATACTTTTTACACCATTTCATGATAATTAAGGATAGAGTTGAAAAGTTTCTCACAATTCTCAATGTCAGGTGAATTATTAATTGTTTGGTGAAAACTTTTTTTATATAAATATTGCAACTTTATCAAAATTCATATTGAATGATGAACCTTGATTTTAAGGTAAGAAAAGGTTGAAAGAAGATTGAATTTGATGAACTTTTCATGGTTAAGCGCGAAACAAACTGTTCAATTGTTATTGTGTAATTATGTTTACCATTATCATTATCATGGTGATGATTATCATGATTATAACTATTAATGATTACATTACAGTATTCGTATTACATGATGGATAAAACAAGACAAAGTTTCAATAAATGTTCTCAGTGTTGAGGCCATTTCCAAGTCGATCACGACTCGCAATGTTGATCGAAAAGTTATTTATATTCAACATTTAACCTTACATGAGAGCTCTTCCTATTTCATGTCTTTGTTCATTTAAGGCCAACTTGAGCACGCTTTCATGCTCTTTTACCCATTCCTTTATCTCAAGAAAAGAACCTCAATTTTATTCTTAATTCTGTATCATAGCACGTTGTTTAAACATGTAATAATTTCTCAGATTCTGATGGTGAGTCTCTTGAATCTTGTTTCCTGGTTTCAGCGTTACAGTTATAATTTACTGATCTTTTTGGCTTCATTATTATACGCAATTGTTGTTGATGCTCTTTCGTTTTAATCATTATAATCATAACGTTAATAATGGCAATAAAAAAAGGCTTGATTATCAGTCCATTACCATTGCTATTTTTACCTGGTTAACGGTTAACTCTTGCTTTCGAGTTACATTCACAATTGTTATCATTGTTAATGTTGCTATTCATATTGTTATCATTAAAATCTGCATTCTAACCATTTGCTGAATTTCATTTACTTTCTTGGTTCCATTCTTGGTTTCATTGTTGATAACTTCTCAGGTAAAGGTTAAAATTTTGTTAAGATGCTTTAAATTGTTCATTAAATTAATGAACCAGTTTTTTTGTCTGCTCTATTGTGTGTTATTAGGAAGCTGGTTTGGGTTGAAAAAGTAAAACAAAAAAGTAATCTTGGATTAATTGTTCAGTCAATTGTCTGGACATTTTAGGAATGAAAATTGACTTTTGTTACTTCTGGTCATTTGAGTTGTTCAGAGATAATTTTTGGTAATTGAAACAATTGGAAAAGTAAACTTTGTCCTAGTGATTAGATGAAAGAGGGAAAGACTGACCAATGATTAGTTAATCATTTGTTAATGATACACTTGCTAGTTTATTCGTGATCTGTTAATTTTTCTTCAGGGTTTACTTGATGCTTTAAACCATTAATAGTGATTTAGGGGAAATAATAATGAACTAGGAAATGATTACAGGAATATTAAGTTTTCATTAATCGACTGTTCATTTCATGATTCAAAATAAAGTGAAACATTTTCTCAGACTCACAGGTTTTCATGTAATAAAATTTAATATTCATTTGACTATTTTGATTGTAACAACAAAATTTGATTTCAAGACTACAGTAGTCAAAATAAAAGTCTGTTTTCTCAGGCTTACATGAAAGGTTCACTATCATCGTTTAGCGTTATTAATGTGACAAAAAGTTGATAAAACTGTAGACACGAACGTTTGAAAAGGTTGTAAATTTGATGGCTAAAGTTGATTGAAACAAATAGTCAAGTTGACCAAAAATGCCATTTTCCCAGACTTTCAAGTTTACCTAAAAATTAAACTTGATATCAATCATTGGCTTTATTGTGACAAGAAACTGATGAAATGTATGCTTCTATCGAAACAAATGAATCCTAACATTCATGGCTCATGAACAGACAGCATGTGAGGCTTTTGAAAAGCTTAAAATTTAAATAATGTTGAGGTTGACAAAAAGCCAAGATTGTGACAGCACTGTTGCTACAAAAATTGAACAAGTTTAAAACAAAAGGTGGGTAAAATTTTGAGCCCAAAATGTTTGCATCTCAAGTCTGTTACCTGTTTATGACCATTGCAATCTGTTGCCATCTGTATTGTCTTCATGTTTGATAAGCACTGTGTTACCTCGACCGTCAACTACAAATAATTTTTGTATCTTTCGCACGATTCTCACCGCTCTTCTCAATTAAGGTAATTAACTAATTGTGACTTGTTCATTTTAATTCCCTATGTGTACCTCTCACTTACCTGATGTATTATTACACTGGTGCTCTTTTGTGTTACTCAAGTGAACATGAACAGGTTAATAGCAGTTTCAATTTTGCTTTTTGTTTCAAACGTTAGTCAAACTCAGTGAAAACCAGTGTGTTTCTGGTATTGTTTTACCTAAAGTTACCTTGAAATAATCATATCATTAGTATTATTAAATTAACCTTCTCACCGTTGCTTAGCCATTATCATTACACATTTCAACAGGTTCAATGAGATTTACACATTTATTAACCTTTTTATTTACCTTCATATTTAGTTTCAATTTTCATCTCTTTATTATCCACTCCTTCAGTTAATTTCATAAATAATTTGTAATCAGTTTAATCTAGCAATTAACCGGTGAACAAAACAAAGGCCGATTCCTTTGGCTACCTTTTTATCATTTGTTTTAATTTACAATTGACTTCCATTTGAACCCAAAATTTATTTTTAACCAGAAAAGTTAACCCAAAGTGATTGATATTTTTGTTAACCTTAACAAATTGCTTTATAAATCAATTACCGGTTTGGTCAACGTTTCATGTTGTAATAATATTTACTTAAACCAATGGTTATATGATGGTCTAATTGATGATCTTGATGACCTTATGACCGGTTTTACATTTCCGCATCTCTTTACCGGTTTTTATTGTTACTATTATTGTTATTAGCTTAAGGCTACTTATTTAACAAGGATAAACAATTAAATTGTAAATTCCTATCAAGATTAAATTATTTGGTTAAAATTGATTAACATTGCCTTCTGAATCCATCAAAAGGAAATCAAAAAATCAATCAATTCTCTATCAAGTAATTGTTAACTATAAAATGAATCTTAAATCACAGTGTAATACTGTTTTCATATGATTTACAATTTGAATCATTTTCATTTATTTTATCATCTAAAAGGGTCAAGTTTACAATATAAAAATGGTTAAGGATTTAACTGTAATTGTTAGGAGTTGTCAATTGAAATGTAATAAAAGATTCAAATGTTAGCATGACAATGATGTAAACAATGAATATTGTTGATGATATGGATGATGATGATGATGTGGTTGTTGATTGTAATCATTTTGTAACAATAAATGCAAAAGTATAAATTAAAAGGTTGAAAAATGTGATTCAACCGCCCTTAAGATCAACTTTGAAACATTCAAGTTGAAAATTACAATAAACCCGGACATCAGCTGGTGTTTAAATGTTGTTTAAATCAAGGTTAAATTGTTAGACTTAACCATGTTTTAATTGTTAATTTGATTCAATCAATGGATCAAGTGCACTGGAAATACTTTCAATATTGAAATTGATTGAAGCCTGAATACATTGTTAATGGACTTGAAAACATTGCCTATTGTAACCTTTTGTTTTGTAAATTGACTTTCTTACAATTAACAAAAACAACAACATTAATCAATGTTGACCATTTTTAATGATTATGTTTCAGTTTGCACTCATTCAATCAAAATCATAGTCTATTGAAATCAAAGCAAACACCCAATAGTGTTTCATGTTGCTTGCTCATTGTCATTGGACTTGCCAAATTGACCTTCAATTGAGGCCAATTTTAATAATTTTTGATAACATTTTTTTTATGCTTTCATTTTTGATCCAATTGTAGTTTGGTTGATCAACATGTTATTATGCAAGTGATTTGTAAATGACCAAAATTTGATCTCAATTTAGATTTACATTTCAATGTTTAACCAATCAACTGTGAAGGAATTGTTGAATTGTTCAATTTTCACTGCTTTTGCCAATTATTTAATCATCCAATTTTTTTCATCTCTCAGACGGTAAACCATGTCCCAATCCAGCTGTACCTTTGTACGCACAAGTTAACCTTTCCGATGATCTTCAACCTGGCTCAAAAGCTACTTACACTTGTGATGATGGATACGAATTGTTTGGTCCATCGGTTCGTACATGTAACTTTGATGGTAAATGGACAGAGGACTTGCCTTATTGTGGTAAGTTGAATAAGGAAAAATAGATTCTGGATTGATCTAAAAACATAAAACGTTTTGTTGTCAAGTTATCAAAATTAACAATAAAGTGAATATCAATGAAATTGAAATTAGTAAAAACAATTACACTCTAATATCTAGATCAGTATTGTGTCAATTTGTTGTAAAGTGAATGAGAATCGGTAACAATTGATTGTAATCAGTATTTACTGACCAAAGCTGTTAATTGTTTAGGATTGCAGTTTAATATTAAATGATCTGAGTTGAAGGTTTGACCTCAAGTTTACATAAAAAGCTTTCACTTGCATCTTGATAAACATTTTAAACACGTTATTTTGTTCGTGTCTTTCAATATGTATTTTGTTTGCGTGTTTGGTACTTGTTGAGTGTCATAATGTAAGGACAAGTGATTGACTAAAGAGAGAGAAAAATAATCAAAAATTGTAAATAATTTGGGGGATAATTTAATGTTGAAAGTGATCAAAGAGTGGGAATATAAATGAATGTTTAAATGTATTTGACTCTTGATTTGAAACCTTTTCAGGCACTAAAGTCAATTGATATACAAAAAGGTCAAAATAAATGAATTCAACATTAATCCATCAGTTGATCGTAATAATTATTATAGTTGATGAAGAGATCAATAAACACATTTGTTGCGACTTTCAATATCAAATTGGTTTACCTTTAGAGTTTGATTCTTGATTTGTTTTCTGGTTCATTATTTGTTGGTAACATTATTAATTGTTTACATTTTTTACTCTATTATAGCCGTTAATGTAGCTTATGGTAAACCAAGTGATCAGTCAAGCACCATTCGAGGCGGTGAATCGCGCAACGCCAATGATGGTAACATCGTTACAATCCATGAAAATAGGTATTGTACTGAAACTAAAAATGAAAACTCGCCTTGGTGGCAAGTCGATCTACTTCAACCCTACGAGATTCGAGTTGTCCGTATAATAACCCGAGGTTGCTGCGGTCATCAACCTTTACACGATCTTGAAATACGAGTGGGAAATAGTTCAGTTGTCTCGGGAAATCGTCTTTGTGCTTGGTATCCAGGAACATTAGGTAAAGTGAATAAAAGCTTTTCATCGAAATCAATTAAATTAATTTCAATTTTTTATCAACTCTCTAGATGATGGAGTTACCAAAGATCTTGAATGCGCTCATCCAATAAGTGGTCGTTATGTTTATATCCAAATGGTTGGCGTTGAAGCCTCACTATCATTGTGCGAGGTTCTTGTTTTTACAACCAAAGGTAAGGTTCTGGTAACAGTGGGTCTACAGGTTATATTGATTGTAATAAAAGCTGTTCTGTTTGACTTGATTTTTAGCTATTCTTGATTTATTGAAGTCTAAATTATTAATGTTAAATCAGAGATTTGATTCAAAAGTGTATCAATATTAAAAACTAGTTTACTTTATTAATTACGGTAACTGTAAGAGACGAGTACAGTTGATTCAATTTGGTATATTCAAGTAAAACTTTGCGTGTTCACATTTTTACACTCACATTGATTAAGTCAATATTCATACAACAGTATAAAGCAGATTTAGAATGGTACAGGAGAAGGTAAAAAACGGTTAAAAGCTTGAATTTCCGTTGAAACGAAATTTGAAAATTAATAAATAAAGCATGTTTTCATCAGGTTTACCTGATCTGACTAGCCTTTTTGGGAAATGAAGGCTGAAACTAAATTGGAAAAGATTATCAGAATATTTTACAGGATTTAATGTTGGTTACAATAAAATTGAAATATTTGTATTTTCTGTAAATTATTTATTTCTTACCTTTATTTACTTGTCCCTTGCAGAGTTTTCCGAGGATCGCTGTGGTACTCAAATGGAGCATCAACAGTTAATCAGTTTCAATCAAACTTGTTATGAATTTCAAACACAGCAAGGTGGCTCATTTAATGATGCAGAAAATTATTGTAAAGCTCGTGGTGGGTTGGTCGTTAACTCGGTCGGCGATGTGACGCAAAATTTTCTCCAATATGAACTGCAACGGTTAAAGGCAAAGTTGAAAAGTCGCCTTGTTTGGTTAGGAGCAAAGCGTGAGATACCCGCCAATCAACCAGTAACCCATCGAAGTAGATCCAATGTTTGGCGCTGGGTAAATGGTGGATTGATAACACAATTTTTATGGGCCGATGATCAACCCAACAATTACAATGGACAGCAAAATTGTATTGTCCTGGATGGTGGCCGTAAATGGCAGTGGAACGATGTTACTTGTGATCTTGACTATTTACCATGGATATGTCAGTATACACCTTCCAATTGTGGATCGCCCGATAAGGCGGAAAACTCGACCATTTTGGAGAAAGATTATCGAGTTGGCAGGGAAATTCACTACAGATGTCCCATTGGACATGTTGTTGTTGGCAATGAATCTCGTCACTGTGAATCCAATGGCTTTTGGTCTGGTAGTCCGCCAACCTGTAAATATGTTAATTGTGGTGCATTGAATGATATTGAACATGGTCGCGTTTTACTGGTTAATCAATCGCGGACTACTTTCAATGCAACCGCTCGTTATGTTTGTGATCAAGATTATACCATTGTTGGTAATGATTCACGGGTTTGTCTTGCCAATGGTTCATGGTCTGACACTGAACCTAAATGTCTTTACAGCTGGTGTCCAGAGTTGCTGCCTATTCCAAATGGTATCCTTAATGTAACCAATCGTACTCTTAACGGGGTTGCTTCCTACTCTTGTCTCAAGGGGCACAAGCTTTTATCCAATGGAACCCGGGTTTGTCAAATTGGTGGCAAGTGGACCGGTGAAGAACCCATTTGTAAATATATTGATTGTGGGATGCCATTGGACCTTAGATTTGGTCGCTACTCTCTCCTCAACTCTAGTACAACTTATGAAAGTCTCGTTAAATATGAATGTAATCCAAATTATATTTTAACTGGCAACGAAACACGCCAATGCACAGAACACGCAACTTGGTCTGGTGTTGAACCAGTTTGTAGGATGATAGACTGTGGTCCACCCGAGATACCTTCTGGAGCTGATTTAATTGGTGATACTTTCTCAATTGATTCCGTCATTGAATACCAATGTAGACCGGGTCATCTTATGTCCAATGGTGAATCAAAACGAACATGTGGATCAGATGGAAAGTGGACTGGAGTACCTCCGTCTTGTCGATTCATTGACTGTGGTAGAGTTACAACAATTTTCAAGGGTGAAGTCAAATATCTTAATGGCACAACATCTCTTGGTTCACAAATTTCCTACTCTTGTTCAATTGGATACCGAGTAAAAGGTTTCTCGGTCAGGGAATGTGCAGTTGACGGTAAATGGACAGGATCAACACCGAAATGTGAAGAGATTAGATGTCTTCCACCAGAGAAACCCAAAAACTCTTCTGTTGTATATTCAGGAAATGATAGGTCAACTTCAGATTCATTCAAGGTTGGCTCAACGGTACAATATCGCTGTGCTTCAGGTCACATTGTTTCAGGTCAATCATTGAGAACATGTGAAGCAGACGGTAGCTGGGATGGTAGCCAACCAATCTGTGTTTACATTGATTGTGGACTGCCTGGTTTCATACCACAGGGTCGTTGGTTACTCTCATCCAATTCAACCCATTATGGCAGCACCGTCGAGTATGAATGCTCATCCAATTTCAGATTGGAAGGTCCTGCTCGTCGTATTTGCCTGGAAAACGGAACCTGGTCCAATGTGGCGCCGCTTTGTTCACTGGTTAATTGTGGAAAACCTCCGGTTAGAGACGATAAAACAATTGTCGAAGGTGGCTTCACTTTTGCAGTTGGTGAAAAGGTTTCCTATTCGTGTGTCAATGGTTATGAACTTGTTGGAGAAGAGCAAAGGACCTGTGCTTCAGATGGACTCTGGACAAATGATACCCCATATTGTCGAAGTAATTATCAAACAAAAATCAATTCAATTAAATATTCCAATCAAACTTTAAACAATATAATTTAACTGTTTTTATTTTCTCTCTTTATAGTTGTTGACTGTGGTAAACCTCCTATACCAGTTAACGGACGTGGAGTCTTATTGAATGGATCAACTACTTATGGAAGTCTTGTTGAATATCACTGTTTACCCGATTTCAAGACTATTGGCGAAGAAACTCGTCGATGTATGTCCTCTGGAGTCTGGTCTGGATCACTGCCACGCTGTTTCGATCGTAAATTAATGGACATGGAAAAGAATGAAGTTGATGGCGATTTTGATCTCTCAACCTCTTCATTTACCAATCATTCACCCATTTATCAATCTTCCAAAGCCATTGGAATCGGCATCAGTGTCGCCATTGGTGTTATACTAGTTTTAATTATTACAATTACAATAGTTTGCCTTAAAACGTAAATATTTTTTTATTAATTTCTATCAAAAAATGACTTAATATAAAATTGTTAATTCTGTGTTCCTCTTTTTTCTCAACAGTAAAAAACCAAAGCCTGTAAAAAATACTGAAAATGTTGAGATAACTCGTCCCCCGGACAAAGATACTGCAACCGTGATGTCTTATTCACGATTAAGTCTGGAATCTGAAGCAGCAGCAGCCGCAAGTTTGCCTGCTTCTGGTCCAATTCGTCATCATCCGAATGGTTTGGTGACTTTTAGCGCCCCTTCAGCCAATTCAACGGCAAACAATCATCCAAATAACCAGCCCATCTACGCCAATACAAATGGCTATAGAGCAGCAAGTAATCCAGGAAGCACGGTTTCGGTTGCTGTTCGAAACTCTCATGGTCTCTCTAATGGTACAACAACTCCAAGATTTATGGCTGCCGCCGCAAATCGTAATGGTAACAATAATAGTGCTACATTAGAAGTGTAACTGTGATTATTTTTTTCTTCAAAAATCGAGACACTATTTTTTTACAAAACTGCTCGTCCGTTCCACACATCTCAAAGATAACCACAAAAATCAATATCATGGTAAAACCATCTAAAAGCCGACCAAGAGTGACTCCAATCAATTTTCAACTCGAAAAATTTACAGCAACGGCAATACTTTTACCAGCCCAATTTTGGCACCAATGGACTACCTTAATTTTTTTGCTCAAGTCCTTTCAAATCATTCAATCAATCACTTGAATATGCCGCTACAACCATCCAACTGTTGCTGACTGTGTTCACATTTGTATTTAAATTTGAATAGTTATATTTTTAAATCACAACGTTTTTTTCATGCGTAATTGTAATTAATTATTTGGTATATTAAATCTGTTTCTTGTATACCTGGAGCTTGAAAAGTGATTCATGGTTGGATTTAAATTCAATGACTTGCAATTTAATCACAACTCAACTCGTTCATTATCATGCATCTTAAAGTTGACCAATTGCAAGGGATGATTGGATCTGTTAAGCCCAAATTGATTGGAAGTAATTTGATTAGGCAAGCCGATAACCTGATATAAAACATGCGATTGTGACCGTCAAGTTCACCTAAAATATTGTGAAATTTGGTGCGAGATATCAAGCAAGCTCCAATCGGTTTGCGATAAGATTCCCATCAATCAAAAAAATTTAGTGAATCAACTTTATTCATAGTCATTTGTCATCATCATTTCATCATTTTTCTCTCCATCATATTCATCTTCGTCATCTCATTCTCATCAACTATTGTTGAACCCGTTTTTTGTGTTAAATTTTATCGGGTGAACAATTAAAAAATATTCATCTGTTAATACACTAGATTTTAAATTGTCCTCATACTTTTGTCATTAAATAAATTGTTCACCGTTTTTTACATAAACTCGTCGTTTTTTCATCAAAAATCGGTTATTTAACTTTTATACAAATTATATGCATGCTAAATAAAAAACAGAGCAATGAGTCTTAGTGATTTACGCGCAATTTCAAAATAATGATACTCTTGTAATCAAAGTACCCAATTTGATTGGACCGTTGTAGCGTTGGACTGTTACACTGTTGAACACTAATTAAAAATTTCACGAGACTTTGTAACCGATTCCAAAAAAGATACATTCTTAAAATGAACTCTAGCTAAATTGATCAGCAATAGACTATTCAAATTTAAATACTTACATTTGATCATTTGTATTGGAAACACTCATTTGAAGGAAGCACACTTGTCTATTTTTTCAAATTCATTTATTTTTCAATGCTTAAGAGTTGAAAATACAGTAAGTAAACCAAGAGGGCAAAAGATTATACAAGCCACTGTTGAATAATTTGACTGGTATTCGGATTCATTGTTTAGCATTTCCATCATTTTTTCTGTTTATCATTTGGTGATTTCTTGGTAAACGGTACAAAAACTATTTTACCAGCTTCTGCTTCGATTCCCGCAACCGATAGGTTGGCAGGATGATTTGGATCAGGATCCCAAGCTTCAGGCTGGATGTCTTCTTGATCCTGGGGTGTTGGATGGGGAGGTTGTCCTGCAGGCCGGCCACCTTGTCCTTCAGGTCTTCGTTGTGGCTCGTTTCCATCAACTTCGTCACCAGATCTGTTGGCAGCTGAAGGAGGCACTTGTTGATCTTCAGAAGGCATGATTAAAAGAAAAGATGAACACAAATTGATTGAAATAAAAAATCACTAGAAACAAATTCAATGTAACTCAAATTGATAAAAACCACAAAAAAACAAGAGCTGTAAGAGTTAACAGTAAGGGTTCACAATGATTGGGAAATAAGATTCAGCAATGTGAATTATGCAACACAGTCTTTCTTAATGTGATATTTCTTAGAGGCTTTCCCCATAATATTTATAGCTAACCAGTTTTAATTGGAGTGAGTGAGGTGGTTAGTTAGTGCGCCAAGTTTCTTAATAGTTTAAACGCATCATTAATTTCGAAAGTATTGATTATAAATATTGAATTTCCTAATCATTGTGAACTCTCACTGTTGTCTTCCTTTTTCTTATATAAACTGTGATCTTTTACATTTCTTGACACTTGTGACTGACACTTGGTACTGGTATAAACCCAATAAAATAGTGAATTTTAGTTACATTGAATTTGTTTCTAGTGATTTTTCATTTCAATTTGTGTTCATCTTTTCTCTTAATTATGTCTTCTAATGGTGATCAAATGGCCAACGGATCTGGTGACGAAGTTGATGGAAGACCACAACAGCGAAAACCTGAAGGACCAACTGACCCTCCTGCAGGAAGAGGTGGTAGAAGGGAAGTTGACGGGCCAGCCCCTGTTTGGGATGATAATCCTAATCATCCTGGTAACCTATCGGTTGCGGGAATCGCAGCAGAAGCTAGTAGAATAGTCTTCATACCCAAGAGATCACCACATGACGTCAACCTCCCAGACCATATACGCGATGATAGAAATGATAGAAATACAAGAAATCAAAGAAACCGATAGCTGAACCCGAATCAAATACCAGTCAACTTATACAACAGTCGTTCGTGTAATCTTTTACCTTCTTGGTTTACTTTGTATTTGCAACTCCTTGCCATTGAAAAATAAAATGATTTGAAAAATAAACAAGTGTATTTTTTTCATTTTGAATGAATGTTTCCCATAGAAAGGATGAAATGTAAGTAATTAAATTGTCTATTGCTGATCAATTTGGCTGAAAAATTTAATCTCGCAAGGATTAAATGAAAGTTTCAATCAAAAGATTTTTCAAGTTTTCGCTTAGATTCGGTTAAGTAAAGCTTGAATTTTTGACCTTTATAAAACATGCTTTTCTTCTCGTTAGATCAATGCCCATGTGAGTATTAAAAGTGCAAAACATTCACGTAATATGTTTCTTGTCCATGAAATTGTTTCAAATTAGAAGCCATTGTTAATCGTTTTTTTCTTGTTCTGATGATTTTTTTATCTTCAAATTCTTCCATTTCTTACGTCATTTCAAATCTGGTCTTGTAACATCATTGCATGTGAGTGTATCCAACTCTGATCCTGTGTTGAGTCAGTTTCATTTAAACATTGTTTAGACTTACATTTACAATTTTGTTAATCGACTTTGAAACCAGAAGTCTCGTTCCATTTTCATAAACGGCATTTGATCTTATTTCCAGGTATTAGAGTTTGTTCTCTTAGAGATTGTTTCAGCACATTTTTTGAGGTCAATACGGTTCTCTGATTTTAAAATTGATTTTCATCTGATTTTGCATTTAAATTTCAGCGGAGTTTCAGTGGTGCTCTCTGTGGTCTCTTTTAGAAAACAGTTTTGTTATGAAATGAAAATAGCATTTGATTGTCATTTGTCAAATTGGTTTTTGATTTAATTTATTTGTGGTGCTCCAGTTGGTCCAGTCTTTTTGATTTGCAGTGACTTATTTTAATAATATTTAACATTCCATTGTTTTCTATGATTCAACTTGATCCAGTTTCTTATTTTAATTCAAATCATTTTACATCTGTAATCTCTCCATTCTGTTGTCGATCCAATTTATTCCATCTCATCAATTTCATCTATTATCCTTGCTTGTAAACTCACATTTCCTATTTATTTTTTAGCTGCTAACCTTGATTAGTTAAATGAATGAATCAAAATGCTGATGGAAAATTTATGGAAGAAACGGATCATGATTCAAGTGCCAATTTGGATCCCAGGATTGGTATGAGACTGGAAGATCTCAATAAATGGACTGGTAAAATAAACGCTTTGGAGAAGAGCTTCGAGGAAGCTAATTCCAATTTTCGTCTTATTTTAAATGAATCTACGGATCGACTCAAATCATTAGCATCGAAGTTGGGTAAATCAATTGAAGAATCAAGGCCTTATTATGAAGCCAAAGAAAAATTGATTGAAGTGCAAATAAAATGTCAACGAGCAGCAATAAACTATGAAAAAGCATGTCAAGCGTATCTTGAAGCAAAAGATCGGATTAAATTAGCGGAGAAAAAATTTGCTTCAGCATCCAATGAGTTTGATACGACATGGCAGGAAATGTTAAATCAAGCTAATATCAAATTGATGGAGGCTGAAACTATGAAAAAGCAAAGTGAACGAATCCACCAGCAATCGATGAAAGATTTTCACAGCGCAGAGATTGTCGTTTTCAAGCTCGAAAAGAAGCTCAAAGGAGCCCTTCAACGGTCAAAAATTTATTTTGATGAAAAAAGAAGGTATACTCATAGAGATAAAATTGAAGATATTTCTATCTGACTTGAATCATTTCTACTTGTCATGACATGCAGATGTCTATTACATTTACATTAATGTTTAATCATTTGTTTTTCTTTCATTTAGATTCCAAGAGCAATTGGCTCTAGTCAAAGAAGAGATTGAATTAACCATTAGTCAAATTAATTGTTCCAAGGCTCGTTATGCTGCAACATTGAAAGAATTGGAGGCAATTTCAGAGGAAATTCACGAGAAACGTAATTGTTCAATTTTGAAGCATCTCAAAAGAGAGCCTGGAGTTGGAGCTGAATATAAACCTGACATGCTTACACTTGATTCATGTAAGATGCTGAGCCCTACTCAATTGGATAAGTTTGATTTGCAAATCTCCGAAACATTCAACTGCCAACAAACTGAACATTTTGAATCAAGTGATAATGATTCACACAGCCAAGCCTCTACTTCCGATGCCATCAATTATACAAAAGACTCCCATTCTTTAGATGCATTTACAAAGGATGAAAACGCTGAAGTCAATGATGTTGATAAACGCAAAGTTTTAGATGACGTATGCGCTGACCAAGAAACCAAATCAGTATCAGATGCATTAGATGAAAAAGAAATCCAAGTGAAAAGCGAAGACAACTCGAAATCTGAAAATTCAGATGAAAGTCAAGATGGAACTTCAGAAGAATTCTATGAATCAGATAAAGAAGAAGACACGGGAGAAGATGAATATCAAGATGTTGAAGAGGTTAAAACGCTGCCCGACTTGACCAGTATCAATCTAAACGAAACTCACTAATTGTCTCTATTTAGAAATTTGTGAATCATAGTCTTGGGATTCTATTCACATTGCAAATTTTAAAATTCACTTCAAGTTCAACTTTTGCTTATGCTTATTATTTTTTAGCACTTTTCCCTGTAAATATTGTGAAATCAAATTACCATCTCAAGTATAATTTTTAATGTCATCACCTTAACCCATAATATTTATTTTTGTTCTATTGTGTTGAAAACGAAAAATGTTTAATTTGATTGAAAAAAACAAACTAAATGTCAAAAAAATGACCAGTCGTTCCCGGTATACTATGTAATTTGATTGCTGAAATTCTCATTCATCTATTCATCAAATGTAGAACTTTTATTTTGCTCTTAGTACTGTATAAAATTTTAATCATCTTATCAAATTTGCTAATCATTAGAATAAAATTCTATTGTCCATTAAGAAGCATTTTTCAATCTTGATCTTTTTCCTCAATTTTACTTTACCAGAAAATTAATTCACTTCGCACTAGGATCATTAAAATCAGCTGATTATGCTATGAATAAATAGTAAATCACATTAATTCATCATCTTTACAGGTTGTAAACCTGTTGTAGACCTGATCACAATGAGACTGATGAACTTGCATGGAAGCTTGTGACTATGAAGATTATTAAGGGCAAGAAATGGACAGATCGAGTGGTCAAAATTTAAAAAATAGCAGGACCTCAAAGAGCTTACATATAACCGTCGACTTGATGAAAAACAAATCCAAAGCAATTTGTAAAATTTGAATGTATTTTTCAAAAGCGAATAAGATATTTTGATTTAATTTACAGTCACCATTTAATCATTTAAATTCAGATTCATGGGTCATAATATTGAATAATATTATGTAACATTGTAAATGTTTATTTACTTCACCTGAATTGTTGAAAATCAAATAGTATCCGTAATTAAATTGACATTCAATCCAATCTACCTGTGATTCTTTAAAAGATGGCGTTACCACATTTCAGTCTGAGAGGTTATTTCAAATAAAAACTGTATCAAGATCCTTGAATATCAATTAACTAACCGTCAACGTAAAATAAATAAAATGCAATGAATTGAAATTATGATGAAATAATCACTCGAATGATAACAATAAGAAAGATTCAATAATTAGTTATACTAAGTATGAAAATAATCTAAAGAGTAAACAAGATAATAAAGATTTGAGAAGGATTTTAGGATTATCTTAAAGGTTAACAATTAGTTCAATTTAATAAATTATTAGATAAAAAGAGGTCATTCAATAATGACCTAAATTTATTCAAATTGAGCGGTTTTTTGGTTAGCTTATGTGCAAAGCTGAATATCGACTTACAGGATAAATAGTATAATTTGGTGTAAACGGCGGCGGCTTAAAGGTAAAGCAAAATGGAGTCCATTGAAAGAGTAACAAAAAAAGTGGCAAGAAAGCAAAAAGACTGTAAGAAAGTATAAGAGAGAAGAATGTTGACATCTTTAATTAATTAATAATGTGTTTAATTGGTGTAATAATAAAATCATGTGTTTTAAATAACGTAGTAAGTTTGGCCAGGCTACATAGTAGAATGGCCTTTGAAACAATTAAAGTGATCAACTAATGTTAACCTTAATCAACTTTTATTAACCTATCACAACAAAAACAACACACACACATATACACGACTTACTACTATTACTACCTAAACAACAACAACTTATCAATCAACTATCCATTTTTTTGCTTCTTCTTCTCTTAATTAGTATTATTATTTTTAATTTGTTTGCTTGTTTATTCTCTCCATCGATGTTCACGTTAATTTAAAGTTACTCGGTTATTCCTTGTATTGGATTAAACGTTTCATCAATTGGCCATTGGATTAAAGTATAATTGGAGAGACACTTTTTTCCTTTCTGCTTCAGCTTCTTCATCATATAAATATATTCATTAATATTATATTTATATATATATATTATACACACACTTATACATATACATTGATAACATACAAACTTATTATTTCAAGTCTGGTTTAGAGTCAAGCTTTAAAGTGGGAAAAGACCTTTTTTCTTACTCTTTGCTCGTGTACTCTTTTCTCTCTTTCTATCATTTGTTTCCCTTCTCCTTCTTTTCTGTTCACTATTATTATTAATATTATTATTATTATTGTTTTGCTCTTTTTTCTTAAATCTGTTTGTCCAACAACGTAACTGATAATCTTATTGTTGATAGTATCAGCATCACACACATCTCCATCTCCTTCATCTCCATCATCATCATCATCATCACCATCATCATCATTTTAACGGTTTATATATCCCTCTTTCATTGTCAATGGATACATTCTTATTTCCTCAGCCTATGGTTCTATCTGGGCCAATTGTGCAGTTGATTCAAACACCTTCAGGAGCTACACAACTTGTAACTACAAGCTCTTCGCCAAATAATAACGCTGTTGGTGGAGGTAATAATGGTAACGGTGGCGGACAGCCTGTTGTCTCCGCTAGTTCAAATAAGAACTCATCTGTTAATAGTTCCCGTTCAACGAAACAGATATTACCTAAACCTCCAGGTAATGGAGCTAATAGTCAATCGGGTGGGTCATCAAAGCACAATTCTCAAGCCAATAATAATGGATCTGGAACAAATAATTCCACAGTTAATAGTAATAATAACGGTGGAAACCATGGAGCTCGTTCTTTGGTCACTAATATGCCTTCAAATGTTAACTCAGTTGGAACTACGCTTACCACAGGACCTTTATCAACAGGTCCTGGACAAACAACAATAACACCACAGATTCTTCTTGGTCCTCCAGGAAATCAAAAAATGAGCTTCATCACCTCAAACCCACCCGGAACATTTCTACTAAACCAAGTGATTCCAGGCCTTGGATCTCAACCTATTTTGATTCAAGGAAATTTAAATAATATCGGTGGACCTTTACAATTGACGTTACGGCAACAACAGCCTCAATCAGTAGTGACTGTTAGTAGTGCCAACGGTACTAGTGTTAGTGTTGCCTCATCTCAAGGTTCGTCTACTCCTTTAATAAGTACTTTAGCAGGGCAAACATCATCATCTGTACAGCGATCAACCCATTCAACACCAACTTATTTGTTCTCTAATCATGGGTCTACTATGACTGGGACTACAGCACCAACTATGGTTATGTCTGGTCAACATAACTTTCGAGGTCAAAATATAATTTTCACCAGGCCTCCTAATTTGATTGGTCAAACAGGCTCTATGGTTCAAGGTCCTGGAACAGGAGCACCCACCGCTAATCAAGCCCAAACAGTTCCTCAATTCATTCAAATTCAAACTGCTAACGGTCCAATGTTGGTTGCCTTGCAAACAACTCCGACACTTGGGCCACCAAATGGAGGATCCCCAATCATTCAGACTCATGTAACTCCATCACCTCAAGCCGTTCCAATTACAAGCACCATCATGCCCTTACAATCTTCAGGTACTGTTGGTAATCAAAATGCTTCGAACCATCCCACATTGCACACTATTTTACAAACATCATCAGCCGAATCTTTAAACCAATCATCATTAACACAACAATCTGGTGCTCCTCTTTCAGCTAATAGTATAATTTTTTCTCAATCAGGTAATGTGATAACTTCTCAATCAATAACAACAAGTACTACGTTGACACCTCATCAACATCAGCATCAACAACATCAACACCAACACCAGCACCATCCACAAACTCCTCATAGCAGCTCGATCAGAGGTAACTCAAAAGCTAGGAAAGAGCCGAAAGGTTTAAATTTAGCTGATTTATTGAAAGAGACTGGTATTTTACAAGACTCTTCTCCACCTCAATCGCCTTCCTCAATTACTATTAGACAAACTTCAACTGATGGAGATTTGACCAATAGCTTACTATCACAAACTGATATTACACAGGCAAACTCACTTGGACCCGGAACAACACCGACAATGTTAGACAATTCTCATGCCAACCAAGCACAACCAACAATGTTGACGTTTCCTGATCAAGGATCGCAAGCATCAAACATTTTAATAGCTCCTGGACATGGTATGACTCCGGGTACAACTCATCAATTGAGATTATCACTGGCTGCTGATGGAAGTGTTATCCTTCAACCTAACTTGGGACCCAGTGTTTCTACAGCCAACACAATATTATCGAATCCATCCAATTTAACAAACCAAACAGGAACATCGACTCAGCTTATCCAAGATTTAGGGTCAACGTCTATGGCTTCAATAAGCAATTCCAAGTTTATTGATACACTTAGAGATTCTTGTGGACCAGGATCATCTCAACCATCACCTGATTCAACGACACCAACTTTGGATGCGTCAACACCAACATCAGCATCAACCATTTCAACAATATCGTTAACCAATGTAAAATCAAGTTCACCAGCTATCACTACAATTGCATCAAGTCCTGTTCTGAGTCATAAACAAACTTTAATGCAACATTTGAATGCTGGGTCAACGATGAAAGTTGGTGACAGTGTGACATCAATGACCATTACACCTATTATGGGTCCATCATATCGAGATGATTCAAAATCAAGTTCACCATTTATTCCATTGACAATTACAAGCGAGTCAATTCGAGAGTCAACTAATCACAAAACAACGATTAAACAAGAATCATCCTCTAAGTCTATGATGGACCATTCTTCAAGTGAATCCAAAACAGAAATAGTCAGCGTTCCTTTGACCGATATGCTGAATTCAAATAATCCTTGTAATGTTTCAGTTACACCAAGTTCATCAACATCAACGTCAACTACAACTTTAACCATGAGCAACTGTGATAGTTTGGTACAAAACCCTTCAATGCCGGTCCTTTTAACCAACGCATCGTTAATTATACCCGATAATGATGCAAGTACCAATAATAGTAACCATAAACTTTCCAGTGGTCCATCAGCACCATCAAATAATCGAAGTCATGTTTTAACACCAACCAATACCAATAATTCAGCTTCGCCGTTAACAAATTCCATACCTAGTCTAAGTTCAGGTCAACAGATGAGCTCGGTTTCATCTTTATCATCTTCTGCAGCACCAACTCTTGTTGATCAAAATGGTTTCCAATTTGTACAGATTAGTTTAAATAATCAAGAATTTATCGAGAGACTGGAGGCTCAGATAAAAAATTTACGCGCCTTAAAATCACCTAAAGAAGATCAAAAGAAATTGCTTCAAGAGTTACTCAGTCTACAAAAAAGAATGTCCGAAGCCAAAATTCAACCGCAAAGTTCAATGTATGGTGAGAGTAAAGTCATATTAACGAGTTTGAGTCAACCAAGTCATACACCTGAGCTGCTCATAACTCAACCTCAACAGTTACAACAAACTCAACAACAACCGCAACAATTACAACGAAAACCCATATCAAGTCCCGGTCCACAATCTTTACCTCAAGAAATCCAATCACATCTACAGCAAATGTTTTCGTAAGTTTAACAATTTATATTGTTAATTACTATCGATAATTATTGAAATTTAAACAAACGAAAAAAAAACAAGACTATTTAAAAGAAAGGCAATTTAGTTTAAAGTTGTTAGAAAATTGTTTCAAGTTTAAAATCTTTTGTCACACTTAACATTATTTTCACCAAAATTATTCCGACACTTTATTTAAATATTGTTCAAACTAAATTAACTAGATAATTAGCGATATTTAAGTTTCTTACTTTTTTAAACGCTCAACATCACTGAGTCAAAAATCCACTTTTTACTGCAACATTGCATAAACCTTTCATAGACATTCAAGATCAGCTCTATTGTTATCTGTGACGAGTCAATGGAAAGACTTAATTCACTTTTCTCTTCATTTTTCATGAGTGTTTTTGTTCAAGGTTTGGCGAGATTTTTATGACTCAGTTAGATAAGCAGAAAGAGGAAAGTTAGGTAAAAGAGAAAGAGAAAGTGAAACAAGAAAGAAAGATAAACTATATTTACAATGATCATTTGAATGCTAGTAAATCAAGTTTCACAATATACACTAATAGTGAAGCTTATTAACATGAAATATAATTTGTACAATACATTGAAAAACATCGATAACAAATTGTCTATTTTGTGGAATGAGACTTTCATTACTAGCATTTATTTCATCTAAAATTTAAGATATTAGTTATGAATTTATTAAAATAATTTTGCTACTTTCATGGTAAGTGTTGTTCAACCTGTGAAGAACAACAAAAAGAGTTGAAACTTTCCCGTGATACCTTTTCTGTTCTCTTGATGACCATGAAAGAAAGCTCAATTAAGGTAGCATTCGTGGCTATCTTTACTCAGAAAGAGAGAGAGAGAAAGATAACTTACTCTCTTTACCTCTTTCATTTCGTTCTTTTATTTTTACCTTTCTTCCCACAAAGAATCTTTGTTTGAATTCCAAGGCTACAATTTAACTTTTCTTGTGTATTCTTTGCCTTTTGTTTGAATAGGGAGTCCCAACATGAAACTGAACAGCATCACCAACAACAAACTCAACATACTTCTATGCCTTCAATTTTACCAAAGACCGCACATCTGCAGACCTCATCACAATTAAACCAACCCCAATCACCTAATCCGCAATTCAATATCATTAAGTTAAACAGTAGCACTAATAGTAATCAGCTTCATCCAAATCAACCGCAACTAGTGACAGCAACTCAACAACAGGCTCAAAACGTTAGATTAATAAATCAAACTAATGCCAATAATCTAGATGGTAATACTACAATTCAGGTTGGAACTCAATTGATAACGATTGCTGCTTCACCTGTTAAACCTTCAATCCAATCCTCTTTACAGACAACTTCACATCAAAAGGTAAGCTTTTAATTGATACAATTGATTGAAATTCATGATTCAAATTGAAACAAAATCTTTCCCACTTTGTCTGGACAAAAAATTCAGGAAAAAAAGCAACACTTTCAGGAAACTGCTTATTTTACATTTGAAACTAATTTTAAACCATTTTTTCTCTTCTCATCGATTTTGCAAATTCAGCAATCAAGTGGAGGATCAAATGCAACTACAATTCAAGTTGTACGGATAGGAACACCGAATACTTCCACTTCAAGTACAAATTCAGTGAACAAATATTTTAAAGCACCATTGGAATCGCCACAATTAGAAAGTGAAAAAACCAAAGCTAAAATTTGTCGATTGTAAGCATTGAATTTTAAATGAAACGAGTCAAAATTATCTATTTACAATTGCGTTATTTACAATTTAACTTTTACGCTTTTCTGTTTCAGTTTTCAACAACAAGCTGCTGCTGACCAAGCTGCCGCAACTAAACCCGATACAAAAACACCTTTCAAAAGTCGAAGTGATGCATGTAAACGTTTATTGCGTTACCATGTTTTTAATGCTCCAGTCCCAACTGAAGAGCAACTGTCCAAAGGTAAATAAATTTATCTTTTAAATTTCAATGTTTTCTCAGCTGATTTTTTCACCTAATTGATTGGGATAAGCAATCAATTAGCAAGCTTAATTTGATAACATGTTAACAGGTTTTACACTCAATTTAAACCACTCTTAATAAGATTATAAGTTAGCTTGTGTTATTGAGCAATTCAATACATCATTATCCTTTCCTTGTTAACTGTTAATTTTATCATCGTAATAACAATGAATTTAATTATCTGTATGTTTTACTAACAATTTGTTACTTCTTACAATTATCTTTGGTGCTGTTCCACAACTAATACACTTTTTGTTTCTCAATATTTATCATTGCAGTTGATCGAGATTTCGAGGTGATATCTGAAAGTTTATTAAAGAGGAAAAATGAACTCTTCAATAGATTCCGTTATAATTTATTGAAATCTAATATGGTAAGTATTGTTTCAACTTTTGTGCTTATTTAGTGTTAAATATCAGAGTTATGAATGAAAGACTAGTGCAAAAAATCAGGAAAATTTGAAAAATTAACTCTTCTCGTTATGAGTGACTCGACGATATTCATAAATAAATAAATAAATGATTTAAATGTATGTTTATAAATAAATTGCTACCTATCTACATATCTGGTTGAATCTAGTGAAAGAGTAAATGGATAAGAGTGAAAAAACGTCACAATTTTACCTAATCTTTAAAAATAATCTGATTAACTTTAACTTAATTTTGTCTTTTTTTCTTTCTTTTTTTGATACAGATTGAAACGCCTAAAGCAGAGTACGTAATGTTAAACAAATTGTTCATAAACGATGAAAACATTTCACTTCAAAGGGATAAAGACTTAGTTGCTCAGGGGAAAGGTGAGAATCCACTCTAAGCTTATTGTAAAGCTACATCAACAACTATGATTGAGTCAACAGTTCAGTGAAGTTGTAAAGTACACAAAAACACTCGCAAAAAAACTCGAAGGAAGCAAAGACAAATCCCAGATTCCCTTAATTCAAGTGAAAAAAAGGAACAATTTTTCCCTTCTTTCATTTTCTTATTTCTCACTCTCTTATTGTGCATTATCAAGTGAATATGTGTCAATATGTGGCTCTTTTTCATGTTCCCATTATCTCTCTTCTCTCTCTCTTTTTCAATCTTCAGTTCTCTCTTCATCTTGCTTTATTGATCCATCAAGTGTCAAGGTCCGCTCAGGATTTCGTATTTCAGTTCGTTCTGATTGCATGCTCTCTTTCTTTCTCTGTTCATCTTTCTTTTTCCGTTTCTGTATTCTTCCTATTCCACTAGATGTTTCTCTCTTTTTTCATTTTTCCCTGTCACTCTCAGGACTTGTAGACATGATATCGATTTATTTTGAATCATGCTTGGTTATGAGTCGACTCTCCCATTCAAGATGGATATCATCTTCATCTTGATCCTGAAAGAATCCATTTCCATCTTCATTCTTTTTTTCTTCTTCTTACTCTTTTCTTCTTCGGTCTTTTTCATCTTCACTCGTTTCCATCTCTTTCATGTCTACCTCATAGCATAAGAGAAAAACTTTTTTGTTATTTTTTATTCTTCTTCTTCTTTCTCTTCTTCTCTTACACACACTCTTTTTCCTCTTCATTTCTCGTCATCCTATTCATCCTATTCATCTTCAACCTTTTCGTTCTCTCTCTCTCTCTCTGAATGTTATTCATCTTTCCCATATTTCACTCTCCTGAGTTTCTCTTTAATTTCCCCTCTTCTTCCCTTTTCTTCATGGTAGCAGTTTCTTTTTCTCACCCAAATACAAAAAAAAATATTTCCTCCTCCAATAAATATCCAATGAATGAGATTACCTCGGATTAAATTGATAAAGAAAGTGATTTACAGTCAATTGTGTTAACATATTTACCCATTGACTAGACATAAGATCATCAAATTCTGGTTAAATGAATGTTTTATTCAAGCACAAATATTTATCCAAATACCCATAGTTTTTTGAACAAATCAAGAGGCTTTCTGTTGATGCCAGTGTTGTTGTTATTTATGCTCATGTTCCCTTTCAGGTTGAATAAAAAAAACTAAAAAAGAGGAGTTGATAATTTCGTGTGTTGTAACAGATGAAAACTATTCGTAACTCCCATGCTTTCCATGAACTTTTCCCTTTCTTTCTGCCCTTGTTAAAGTGGAAGTGAAAGCTTTTTCAATTGTTTGCTTATTTGTTATAGTAAAAAGGTGAAGAAAGAGATACACAGTTGCTGGTTACAATTTTGATCGATATTCCAGGGAAATATTTTAGTTATATTTTCTCATTTCTCTCTTTTTGCCTTTTTACTTTTCTTCCACCACCTTCTTCCTCCTTGTCCCCCTTTCTCTGTCTCTTTTTATCTTCTCTTTGTCATCATCATCTCTTCCATTCTAGTCTTTTCTTATTTTCTTGTATAACTGCTCTTTTGTTAGTCAATGTTACCTATGCGCGCCAAAAAATAGTCAAGTCTTTCATTTCACTTGAACATTGTCTTCTTTACCTTCCTTAAGCCCTACCTGTCTTTATCTTCATGTCTTTTGACTTTGCTTACTTTACTTATACCCTTTTATGACAATTACCTAACCGATTATTTTCGTAAATAAGGTTATTTTCAAGTCTATTGTTGTTTTTTGTTTTCCTTGTTACAATGAAAAGGAAACCATTTGATAACTGAACTTTACCATTGGTTAGATGAGTTTAGATGACATTTATGACGATCATTTTGATCACTTCACATTGGTCAGTCAATTTCTTGGTTAAATTTGTATCCATATTTATTGATTAAAGTTACTGCTTTTGAATAGGTTAAATGAAGAGCAAGAAGAGCTTCAGAAAAAGTTAAAAGATGAAAAACATGAACAACTTGTAAAGGTCAGGAAAGGAAGATACGTATTCTGTATGAATGAAAAATTAGACCTAAATAAAAAGATGTTGAAAACGTTATTCAAGTTAAAGAGAGAGAAGGAGGAATGGTGAAAAAATGAAGTCATATTGGGGATAAAATTGAAAATTAGGAAGGGGAGGTTAGCAGGAACAAAAGTTGAAAAATTGAGGTCATTGGAATGGGCCAGGTAATTGTGATAGTTCACCTTAGCTGTTGCTGTCTTACCTTTAGGCTAATCTGATTCAAGTTTTGGAGGCTCACAAAATCTTAGACTTTATGGTTTTTTTTAAAAAACTTGAATTTCTAACGTTTTTGCTGAATTTCACATTTGTTTGAATTTCATTTCTAACCACATTTTTCATTGAAAAAAACGCTAGAAATGAAAGAAAGAAAAGCAAGATAAAGCTTGAGGGGAAACTAAACTGTCTTGCTGACGTGTTGAACGATGAATTAAGACTCATTGGAATGTGATTTCATGATTTGTTGATTCTTTCATTTTTCTTTTGCTTATGATTTGTAATTAACCTCGTTCTAATTATTTGTTTTTCTTCTTTCCATTACAGAGCTTGAATTACCTCCGCCTCCTGAAAGTTGGAAAAAAATCATCAGAGACAGTCTCGAAGAAGAAGAACAACTATCAATTAATCGCAAGAGAAAATCTTCTGCGCTGGACGAAGATTTTCTAGCTGATTGTAAGTTAATAATCTGACAATGAGCTGCAGCTTAAGGATTAAAAGGATTTACAAGATAATTTACAGTTGCTTTACTAGTTTACTTGTTTATCAACGCTTTTTCTTTGGTTTACTTATTCAGTTTTATGTAAATATCTTCGTCACACGTAACTTGAGTTTTGCTTTTTTAGGTTATTGCATTTAATTAAACACTTACTTGTTGCATTTATTTAATTGTTAGAAAAATCAATGATCCAATTTTCTATTTTATTTATCTTTTCTTTTTATCTTTCAATTGGTTTATCTCTCAATTAGAATTGCATTGAATTAAACTTTGCTTTTGTTAGCAGCTTTCAAAGAGCTAACAAGTTTATTTAGATTGAGCGTAAATCCAAAAGTGCTCATTTTATATTTGATTGTTACATTAATTGTTTGACCTTTTCTCACAATTTTTTCTTTCTTTCTTTCTCCTCATTCCAAAGGTACCGAAATTAAAAAATATGATATTGAAGATCGTGAATCTGGTGATACAGATGACGATGAAGATGATAGTGAGGACGAGGATGATGAGGAAGAAAATGCAGCTGAAGATATAGCCAAATATCTAGGTTCTAATCATCATTCAGAATCTGTGCCTGATTTAGGATATTATCCAGATTTTAGTAATAATCCTGGAATTGCCCTTCCAACTGATGTAAATTCACTAAACAATCCATATACTCAAAGGAATGGGACTCAAGAAATGGCTTATAATAATGAAGAATGGAAGGGTACCAATTTTGTGTCCAATAATCGTCGAATCGATGTTTGGAATAACAGATATGATAATGAAAACGATTTCGCCGTTTCAACTATATTAGAGGGAGGCGAAAATGGAGAGTCAGCTGATCATGAGACTGATCTGGATTTAAGTTCAATCCAATTTCTCGACTTGGTGAATTGTCACTGGTAACAGATCAGACCATTTACTTAACTTGACTAAATTGTAAAGATTTCTGAAACAAAAACGCAATGATGAAAATTAGAACATTTAAATCATATATATAAAAAAATCTAACATATATAACTTACTTAGTATCTCTTTGTTTACCAACTCTAATATTTTTAATTGTCCCATCTGGACAACATAATTTACACAGAGCAGAGGCTTGTTTCCTAATTACAGGGGAAATAACTCGAGGCCAAGGAGGATTTTCTGGAAAAAAAAGATCAATTCAAAAGATTAAATTTAATGAAATCGGAAAACCGATTTTCTTGAATTAATTTGACTGTCAGTTAAGTTGGGACAGACAAATTAAGATGAAGTTCAACGTTCCAGCGCACTAAAAAGACCCTTCATCTCTTCAAATATTCATCCCCTAAGCTCATGGGTGGGTGTAGATATGCTGTATAATTTTTGATTCAAATCAAATTGCATGATTTTTGTCATGTCCATGTCGCTGTTTATAAGCTTTTTTGAGTTCTGACGATGTTCCTGGCGGACTTAAAATTTAACCTGCAACTCATTTTTTTATGACTAATTCAAAAATATAAATATACGTTGATTTTGTTTCAAGATGCTGTTTTTTTCGCGAATCTATTTATATAAAATCGTTTTCTGTTTTATCGTTTTTATGCATCGTGATTAGTAAATGAACCATTAAATCAGTTTCTTCTCTAATGTGAATACAAAAATTTCATTCGACGAGACAGCTAAGATTAGAAAACGAATTCAAGTGTTATTGGAGATTTGACAAGACCAACTTATACTGGACTGTCACTCATGAACTTTAACACACCAGGAAATACTCTAATGGTCAATTGAATGGTAAAAATTTAGATGCAAAAATCATTTTGGAATTGAATGGAAAAAAATTCTCACGTTCGATTCCTCATTCACAAATGATAGCCATTAAATGCTCAAATATTGTTCCTTATGGATAAATGAGTTTAGATTCTAAGTTTTCCGCTCGTAGAGTTTTCATAAAATGATTTAGTTCAAGTTTGATGTTCACGATTGACTTGACTGAGTTTACCTGAAATCATTCAATCACAAGTATCTATGAAAGTCTAGATGTTGCTAACACTGCAGTAGATTTAATACTATACCTTTAAAATTCCTTGGTTTCTTTTGAATCACACAATAAGAAAATTCTTCACGGTTACCCCAGAGAATCTGGAAAATTTCAAGATTAATTAAATAAAGCAATGGATTGACAGATTTCTCAATTTCATACCTTGCTTAATTCGCCGTATTGTAAATGGTTGAAAGAGACAGAAAAATTACAAGGTTCAATTTGACCAGTAAAGAGTTTAGGACACGGATAGTTGTGTGGACACTGAAACAAAAGAAAATAAAAATTAATATAAAATGTATAAAAACTGGATGTACATTTACTAACTGGACCAATAATATGTGATGATGGGACCTGATTATCATCGGATTCAGTAACTCCTCTAATTTCACTGTCAACATTGAATGTATCAGTGACCTTGTGTCCGGTTATTTGAAGAACCAAGTTACGAGCTTCTAAAACGGCGGCAAATCCAGCTTTTTTACCATGTTCAATAATGACAAGCAAGTCGTCCGTTTTGTGCCACAGATTTTCAATGGTATTAACACGAGATCGCAAAGAGGGAAGCTCTAACAGGGAAAATGCACTAACAACTAGATCATATTTTATCTAAATGTTTTAAGAAAAGAAATATTAATAATTATCATTATCATTTTGATGAGAACAAGATGAAACTCACATCAGATGCTACGGGTAAAAATTGACGAGTAAAAATTCCTTCATAAATTAATGGTTTGGTGTCATCACCTTGTTTTAACAGCAAGCGAGCTATGTCATGGGCCTCTTTAGAGATGTCAACACAAAAATATTCTGAAAATGATTTTGGCCATATTTCATTTGCTGCCCAAATAGTTGTGCCAACACCCGATCCAAAGTCAAACAGTGTTTTTGGCTTGAAGTCAGGATAAGTGCATTTTATCTAAAAAGAAATAAAATTAAAAGTTAATTAGTTTGATAGATTAAAAAGGGATATGAATTGAATTAGTATAAGCATAGAAGTAACGCTTTGCAATGTGAAATAAGGCCTAAAGGTTAGACTTAACATTACATCATGTAAAACAAATTTAGTCGCGGCGAAGTTTGGGGCGAGTCGAGCAGCCATATAGACAATACTATTGTATTCATCATATTCAACTGGTTGCCAATTGTAAATTTCCTTTTTAAGCGTTGCTTGAATTTTCTCTTCTCTTTTCCGCAGTTCTTCCTCTCTGCTGATTGGGTCAAGTTCAGAGAGAACAAAATTTTCTGGAAATGAATAAAAACATTTTTGTAATGAGTTAAGTGTAAACTTTGCACAGAACTACATACCTTTCTGTACATATCGATATTCAATTTCCTTATATTTCTGTTGAATTTCGGCCGGCTCAGATGGTAGTTGTCGATGGTGAAATTGGTTGTGGACCCGGAATACATCATCTTTGAAAGCAGGCCTCTTATATTCTGGAATGAATCACCAAAGCAAAACTATGAGCCAAATTAAAATAATAATTTAAAACACATGGCGAGGAACGTACTTACTTGAAATCACTTTGTAACATGCAGACTCTAATGTAACAGGTAAATCGACAGTAGGTAATGCACGTCTTCCAGGCTGTGCCCTAGCACGTAATCCTTGAGTCAGTTTTTCATCAATGTCCGCATGAAGTTCAACTTTATTGACAGTCTTGATTCAATTAAAGAGATTGTAGCAAAAGGATATATCAATTTCATGAGTTAATTCAATAAAATTAGCAAAACAAATGATGACCAGTGATAATAAATAGCATCCAATTAATTGGTGAAATTGTAATAATGATAGCATACCGTAGTAACTTGACGAATTGACTGGCTTGTATAGACACTAAATAGATTATCAGTGAAGTAATTGAAAGATGATAGTCTTAACTGATTTCTTGTAAACATCATTCATTAAATAATTAGTAAAATCGGCACAAAAGAACAGCTAATTGAATTTAGTTATTACAGAAACCTAGTTAAAGTAAACACGAGAAAAATCTCATGCTTTCTAAAAACAACAGATGATTTGTCACGTGATTTTTTTACCGCTTTTTTTACAAGCATTAATAGTAGCAATCAAAGCAAAGAGTAAAGTAACAATTACTTTAATTTTTGGTAGCAATGATAAATTCCCATGTCGATAAACCCTTTTGTTTCAGTGATTTTGTTTTGTGTACTCACTGTAATACTTTACATGTAAAAAATTGATTTTTGATTTTGTTTTATAGTTTATCTTTCATGTGTTTAACCGGCTAAAGCAATGCTTGGAATAAACCATACAAAGAAAAACACATGTTCATCGAATAAACGAGCTCGCTCAAGATTAACGTCCTTATCACCTCGTTCACCAGTACAATTTTCGTCCACACAGCCTCGAAGAAGAAGTATAAATGATGAAAGATGAAACGTTTTTTTGAAAATTGTGCCTCTTTTGTTAAACCTGGTTAACAAGTGTTAAGCCGAGAAGTTATGAGTTATAAACTCCAAATCGCAGTGTAATTGAATTGTTTTGAATAAACTGGGCTTAACTTCTTGCTGCTAATCCGACTTGGTCACTATTGGCGTCTAAATCAACTCGAACATGAATGTCTTGAATTGGATAGTTGATTAATGACATATTTAAAATTTGTTAATAGCGCCACTGGATTCAGTTTTCATGTCCTTACAAATCCATAAATTTTTGGCATCACTCCTTAGCGCTCAACTTTGATGACAAGAAACATATCAAAACGAGCTGGAATAGTTTACATGAAATTGATATTCGGGTGGTTTATTCAATCAAAAGATTGCCAACAGGAAATATAATCATAGGAAGGCTAATACTGGTGTGGAATCCTTAAATAAGAGTCATTGGAATTCAAATTCAAATATTGTAATGGTTCTCTTCCAACTGGATGTATAAAAGTCACACTAGCTACAATATAAATGTTAAACATAAATGTTTAATTTTTAATTGTTATGCTGTTTCCTCGATTTGTTTGATAAAATTTTCAAGTCAAATGTCCAATCTTTGATAATTATGAATTTCATTTATAGATGCTGCCAACGACCTCAATTTATGTATTGCCTGAACCATAATTTTCCAGAGTTACTGGTCATTACTTTGTCAATTTGGACAAGTCAATCTAATTTAACTTTCAGAGGGTGTTAATGACATTATCTTTGGTGAAGCTGACAAATGCTTCAACCAAATTGTCGGTAATATCAATCACCTTGACATAGTGTTGAGAGTCAATAACCAAAACTATAAAGGTTATTCAATCTAATCATCACTTCAGACAAGGTAAGTTAACTTTATTTATTCAGAGAAAATTAAACAAGAATTGTTAATTTCAATGTCTTCTTTCATTAAATCAGGTTCTTGCACTTCCTTTCAACTCAACTGTATGTGTAGGCTAGTTGAATAAATTTGACTCAAAATGAGAACATGGTATTGCTCGATTCACTTCAATTTACATGATTGTAAAGTGTTCAACTATTATGGATCAATCTAAAAATAATCGAATCATGGAAACGAATTTGATTTCCTGTAACTCTATTCAATCGTACATATGTCAACAACTTTATGACCAAACTTGATCTCAAGTGATTTCTCACTCCAAGTAATCCTCACTCTTTTCAATCAATCCTCAGCATTTTCAATCCAACTTCATGATAACCTTCAACCTTCAATTTATTTATAAACCACAACCATAATGGAGTTAATGTATTAATACAAGGTATTTAACTAATCAGAGGACAACAAACCTTCCAATAAGCCCAACACTATCATCATCTTTCCAGGCTTTTGGCATTGCAAAACCTTGCTCTGAATATTGGAATCAAAGGAACATTTAGAAAAATTTAATTTCAAAAAAGCTCATTATCTTCGCCTAAAAACGTATGTATGATAACTCATGATAAGGTAGCCACGAATGGTTTGAGTAACAGTAAATTGGTACCTTGATACAAGATACTAATCATGGAAGAGGTTAAAAGTAATCATCTTAATAACCATTATTAAATTGAAATATAATACAAGCCTTCAAGATAGCAACAGATCTGAATGTTTGCTAATATCACTTTAATATGATGCTAATGTGCAGGTAACATGGATGGTTATGATTAATATTTACATGGATAAGGCAAATCCAATGTCTCCTAGCAATTTTACTTGCTGGTCGTTGGGTAACTTAATAATTATCATGATTTAGATTCAATTCAATGTTATTCTTTCGCTTTCTTCATCACTAATCTCATCAGGCTCACGTGGATTACTGTGATTAACTCAATCCAATAGCCTTAAGAAATGATAATTAAATGAAATGCTGATGAAATGATGATAAAATCAAGTAGGTGGATATGTAATTGATCTTGAAACAGCAAAACAATTTATAATTTAACCATAATTTCAACACAATTTCTGCATATAACCTCTGATGTTGTCTAACTTGATACCAACTTACAGGCTTCACTCGCCATCAACTGAAATTACCATGTTACTTATTCATTTATTTATCTCTCCTTTATCCTTTCCATGAATAGATCAATATTATTACATATTATTTACACCGACTGATTACAATAAGAATAGGAAATTGACACCAGTTGATATAATGTAAGTAACTCTTTATTACGATATTGACATTTATTAGTCTGAGCGAAGCAAAGACTTAAAATTTCCCTCCCTATACTACCAAAATTTCACCTATTTTAAACATTATCACAGCAACCATTGCACCCACTGTATTCAAACTTACACAACATTATCATACTACTATGAAGAATTTCTGAAAGGCTTTTTATGAAGAAAAAAAATAAGCAAAAGCTTTTATAAGCTAAAAAGGGTTTTTCACAAGAATCATCATAGAGTGCGTAAAATCGCGTCGGTGACTTGCGTACTTCTACTGTACATTCAAAGCATGGTTTTCAGCTTTTGCAAAACTGAATTTCCGGATTTAAAATATCCGGTTCCGGAACAACTGAATAAAAGGCCATTTTCACGGAAGTCTGTAACACTTGATTCTACATTTTTGTCCGAGTCATTTTCTGAAAGAGCTCTTAAATTTATTATGAAAACTTGTTAAAGAAATCGGTTTGTATGCCCACGTTTTCGAGAAAACACGTAAAACCTATTACTTTGTGACTTTTTTCAACTTTTTTATTTCAACTTACTACTTCTTTTAAACGTGCAAAACAGTGACTCTACATCATATTAAAGCTATTTAAGCGATAAAAACAACATAAAAATCAAACATTTTGAAAATGTAAGTAAAAAACCAATTTTTCCCAAATTTTGAAAATTTTTGAATTTACACTTTTTAACGTCTTTTTTTCTTTTGTTTCAGTAACTACGTACTTATTTAAGCATATTTCATTGCTTTAAACAACTTTAAAACCAAAAGATTTTGGTCTGTGAGGTGAAAACCTATTACTTTGTGACTTTTTTCAACTTTTTTATTTCAACTTACTACTTCTTTTTAACGTGTAAAACAGTGACTCTACATCATATTAAAGCTATTTAAGCGATAAAAACAACATAAAAATCAAACATTTTGAAAATGTAAGTAAAAAACCAATTTTTCCCAAATTTTGAAAATTTTTGAATTTACACTTTTTAACGTCTTTTTTTCTTTTGTTTCAGTAACTACGCACTTATTTAAGCATATTTCATTGCTTTAAACAACTTTAAAACCAAAAGATTTTGGTCTGTGAGGTGAAAACCTATTACTTTGTGACTTTTTTCAACTTTTTTATTTCAACTTACTACTTCTTTTTAACGTGTAAAACAGTGACTCTACATCATATTAAAGCTATTTAAGCGATAAAAACAACATAAAAATCAAACATTTTGAAAATGTAAGTAAAAAACCAATTTTTCCCAAATTTTGAAAATTTTTGAATTTACACTTTTTAACGTCTTTTTTTCTTTTGTTTCAGTAACTACGTACTTATATTAAAAGCGAATTGCAACAAATTCTATAGTCAAAAGCCCACGAGAGTTCAAACTGGTATTGACAAAGCTCACAAGGAACACACAAAGTTGAGGAGCCAGATAGGCATAATCTAAGACTTCACAAGCCCCAAGGTAGAAATATACGTTTTATAAACAATCTCACTGTAAACCATTTCAATTGCAATTATTCAGTATTATTCAACTAAGATATGCGAGTTAAAAGACAGTCTGCCAAAACACGACGTTTCGTGAATCGTAATAGAAATAATCCAACAATTCCTCATGCAGAGGATGCATTGGAGGAGCGTTCAAACTCTCCTAATATTATCAATCCTATCCAATATTCTTCATCATCTGAAAGTGAAGAAAGTTTTAGACCTCCACGCAATTATCATATCTCTTCCAGTCAGGTGGCTGGTCCATCTCACGCTGGGCCAGTCATAGTTGGGAATCCACCTGCTTTTGAACATCACCCTTATAACAGTGATTGTGAAACGCAAGTGTATTCACCTCTTTTACCCTCGCATCCTTATAATAGTGACTCTGATACGCAAGTATATTCTCCTGTAACCGAACCCGTTTATTTAAATAGACATATTGGGATGAGTTCTGCCATAGACTCTTATCCAAATTCTTGGATAGATACTGCATTGAAATTCGATAGAATAATGTCTGAGATCAGATGGAATTCATGCACTACATGCTGTCAGAAGTTTCCTGATCTCTTCTTGAAACGTATAACTCATGAAGGCGGATCAGAAAACTCCTGTCGTTTGTGTACGAATAAACGTTCTGAAGGGCTATTCACAAGCGGTAATGAAATGGACCCTGGTCCCATTCCAGAAGTATTGCAAGATTTGACTCCCATCGAAGAAATGCTAATAGCAAAGATCCATCCAGTGGTATGCTTTTATCGTATTAGAGGACAGCAAATGTCTTACTCAGGTCACGTCATTCACTTTAAACAAGATATTGTCAATTTATATAGTAAATTACCAATAGATCCATCCTTTTCCCAAGCAATTGCTATAATTTCTCGAACAACTCCAAGTGGTGTTGCCAATTTAAGAGTAAGGAGCGGAAAAATCAGAAATGCATTGTTGTATTTAAAGCATAATCATCAATATTATCATGACATAATAATTGATGAAGATGTCTTAAATAGCCTTCCAATTGATGGAGACATCAATGTCCCTGTACTTGAATGTTCTCAAGAAGAACAGCCTGAACAAGAAGACCTAGATAATATCATTTATGAGTGCAATTATCCGAGCATCCCTCAGTTAGATCAAGCAGCTGCTATTTCTGCTGCATTAGGTTCAGATTTAGAATGGCCGTTGATGCAAAATATGCCTATAAGTGAGTTTACAACTGATGGTTATCTCACGCAGGCTTTTCCTACACTTTTTCCTAAAGGTACAGCAGCTTTACGACAACCTAGAGCTAAAAAAATTGATTATTTACTATACTTTCAGTATTTAATGCGATATCATGATGGAAGATTTGCACGCCACCCACGTTTTCGTTTTGTAGCTTTCGACTCTATCATGCGATGGCAAGCATTAAAACAGGGTAATTTATTCATCCAGCGTAATGCTTTTGCTAACGTAAATGCAGAGGATTTAAGAGTTATGTTAGAAGAGAATCCGAATTTGTTATCAAAAGTTATGTTCAATGTTGGTAAGCTTAGAGCATCACAGAGTTTTTGGAGTCAGCGTTGCGGTGAATTACTTGATATGGTACAACAAATAGGTACACCTACAATCTTCTTTACTTTATCGGCTGCTGATTATCACTGGCCTGATCTATTCAGACTCTTATCTCCGGATAATGATTCAAATCTTTTATCTGAAAGAGAGAGGATTGAGCTTATGCATAAAAATCCATTGATAACTTCATGGTTTTTTAGGCGGCGTGCTGAAACATTTATTGATAAAGTGTTGAAAAAAATTTACCCAGTTAATGATCTATGGTATAGATATGAATGGCAGTGGAGGGGCAGTCCTCATATCCACGGTGTGCTGTGGATTGATGGAGCACCTGATGTAAGCAAGTTGGATGATATCAGTGAAGGAAGTCGTGATAGAATTGCCCAGTGGTTTGCGAATTTCTGTTCCGCATGGAACTTCGATTCGCAAACACAGGCTGGGAGTAATCACCCATCTAGATATACATTTACGAATAAAATGTCTGAAGAAACAGATCTCAATGATCTTTTGAATTGTTTGCAGAGGCATACGCGCTGTGGACGCCATTGCCTAAGGAAAGAAAAGCGAACAGGAGTGTTGAAATGTCGCTATGGCTTTCCTAAGCCTGTTTGTAATAACAACCTTCTTGTGAAAGAAAACGGAAACTGGCAATTTCAGCCAAGAAGAAATGATGATAAGATGGCACGATATAATCCATTTATTACTCAATTATGGAGAGGAAATACAGATTTTTCTCCCATCACTTCAAAAGAAGCTGTACTCAATTATATTGCTAGATACGCAACTAAATGTGAACAAGCTTCTGTAGTGCACAAGAGAACACTAAGAGATTTAGTCGCTAACTCTGCTGATTCCACCATGGCCAAATCTTTGATAAGTAAACTTTTGATAGCTTCAACTGCTGAGAGAGATTTTTCAGCTCAAGAATGCTGCCATTTAATGATGAGCTGGCCACTTTACCACTCATCAAGACAAGTCGTAAATTTAGTTATCAGAGATGATTCTTGGGTAAATTTACTGCATTCTGACAATCAGAATGCGGCTATTATTCAACGTTATATCGATAGACCAACTAATTTTTCTGGACTTTCTCTATATAATTTTGCAGGAGAAGTCAGATACTCGTCAGGTGCTTATACTATGCGCTCGAAAAGAGCAATTGTTCGTATTTTCCCAAGATTGAAACTGGGAACAACTGTTAACGATAGTGAGAAGTACCACAAATTACTCGCTACTGCCTTTTTACCATGGAGAGGTAATCCTGAAACATTGATAGAGAATGTTTCAGGAAATACACCATGGTTAAGTGTATGTGAAAATCTCCCAACAGAAGTCCCACCTGATATGAGATTAGATTTCCCATTGCCAGATGATCTATTTGAAGAAGAAATTCCAATAGATCCTTTGCGTGAACAACGAGACCCAGCTCAAGCAATCTCTCGAGCAGCTCCAGTTGAGCATGAAATTAGGTCTTTAGGTACCAGAGAAATAGATGAAGAGTTCAACTGGGAAGAGAATTCTGTTTCTGAGGCTGAGAAAAACGCAATTGATTCCTGGTTAGAAACTGAGAAGCAAAATTTTCACACTGCTTCACGTTCTGTGAATCGAGTGACATCCTTTTCTGCAGATCAGTTGAAGATTATTCAGCTTTGCAGAAGACAAATAAGAGGTTTGAATCAAAACGCAAGGTTGAGAGTGAAACGCATAATGGTTCAAGGTAAAGCGGGTAGTGGCAAAAGCTTCATTATCGAACAAATCGCAAATGAGTTTAAGTTGGGTGTAGGACAAGATTCGGTGGCCATTTTAGCTCCAACAGGAGTTGCTGCAATAAACATAAATGGGAAAACAATACATTCCTATCTTAATATAGGCATTGAAAAACAACACAAGCGTCTTCAGGGCGAGTCTCTGAGAAAGTTTCAACTTAAGATGCAAAACGTCAAAGTTCTAATTTTCGATGAGATGTCTATGATAGGACTAAGATTGTTAGAAAAAATATCTATAAGGCTACAAGAAGGTTCAGGTTCTGTTGATGAACCTTTTGGTGGTTACATCGTCTACTTTTTTGGAGATATGCAGCAATTGCCTCCAGTGCAAGATTACCCATGGTACGATGAGTCAGAATATAGTCTGGGTTCAATGGGTAAACTCATTGCTGACTCTATTCAACGTTATTTTTTACTTACAACATGTCACAGACAAGCGGGTGATGATCAAAGAGATTTTCGAGTATTATTAGATGAAATAGCAATGGGTAGAATCTCAGATACGTCGTATTCACTATTGATGTCTAGAAGGGCATCAATTTTGAACCCTGATGTTGTTAGATCATTCAACGAAGCAATTAACATTTTTCCAAAGAAAAATATGGTTAAAAATCATAATGAAAACCACCTTAGACAAACAGGTAATCCTGTGGCTAGAATCTTAGCTATGCATAATGCACCCCAGGGGGCAAGAGCTAAAGAAGATCAAGTACATGGTCTAGCTAATGAATTATATCTTTCAGTTGGTTGTAAAGTAATGTTGAGGTCCAATTTATGGACTGAAGTTGGTCTTGTAAATGGGGCATTAGGCATGGTTCGTCAAATAAGATACAAAGAAGGAGATAGACCACCTTCATTACCGGTAGTTGTTATGGTAGAATTTGAAAATTACAACGGTCCACACTATAGCAACAGATGTGTGCCAATTGTTCCACTTAAAAGACAGTGGAAAGATGGTGAAATTTCTCTTACACGCACTCAATTCCCTTTAATTGTTGCACATGCTATAACGACTCATAAGTCTCAAGGCCTTACCCTTGATAAAGCAGTAGTAGATATTGGAGATAAAGAAATGATGTTAGGGCTTTCTTATGTGGCACTTAGTCGAGTGAAAACATTGCAAGGTTTGATGCTACTTCATTCATTTGAGAAAAATAGGATTGATAATATTTCGAAGTGTAAAATGATGCCTTCAAGGAGTGAATTTCTCAGAAAGTTTGTTTGATTATTGTCATTCAAAATGACTTTTTAAAAATTAGTTTGAATCTGAATAATTGCTATATTGAAATGGTCAAGTTATTTTGTTTTAATTTTTGTAATTATCAATAAAAATTATTCAAATTTACAAATACTTTTGTATTTTTTATTCGGAATTTTATGTTATATTGCCATTATGCATGCGGACTAATCAAATTTTTAAACCCTCAGAATTCAGTCCCCTTATTTGATATAATGTAAGTAACTCTTTATTACAATATTGACATTTATTAATAATTTTTTTTCCTCCTAATTGTTCAAAATTTCACATGTGAATACAGTTAGCTTTCAAACCTGTCACCCTGACTATAGCCTGTGATATTCAACTGGCTTAGGATTTTGTTAAAAGCTTTCAATTCCTTCACTTTTTTCAATGGTAAGCTTTTTAATATCAATACAATTCACTTAAAATAGTATATTTTCAGCATATTTTGCATTCTATCACAATATTTATAATTTTTCAACTAAAATTTTATTTTCTTCCAGTTTTTTTTCCGTCTTCAACCAACATCTGAACTGGACATCATATAAACTGATTTATCAATTACCATGCAATCAAGAGCAATCTATCAATTGATGTAAATTCAAAGAAGATCAATTTTTGAAACATTTCAGTCTAGACACAAATCTTAAAATCTTATAAATTTCAGTTTTATTTTTAGATTGATATTGAATTAGCTTAGAGATGAGATGAAATTAGTATAAATTGATGAAAAATGGGTTTACTCGTTGAGAGGTTTTCATTTGAATATCGATTTAGTCTTAAGATGATTAATATTTATAATAATCATGTTTATCATGAATACAAATTGGTTTTGTAGTCACTGTAACTTGATTCTTAATCCTCTTCCGATAAGCACCAAATTTTTACCAGTGACTTAACAGTAATGGTTTTAATTTGATTAAATTAAACCAAATTTGTTATAAGGTTATCGAACGTAGTCTTTCATCCTTTGTAAGTGTTGTATTTTGATTTCCAACTCTTAGCTGAATCAATTGAATTATAATTGGAAACTAATAATTGAAAGGTTATTAATTTCCACCAATAGCTTATATAACATTTACCGTTGAGAAAAGAGATTATAATGGATGTATTTTTAGTCTTTTTACTTTGAGCAAGAAAAGCTTAATCCAACTCAATTTATACATCCATTATGGATGATCCATACACACAATGTATAAAAGTCAATGTATCAAATTTTTAGGTCAAAATTGTGGCCAAACGGAAAGCAGACAAAAAGAAGAAAAAATTGCACAAAACTAATGTTTGTTGCAAAAACATTGATTCAACAATAACAACGAAAAATGTGAAACCTAATCTCAGAATTCAGATTCTGAGAGATTCATGAAAATAAAGGCTTTGGGAAATTACAGAATCCATATTCAATAACATTTCTAAAAGACGGAAACTATTTTGGTTATTAAGGTTGGTGGTTTATTGTTAGATTAGGATTATATGTAAAACTTTGTCTCTTGAGTAACAAGTAAAGAGTTTGACAAAAAAATCTGGTGCCTTGAATGTACAAAAGGAGATTGAAGTAACTTTGAACCCAATTTCGTCGAAGACTTTCGATCAAAAGGATTTTTTTATTGCACTAATAGACCCAACTTTCGACCCATATAACCATCAAAAGCATCAACTACCCAACTTAAACGAAGTTTTTACTTAAAGAAAGGTTTTTTAATTAATGGAAAAATTTTTATTTTATCTTATTCTGGCGATGATTTTTCATTAGGAATTTGGGTATTTTCGATGTGGATATGTTGTTTAATACACAGTAAAGAAGACTTTACAGGGATCAATCATGATCGGAGAATCCGCTTGTTGATCCTAAATATTGTGATAATGTTATATATTGTATAGGAAATGAAAATTCATACTGATCACAGACATTTGTAACGGCAATCTTTGATAGAAGAAATAAGTTTGATTGGTTTGAATGTTAATTTGTTGTCCAAGTTGATGAATTTTAATGTGTTCATTAAAAATCGTTGAGCTCAAATTTTAACCAATTTTATTATGGCAAACTAAATCTTGATTATTTTTATGGGTAATTGTTAGATGGTTAACTGGCAATTGAATTAGCTATCACTTAGTTAACCATCAGTTGAACATATTTTTTGTTCATTTTCAATTCCCTTGTTGGACTGATCAATGTTATTGATTGAAATTTTAAACTGTCATTTTAAGCAATTGAAAGGTTTTAGCTCTTAATCAAAATGCAATTTTTATGAAATGAATGTTTGTTATTACGATTGCTATTAAGTTTACTTTTACCATTTTTCTTTATTGATTTACTCAATAGTTACAGGACAACATTTGGTGGTCATGGCTTTGAATTTTGGTAACTCAATGAAGCTGGTGATCTTTGATAAACAGGCTGTCCTGGAGCAATTATTGGTGACTTATGCTTAGTTGTGTATATCGTTTCAGCAGGACTTAGAGCATTCTCAAAATAATGGCGAATAATGCGTACAAAAAGTTCTGGCGACGGCTTTTGTTGGCGAGTATTTAACCGCTGCATTGGCCCTTCAAAATGAACAATTTCTTCAACTGCATAAGGTTCATTCCTGTTGTTAGGTGCATTTGCTCGTAGATCTTTCAATGGTACGCTAGGATTCCTTGGTACATAAGGATCATATTTAACTACTTGTGGTTGACGATCATTATATGAGCGCATATCCATACCAGGTTCATATCGTGATTTAGGGGGCAAACGAGGTGCAGGTCTAGGTTGAGGCTGAGGCTGGGGCTGAGGTTGAGGCTGAGGTTGAGGCTGAGGTTGAGGCTGAAGTTTAGGTTGAGGTTGAGGTTGAAGCTGAGGTCGAGGTTGAGGTTGAAGTTTAGGTTGGTTACTTGGAATATTTCGTCTGTTATTGAATTCTTCTTCGTGCTGAGTAAATCGGTATTCAATATGATTATCAGTGTCCTGTTTATTGGTACCAATTGGCTTTACTTCATATGCTGGAATCCATGGTGTTTCTGGTATCGGCTTTATTGGTTTGTAATTTTGTTTGTCAGACAAGCTTTTTAAATGGTTTAGTTCAATTTCGCTCATCTTTGGTTGCATTGATGAACTACTGGAGGTTTGAAGTGGATTTGAAGTTGACGAAATAGTTCGACTTTCAACAGCTCTTGACACTTCAGTTGATGCAGTGAAAGCATTTGATGAAGCATGAGATGTTTCACTCGACTCAACTTGACTAGATAAAGTTGAAGCTGAAATTTTATCAATCGGTTTAGAAGTTGTAATCGTTGTAATCTCAAGCTTTGATGTAGTGGTAGTTTCAGGCTGAGTTGTTGAGTTTTCTTGTCTCTTATCGAATTCATTTGGCGGTAACGGTGTCAAACTTCGTTCTGCGGTTGTTAGAGGTTCCATTGTTGTAGATGATGTTGCAACGAAAGTGTTATTCTCCCTGTAACTCTTGCTTTCACTGGTACTCGATGATGGTGAAGATACAGCATCGGTGGTTTCATTTTTCTGACTTGATGAATCAGGGGTTAGAACACCTTTACCTTCTTTACCTTCTTTAAGATTTACACTTAAATCGGTTGGGGCAGAGTTGGTAGAATTGTCTGATGTATCTCGGTTATTGTTTTCAAAAGAGCTATCGAATTTTGAAAGTGTACCATTCAACTCTTTCTTTAAACTCTCAACTATTGATGAATTAGGAACGAGCGCATTTTCATTATTTGGATACATTTCCATTGAAGGCAATTCCATAACTTTTCGATCATCTGATTTTCGCCTTACATTCACATTCAAAGTTACTTTGTAATCTAAATCATTAACCTTCTCTACCGTTGGTTCCATCACAATTTTATAATCTTGTAAAGAAAACAACAAATTTTCAGGCGAAATGGGTCCATCCTTCTCATAAGATTTATCATCATTTGCATTGTCACCAAAATCATCTGAAATTAATTTAAAATGAATCAACAGTTAATATTTAAGGCTTAATATGCTGAAATTAGTCAAACATACCGTTAGTTGGAAGATCTAGGACTTGACGCTTACGAGCTAGACCGTTGGTATCGTTGTTTCTTGAAGGTTTTTCAGTAGTTTTTGGTGGGACCATTTGAATACAAACATCCGAAGGACAGTCAGGTGTGTTAATTAAGTAATCTTCAGGTCTGGTGTCATCGTCCATTGGTTGACTGATGTTTCCTAGACTTTTGGTATCGTTGTTGCTTGAAGGTTTATCATTAGTTATTGCTGGGTCAATAGGTTGACTGATGTTTCCTTGTTCCGAGGTTTCCCCTGTCACAGGCTAATGGTTGAACAAAATTGAAGTAGCAATGACAAAATTAAAGTCATCTTTGATGAGACTGATTGTTAACTATGATACTTACATTACTTACATTTATCGGTTGACAATCAAATGATTGACTGAATATGGAAACCAATATTGTTATTAGAATGAATCTTGTAACTGAATTTAAATGAACACATTTTAATGGAGTCATATTTTTCTAGCAAGCATAAACAATTGAAGTTAATAAGGTTGGTTTCATGACAAAAGTATCATTATGATTAAATTCATAGATAGACGTTGTCGCTACGCAGTTAACCTTTAATTTTAATCAAGTGGTTTGAAATAAATTGCTGTTTCAAACAGTTTATAGATTATTGCCGATTTATGCTTCTTGAGTGATTATTATCTGCAAGACAACCATTTTTATTCAATAATTATCGTCTTCATATTTGGACTTAAATTAACTTTCATTGTGAACATTCAGCGGAAAATAAAGCTTAAAATTTATTGACCTGGATTGATAATAAAATTACAATAATGTCTCGTTAATCAATTGTAAATGCTCTCCAGTCATTAATTGTAACCACTTAGAGTGTATTAATGTATTGATTAGTTGAATTACATTAACAGTTACATTGAGATTAATAATTGAAACACTGAAATCAAAAGACATCAAGGAAACATAAATAATATACAGAAATGTACTTTAAGCCTCAATTTTTTGCTAGATTTCCATTCGTATAAAAGCAACAGAAAAATGTAGCAAAATTTTCAACAAATGGTAACAATTTACAATTATTTAATGTCATCTATGTTTAGCTACTTATAGAGAAAAGCTCAGGAAAAACAAAGCAAAATAGACATCAACTGTCAATTTTTGGGTATTTTGGGTTCAACAAGAAGAAAAAATTGTTACAAAAAATTTATGAACCATAAATGTTTCACTTTTTTCAATATTTCAAATGATTTGAGAGCAGAATTAGAAAGTTATTAATTTTAATGAAAAATTCATTTGTTTCTTTTTCCGTCTCTCATGTTACAATTATTTAACAAGTGCATTTCAACTTGAGTAACTTGAATCTTGAGTTGTCAACGTTATTCATTTTCATGCAAACAGTTGACATAATAATTCAGTATGAATGGAACCAGGTTAAATGGCTCAAATTGAAGAGGGAAAAGTTCAAAGTCTTGAGACTGGAATTTTGTTGAAGCAACAAGAAAAAGATTATTAGGAATTGAATAGCTTAGCAGATCAATTGTAAATCCAAGGAGATTGATTGTAAAATGTTGAAACAATTTAAATATTTTCTATGTTTTTGGGTTGATTTACACACTTTTATATGTTTTCATTTCTTGAAAAGCTCCAAGGATTAACCAGAATAACTAACCTTTTTCATTACAACTCACCAGTTTTAACTTATTTGTTTTTTCTCAGTCTGTTGTTTGATATCATAATCAATTTTTTACTATTTACAATTTGTCTTCATTTTGTTCTGTAATAATGTTTGCTAATTGTTTCCATTCTTCTGCCACTCAGGTTTCACTTGGTGAGTTCAAGCTTGCTCAGTATTATCCTGTTTTTTTGGCTCTATCAACTCCTTGGTTTCAACTTCAGTTAGCAACATCTAAAGTTTTGGTTTTGTGTCTAATGAATGTCAGCCAGAGACTCCAATCAAGACTCCAATTAGTAGTGAATAAAATGATGTTCATTTTAAGTTACAATTTTATGGTTAATTACATGGTTAAATTAACAACACTTGTTCACATTCATTGGATAATTAAACAAGCAAACGGATCATTACTGTCACTGGCTAAACTCTTAGCTTGAGACAAAAAAAGCTACCAAAAGTTGACAATTGAAAGTACAAACATCAAACTAATTGTATAATGATTTTGTTGATAATGTTTATTATGTGTATTATGACAGCACTTTCATCTGAAAATGTTAACCATCATCACAATCAACAGCAACAATCTGTGGACCCAAATTACCAATCATCAAGTTCACCGTTAAATTTACCGCCATCCCTTTCACCATCATTTTTAACGCCACCAACGATCTCCAGTAAAAGTAATAGTAACCAGAATAATGTTTATACCAGCAACAACGAATACAATAATAATGATATTAATAATTTTTATAAAAACAACAACAACAACAATTTAAGTTCCCAAGATGGATCAATCAACTATAAACCCTATGAACAACGAGTTGAAACCTATATGGTTCCTATCATTTTTGCTTTCATATTTTTAATCGGTTCAATAAGCAACGGTTTAACCATATTAATCATTTTCCGTGAACGCCTTTACCGCTCTCCATCCTATTTGTTTATCCTTAACCTGTCGCTGGGTGATCTCATTGTAATCCTAGGATCGTTACCTTTTGCGGCCACCATTTACACCTTTGAATCATGGCCTTACGGAGAAACAGTTTGCAAGCTAAGTGAATTTATACGTGATGTTTCCGTTTCGGTGACCGTTTTCACTCTAACAGTTATGTCCTATGATCGATACAAGGCAACCTTTGCTCTCTCTCCACGCTCTAACCTGATAAATTACTCACGGCCTACTACGGGTAACCGTCGTCACCCACCACCAATTGGTCCAACACCTTTCCATGTTAAACTGTTATCTCTTCGCTATGGTAACATTGTAACAGGAATTTGGATTGTGTCCGCAATCATTGGACTTCCAGCCATTAATGCCTTTATATTGAACCTTGACCTGACAGACGGTAAAATTATCCAAGTTTGCTATCCCTTTCCAGTTCATCTTGGCACTTGGTATCCAAAAATTGTAATCTCGGTCAAATTTCTCATCCTCTATTTGATTCCTCTCACTGTTATCTGTTTTTGTTATACACTTATAAGCCTGAAACTACACCATTACTCCAAAACCAATTCAAGTCTGGCCAATCCTGAAGGTTCTAGGCTTCAAAGTGGATTCAAGTTAACCACAAGTGACCCGTTAACTCGTCGGCATCGATTCAGAAGGCGAATTGTGATTTTTTTTGTGGTTGCCTTTGCAATCTGTTTCTTTCCTAATCATGTTTACCTGCTCTGGTTTTATTGGAATCCCGATGGAACCAACAGCAATCAAGCCTTTTGGCATGTTTGGCGTATTGTTGGTTACATCTTGTCCTTTACAAATTCCTGCCTCAACCCAATCATATTGTATTTAACGTCTCAAAGATTTCGAGCAGAGACGAAAAATTATCTCTCCCAATTCATGAAAAAGTATTATAAAGATGATAATCATCATAACCACGATTCCCCACATCAACAACATCAACCGGAAGGTTGTGATTCTCCGGTGAGAACTTACTAATTATTTAATTTATTAAGCCAATTTTCATTAAACAACCAACCAAAACAAATAACCAAATCTCTCGATTTGTCACTGCTTTATTTATTATGATGCCAATTTTATGTCCGTAACAACATTGAATTGTGCTTTTAAATTACAAATTTCAGTCAACTGTCAACATATTGATTAAGCACCAATTGAATTGAAATCCAATAATGTAACAAACCAAAAAAATCAGACCGAATTTATTTGATTCAGTGTCAATTGAAAACGATGTAACAAAATTGCCAATGAATATGTATTAATATGTATTTATGTTCACGCATTCCTATGGGAACTTTTGATTATCATAAACTTAATCAACTCTGGTCTTTATTGTAATAAGCTGTAATTTATTTGTTTCCTCTTCATGATTTCTTGTTGATTCAAATTTTCATTTTACTTGATCATATAATACTTTATTTTTATCGTCTATTTGGTTCACCTTTTGTTCAAAGTAAACTTTTTGTTTAAACTTCCAATACAATCGATAATCTAATGATGAATTTAATGATTTAAAGGCCCACTAAACTAGTTAGCAATAAAGTGATATCTCATGTAATAGTTAATCATTGAAGAGACTATCAATGGTGTATAACAGTTGATTAAACAAGACAATCTTGTAAAAATAATGTAACATTCAACAGTTACTCGGAGTTTTTGTTATAATATGCTTTTCAATTTGTAAATCATAACGATAATAAACAAAATTTAAGGATCAATAATTCAATAAATGGCAATCATTTGAGTAAGGTTTAGTCGGAAGGGTTTGATGAACAATAATTTTGATGAAAAAATTGCCAATCAAAAGGTTATTCAAGGCAATATTTGGAATTGAAATTGTCAATTGAATCTTAAATTGACCAAATGTGATACCAGAAAGTCAAAGAGGTTGACCCTAAGAGATGAGATACTGCGGGATATTTTTTTCTGGTAAAAGTAAAAAATGATATTACTACAATTAAATACTGAGGTAATAAAAGGAGAATTAAGTTGTTTGTAAGAAAATAGCCAAATTAATGATTCAATTAGCCATTGACATGATCTTGATATGTTGCTGGACCTGAAAAAGGGAAGCAAATTTCTGCTGGTTCAATGGATTTACTCGAATGGTCAAAATTAATGTTGCCCAATTTATTATATCACCATCACCGTCATTCATGTCAAGTTTATATTTGTCAACAAAATGACAGTTTATGATTGTGTATGGCTGTGCAAGGGTAATGAACTTGAGTTAATAAGATATTTGAACTCATCTGTTGAACTTGATCATGATTATGGGAATATAATGATGAGGATAAGCCAATGTAAAATAAGGTGCAATCTCCGGATTTTTTTCCGTTTCCATCTTTACTTTCACTTCCATGTCTTGTCATCTACTCTGCCAATTTCACTGTTACACTTATTTTAACTAGTAATTACGCTTTAGACTTGAACAACAAGTTATTTAACTTGAACGCTTGTTTACTCATTAAGTCTAACAATTAGTCTTTGAGTGATCAAAACATCCGTAATGTAACAATGAGATAATGATTATATCAATTTATAATGTAATTATAATTTGATGTTGTTTTCCTGCGTGGACAAGAGTTGATTTAAAATGGTTTGTCTCCTTAATATGATAATATCGATGTTTTTTTATCCCAAATTTATTTCCATCCATTTTATTGATTTTATCCATTTTATCTCGAGCTATCCAAAGTATGGTGAGTCTAAAAAGGACAACAAAATGAAAAAAATATATTAAATCAGAACAGGGTAAAAATTCAAATCTGGTACTGATCACAATCATATCTTGATATTATGCCAGATTTTGGTTTTGGTTACTAGCTTTTATAAGAGATGCAAACGGTATCATCATAAGGATAATAGACTTACATAATAATAGTAAAATTCAACTAAAAACGTTGAAAAGGCAATTTGAATTTTTTTCAATCATAAGATGCAATTGTATAAAGTCGACCAGTTGTATACAGCTAATAGATGCACAGAGTACTGTTATTGCCATCCAGACACTTTGAAACTCTCTGGTTTACCCTCTTAAATCAGTCGACAGTTACCACGATCCACATGAGAATACCCTTTTAGGATGATTAATTTAGCAGCAACAACTCAAAACAAAAGAGCAATATTCCAATCTTGAAAAATATCGAATTACTGGATTCATTTCACTTATTTGCATCTCTTTAAGATGAAGCCACTTCCGAATCAGATCAAATTTCCTTCCGTAAGCCAAACTTGGTATTATATCGGAGTGTGATTATTATGATAGCACAGGATAACGGGGTTAATAAATTCACCAATGGCAAGCTAAACTAAGTACACACACAAAAAAATATAGATAAATAAATAAGGTTAATCAATTCATTAGGTTAGCTCATATATTATACCCACTTTAAGTATTAATATAGTCAATGCAATTAAAGTTGTAGAGAGCTACGCAATAAATCTGTTTAATTATTGAATAAACTTAAAATGATAATATTAAACTTTAACAATTAACTCAAAAGCTTCAATACTTGAGACGAAACAAATATTAACAGTACTTAAGCATGACATCAGCTGAGTGTTCGTGTATGATCTTTGAAAGCATTGGTGCTAAAAAACGAGCAAAAAAGCGGTTAAATTAGACTGCCATCTTAAAACACAAGAAACAAATAATTAAATTAATTATTAAATTTTAATTCAGTTCGTATCTAGTGTTATAAGAAAAGATAATTAAATATAACATTCTGTTGATGGAAAAGTAAAAGTAAAACTTCAACTTGAACAGCTAACTGGATAACACAGTAAACTCATAACATCCTTACAGTTTTTTTTCAACAAAGTAATATTTTTGGGTTGATTTTTTCTCGTTAATTTAATCAAATATTCATCTTTCAACCTATTATTAATCCTGACAGCTGAATATTCAAAGTAATCATTGCTTGCTCTATAAATGAACAACAAATAATGCACTGTTGGATAAAAAAGCCAGAGGCGATTCAGCCTAAAAGACTATCGCGTTATAATCCACGTAAGTGTAAGGCTATTTCAACTTTATTACAATAGCTTCTGAATTAGGATTACAATAAAGGAATGGCCAATGTCATTACATAAATAACAATACCAGTCTTATAAGGTAAAACTGTCAGTTTGATTTGACAAGATTTCCATGGCATACATCACAATAACCGTTGGTAACCCAAATAATTTCAAACAATTTACAAGGATTCCTTTGATTCTATTGATGAATCAATGTATATCAGTATATCAAGCAAGAAATGTTAATAATTTTTACCTTCTATTGTATACAATACATATTTCAATCACAAACATCCTCCACAATTTGTTTTAAATTGATTACGTACAAGGTTTGCTAGGCCTTGCTGTTTTCAAACTGTTACATGCTTACGTTACATTGATGTTATTTTATCATTATAGATATCATTTGTAATAAATATTTCAACAATTAATTACATTTGCAGACAAAATCATCAACCTGGTATCATTGATTTTAGGAAGATTCTTGAATAATAAACCAATAACCATGCCATGTCAGGGCAACTCAAATGTTTGATAATGAATCTTCATTTAAACTGTTTGCTGTGTTAATTGTTTATTTTATCCTATTGGTTATTGATATTATTTATGTGTCTATTAGTTGAGAAAATAGACTTGAAACTGAATCAGATAATCAAATGAAAAATGATGACCAGAAATTATCATAATGAGTAAACATTATTAGGCCTGATTAGTTTTGGGTTGACATGTATTTTGTATCGCATTACAATGTTACTGGAACAGGTTAAAGCCAAGATGAATTGGGTTAGGTTGTTACATTCAACAATCAATTGATATTAATTGTGATGATGATAATGGTCGATCGTCTAATTGTTTGGTAAATGATTACCTCGTTGTGGATAGTTGGAAAGCCAAGCTGTATTACCAGATAATAATCCTGTATTTGTTTAAGCACAGCCAATGTTTACCAACCAATTGGGTTTGCTTTGCTTAATAATCAAGGAAATTAACTTATAATTTGATTTCTTAATTTAATCCAACCATTGATTTTGGAAAGGTCAATTCTATTAGAGTTAGATTGATAACTTCAATCAATCGATTAGAGTTGATGCTTTGTTTCCATGAGTAAATTGCCTTTCCATGTTTTCAATTGTTAACCATAGAACCAGAAAAAAAGGTTACAATCAGGTATCGTATGTTAATTGGAAAGGCTACTCATTTGTTCAATGAATTGCATGAAAATCATGGTCAATCTTTGATTGTTTAATAGCTTACTATTATTAAATTTTGGGTTCACCTTTTTACTACTTGCATTGATCAAGTTAATTGTGACCGTTTTGTGGGAAACCTTATTCAAACTGACATTCAATTTAACATTTTATCAAGTTGATAGTTTGGGTTAACCTTGGTAGCGATGATCAACAAGTGATTATCATTAACAATAATGATATTATTACATCGATTGTTAATAATAGTTTCACAATTTATCAATATATAAATTCAATTTGATATTGAATACGTTTATCATTAATAAGGTTTTATCATCCTTTGTGGTTACCTTTATTTCAACCTCAATTGTTGCTAAATTGTTTGAGTATCAAGTTTTTCAATTTGTCTGTACAATAAAAATGTTTCACCACTTTGGTTGAAAATTTAAATGCTTTTTAACCCAAAGAGTTTAACCAGAAAACCAGTTTTTTAGACTTGGGTATTAATAAATGGTAACGTATCAAAACAAATGAAACCAGTGTAAGTGTAAATGGCTGTTATGAACATTTCAAATCATTACAGTCTTCATCCTTTCAAAGACATATTCATGATAAATTGGTTTGACTATTAAAACTGGAAAACAAACATTTCTGGAGATCATCTTTACCTCTGGTCAATCTGTTTCCTCTCTCATCAAAGTATATCTCAGTGTGTAGAGTCACAGAATAGGAAATAAATTTCAGATTCCCTGATCTCTAGTCCCTGGTGAAACACTTACTTATACAATTTTTTAGAAAACATTCTTTCCTGTTTTCTTGGATTCCCTGTTAACTACTGTAAAGGTAATTGTAAACATACTTGAGAGGTTGTCCTTCAATTGATTGTATTTGTAATTTACTCCAATTATCATTGGTAAAAGGTAAGAAACGTTGTCATCTGAATTTATCCAATTAGATTCAATAACATTGAACAGGTTTCCTAACCTTTTCTCCCTGTCATTGTTCCAGTTATCAGAGGCTATTTTTACGGATTTGAAATATAAATGATTCAGGTTGAATCTCGATATCATTTGCATCATTTGCTGAGGTAAGTCTACCCATTACACGAAGCAAGATTCAATATCAGCCAATATCATGTCTCTCACCATCTTGAACCTCGATTATTCAACCTTGTTCATTAATCCACCTTTTAACTGACAAAAACAACATCAATAGCATTTCTTATACAATATAAAGTGTAATGTTTAACTGCAAGTAATTACACCAAATCCATCCTTCAATACTTGCTAAAGTAGCTCGCTTTAAATGGTCACAATTGACGTAAAATCTTTAATCATTGAATCTAAAGATATTATCAAAACTGAATCATTTTGATAGCATTATAACAGTATTTACAATCACTTGAAACGAGAAACAAAATTGAATTGAAAACTCGAAATTGATATTGTTTGATTGTTTGACCAGATTTGTTGTTTTTTTTTGTTTTTTTAAACTCTCCATCTTCAGGTTTCCCTGGTTATTTCACCAATCTCGGAATTCATCTTCAAAGGTAAAATGCCAATTGATGATTGAATTTCATTTATATTGGTTTCCAAATGATAGACAACTCAAAAGATGAAACATGAAAAGATGGAAATTTCATCGCAAGAATTAGTAATTACGGGTTTGCTCATCAACCTATGATTGTCTCTCCAAATCAATATCAAAATCATTGATTATTAACAGTTGCATTCCCTTAAATTGAAGTGAAACATTTTTTCAATGTAATTCAATCTATTTCAGTGATGATAGGAATTTCAATATTTATTGATGTAATTTCAGGAACAGTTCAGTCATTTCAGTTGACACACATGATCAAAACTGTTGATTACAGGCTTTAACCTTTTCTAATAACACAAAATTATATCAACATTGAGAGCCATAGAAACAGCAACAGTTATAATCAACTGTTCATTACATCGGTTATACAAAGCGCTCAGCCTTTCTACCTTGCGTATTGTCACTGATTAATTGGCACAATTATAACCATCAGGGATTGGTTACAATGGGCAAGTTAATTGGAAAGTCAATATTAGTTAATTGTCATTAGAGCACATTTAATAACAGGTAAGATAATAATCACGGAAACAAATTTTATAATCCATTGAAATTAAATTGGGTTCCCTGGTTGAGCAACAAAATGGCTTTCACTTGTTTTTTAATGTTAATAGCTTGTCATCATAATGGGCTAATTAAATAGTTGCGGTAATATATTGATTTAATTTGATCAAATGGTTCAAAGTCACTGGTTTGATTAATTTTAACCATGGGTTTGACAGAAAACCATTAAATATTTAAGAATCAGAATATTATCAATGTAAAGCAATCACTCATTTTTGACTTACATTCATGGCAACTGAATAAAAACTTATAGAAATAATTTTTCAGCAATTCAGATCATTATAAGCATAAATCGATAGTTCATTTTGTTGAATAAAAAAATATTATCCAAGTCCAGTAGAGGTACAAAACTGGACTTGACTAAACATTGTCATCGATTCTCTAAAGACAATTATGTTAAACTTCAATAATATGTTCTGCAGCAATCAGTTATAACTAAAAAGTTAACCCAATTGTCACTCTTATGCACAAATTGAAACAAATGGACAAAAATGAGGTTAAAAATAAATTTATTTCGAATTTAAACTTTGTTAGTTGTTAGAGAAATAAAAACTGAATTCATTTGTATGTTTTAAAAGTTTCTCTGATGAACATTTCTCGAGAAAATCGAGCTCAAAGTTGAAACTTCGATAGCCTTTTGTGCCATTCTGGAAGTAGATTTGTCCATCAAACTTATTCTTGTCTCACAAATTTTGATAGTCAACCAGAAAATGCACTTCATTATAAGAAATAAAATTTTGAGCTTCTGTAAAACAGATCACTTCGATTTTCTGTTAAAGCGCCTGCATTCAGTATCCGTAAGAGTTGGATAGCTTAAACTTATTATCGGTCCATAAAAAGTGCTAGTACACATCATGGAGTCAACAACTTTTTAATTCTTTGAACAGTTATCACTCTTTGACCAAGCATTAGATTGCCTTATGGGCTATACTATGCTGAAAAATTAAACTACTCAAGATTCTACAAACAAAATCGTAGTATTGTTTTACTTATGTTGCCAGATTTGAGTTTCTTTATAAAGTTAAATAGTTTCTCAAACGCGAATCTTATGTGTTAAGAGAATATTCATCATTAAACGAATTGGTTCATATTAATTCAATTTTCAGCCTTAGAATACTATAGAACTAACAAAATCTAATGTTTGGTCAATTGATGAAGAGTCGTTGGTGATGCCATTCTCGAGATATGTTGTGTTCGAAGTTTTCAGATTAATGGCCTAAATCGAGAGAAGTATCGATAAATTGAGCAAAGTACTCAATTGATATTGTAACCCTACATGTTTTATAGCCAGATAATAAGTTTCAGCCATCTAACTCCAACGGAAACAGAATTATGTCGCTTTAACTGAAAATCGAAGTTATCGGTTTTGTAGGAAAGACAAAACTTTATTTCTCGAAATAAGTTCATTTATGGTTGACCATCAAATATTTTATGAGAAGACTAAGTTTGATGGACGAATTTGCTGCCAGAATGGCACAAAAGGCGATCCAAGATTCAACTTTAAACTCGCTTTTCGTGGGCGCTATTGATCAGAGAAGCTTTTAAATCGCTCGAACAGGCTCACGTTTCATGTCTCTTCAAACCAACTGAGTCTAAATACGAAAGAAGTTTATTTTTACCCGTTTTTGTCCATTTTTCTCTCAGTATTTGTATCAATTTGTGCATAAATGTGCACATTTGTGTTAATAGTGTCTTTTTAGCAACAACAGAATCACTTATGTTAAAATCATCAACAAAATTGACACTAATGGGCGCAAATCGGGTAAAAAATAATTTCTGGCGAATTTAAACTCTGTAATTTGGTATAGATATGAAAACTGATTCCATTAGTATGTTTTATAAGTTTCTCTGATGAACAGTTCTCGAGAAAATCGAGTTCAAATTTGAAACTTCGAGCGCTTTTTGTGCGATTCTGGAAGCAGATTTATTCACGAAACTTATCTCTATTATACAACTTCTTATGATCAACCATAAAACGAACTTATTTCGAGAAATAAAGTTTTCTCTTTTCTACAAAACCGTTAACTACGATTTTCAGTTAAAGCGACATAATTTTGTGCCCGTTGAAGTTAGATGGCTGAAACTTATTATCTGGCTATAAAACATGTTGGGTCACATTAGCAATTGAATACTTTGTTCAATTTATCGATAGTTCTCTTGATTTTTGACCATTGGCCTCAAAACTTTGACCGTTAGTATCTTGAAAATTATAGGATCTAATATCAGCATTTTTTGGCCAAACATTAAATTGTATTATGGTCTATGATGCTTTCAAATTTAAGATCATTCAAGAAACAGCGAAAAAAATTATAACATTGTATTTGTTTGGTTTTCTGGTTTGATACAAGATCAACAAAGGTAAATGGTTACTTATTATGTGTTAGCAGAATAATCATTATTGAATGAATTGGCTGATATTAATCCAATTTCCAGTTACATAATGCTATAGCTAATAACAAAATCTAGTGTTTGATCAAACAACTTGAATCGTTGGTGAAGCCATTCTCGAAATATTTATGTTCAAAGTTTTGAGGCCAATGGTCAAAAATCAAGAGAACTATCGATAAATTGAACAAAGTACTCAATTGATATTGTAACCCAACATGTTTCATAGCCAGATAATAAGTTTCAGCCATCTAACTTTAACGGGCACAAAATTATGTCGCTTTAACTGAAAATCGAAGTTATCGGTTTTACAGAAAGAAGAAAACTTTATTTCTCGAAATAAGTACATTTTATTGTTGATCATAAGAAGTTTCATAAGAGAAATAAGTTTCATGAATAAATCTGCCTCCAGAAGCGCACAAAAGGCTATCGAAGTTTCAAATTTGAACTCGATTTTCTCGAGAACTGTTCACCAGAGAAACTTATAACACACACAAATAAATTCAGTTTTTATTTCTCTACCAAATTACAGAGTTTAAATTCGCCAGAAATTATTTTTCACCCTATTTTCGCCCATTAGTGTCAATTGTGTTGATGATTTTAACATAAGTGATTCTGTTTTTGCTAAAAAGACATTACTAACACAATTATGCACATTTATGCACAAATTGATACAAATACTGAGAGAAAAATGGACAAAAACGGGTAAAAATAAACTTCTTTCGTATTTAGACTCAGTTGGTTTGAAGAGACATAAAAGGTAAGCCTATTCGAGCGATTTAAAAGCTATTCTGATCAATAGCGCTCAAGAAAAGCGAGTTTAAAGTTGAATCTTCGATCGCCTTTTGTGCCATTCTGGCAGGAAATTCGTCCATCAAACTTAGTTTTCTCATAAAACATTTGATGGTCAACCATAAAATGAACTTATTTCGAGAAATAAAGTTTTTTCTTTTCTACAAAAACGTTAACTACGATTTTCAGTTTAAGTGACATAATTCTGTGTCCGTTAAAGGCAGATGACTGAAACTTATTATTCGGCTTTAAAACATGTTGGGTGACAATATCAATTGAGTACTTTGCTCAATTCATCGGTAGTTCTCTCGATTCAGGCCATGTGCCATTTGTTGAAATTTGTGGATAAATGTGACAATAATGTCTTCTAAGTAACACCGCAACAATTGAATGGATACATTTGGGTGTTAAAACATTACATAAGCAGTTTCAGCCATCTAACTTTAACGGGCACAAAATTATGTCGCTTTAACTGAAAATCGAAGTTATCGGTTTTACAGAAAGAAGAAAACTTTATTTCTCGAAATAAGTACATTTTATTGTTGATCATAAGAAGTTTCATAAGAGAAATAAGTTTCATGAATAAATCTGCTTCCAGAATCGCACAAAAAGCGCTCGAAGTTTCAAATTTGAACTCGATTTTCTCGAGAACTGTTCATCAGAGAAACTTATAAAACATACTAATGGAATCAGTTTTCATATCTATACCAAATTACAGAGTTTAAATTCGCCAGAAATTATTTTTTACCCGATTTGCGCCCATTAGTGTCAATTGTGTTGATGATTTCAACATAAGTGATTCTGTTGTTGCTAAAAAGACAATATTAACACAAATGTGCACATTTATGCACAAATTGATACAATACTGACAGAAAAATGGACAAAAGCGGGTAAAAATAAACTTCTTTCGTATTTAGACTCAGTTGGTTTAAAGAGACATAAAAGGTAAGCCTATTCGAGCGATTAAAAAGCTTCTCTGATCAATAGCGCTCAAGAAAAGCGAGTTTAAAGTTGAATCTTCGATCGCCTTTTGTGCCATTCTGGCAGGAAATTCGTCCATCAAACTTAGTTTTCTCATAAAACATTTGATGGTCAACCATAAAATGAACTTATTTCGAGAAATAAAGTTTTTTCTTTTCTACAAAAACGTTAACTACGATTTTCAGTTTAAGTGACATAATTCTGTGTCCGTTAAAGGCAGATGACTGAAACTTATTATTCGGCTTTAAAACATGTTGGGTGACAATATCAATTGAGTACTTTGCTCAATTCATCGGTAGTTCTCTCGATTCAGGCCATGTGCCATTTGTTGAAATTTGTGGATAAATGTGACAATAATGTCTTCTAAGTAACACCGCAACAATTGAATGGATACATTTGGGTGTTAAAACATTACATAAGCAACAACACACAACTAAAAATTGCCTTCAAGTGTTAATGTTAATATCAGGCATTCACCTTTCGCATGGAGTTACTATCAAGTACAAATGAACTAAGAGCTGTAGCTGTTGATTAAATGGTATTAATCATTATTTAAACAGTTAACAACCAAGTGACTCTCAATTACCACAATGTAAAGCAAATTCAATAATATCTCCATCAAAGGAATTAATTTAAATCCATGGAAAAGCTAATCCAATAAACCAAATAATGAGAGCATTAATACATACAGTTTAATAATGATATTTATTAAAGATCATCATTAAAAATATAAAACATTTGCTTAAATTAAATATTTCTTATGACTTAAATTGCTTATTAAATTGCTTGTCTTCATAATAATTAAATCAATAACAAATCTCGCTTTCCAAGTCGATTACTATTGCAGTCAACTCTATAAATGGCAAAATATGAACCAGAAAAGCTGAATCTCGAGACATTTATCGATTGGAATCGAGCAATGTTTCAAAAGTCACAATCTTTTCTCGATTCTCGGACAATTGATTAATCAGTTTGTATCGAAACGTATAATCTAGATAAATTAACATTTAATCAACTCAAAATCAGCCTCAAGCTCCAATATTAAGTAGCAAGTTACCCAAAAATTCAATTGGGTTCACCTAACCTTAGACTAACAATGCTTTTAAAATTTTTCAATCTATTTGGGTTTCTATTTTTATGGCGTTTCTTATTTCAATATTTCATAACATGGTTTACATTTATTAATAAAAATGAGCTCAGGGATAATTTTCATCGACAATAATTAGCAACTCAATGTCCTTATGTACTTATATTCACAAGTGAAGCATATTAAATTTATTATATCGTTAATCGATACAATTTAACAGTCAAATTTTGGCAAATGTTTAAAATATCATTACTAAACAATTGACATTTAATTGAAGTAGATCAAAGCAAAAGGATTTCATTCAATTTTAATGATTATGCCAATAATATACAAAAACATTGATCAATTACCTTCTCTCGACATTTTCATTATTGAAATCAAAAATAATCAATCTTTTGATTTGCATTTTTCAATTTAAATTGTTACTTTAATTTACTTTAAATGTTAATACCTTTTCATAAAGTCCTAACAAAAACCTTCTGACATTTTGATATTTTTACCAATAAATGTCGAGAACAACAATCAACCCAATTTCTTGGAGTTTGTTACAATTAGCTAATTAAAATGCGCCCAAGTAAAGATGATATTAGATGAATTTTACTTTTGTTTTACCATCATTATGATTAAAGCTATTAATAGAGTGTTGAATGTTCCTAGACTTAATTGTGATTTACTGTTGAATTGTACTTCAACCAATCAACTTCCTAAGTCGGTAAATTTTCCTCTCAGAATTGTCATGAACTATCCTTAAACCTGTACAATCCTTAAAAATATAATCTTACAAGAGTAACACTTTATAATTATGTTTACAATGATTAAATCAAATATAAGACAAAGTTGATACAAAGTAAATACAAGCTGAATTGCGATTCCAATTATACTCTACCTTGATATTATATTTTGTTACTGTCAACTTTTAATCAAAATAAATGATCATCTTAACGATATTAATAGTAATTGTTACTTGCAATTTATCTAATAGGTTTTGGCTAATTAGTTTTGTTTCAAGGAGCAACAATTTTTGGTTATCTTTGTTATTTCAGGTAAAGTAGGCTCAAGTGAAAATTGAAAATCTGGTTAAAAATATTGATAATTACTTTTAAATTGAACCTCAGAAAATCATCTTTTTTGGGTTTTAATCAAAACTCTTAACCTTTTCTTAGGCTTTTATGTAATATCTTAAAATATATTTTGGTTCATCTTCAAATCTTTAATATTAACATTAATCTTTTATATTAATCAGGTGACTGTTTCAATCATCACAAGTGTTTCTTGAAAAGTGTTTTGTAAAGCTCATGGTTACCAAGGTTTACGATCAAGTAAAATCTTGACTTGCAACGAAAATTAGATTCATATTTAGCTCTATTCAACCATTAAATGATCAGCTTCATTGACTGATAACCATCTTTTAATAAATATTTTCACCATTAAAAGATATGAATTGCTTAATACATTTTATCAAGAATGATTGAATGGGGTTCAGATTTTTTGAAATTCAATGCAAGGATAAAAATGTGAATAATAGCAATTTATTTAGCAGATAATTTCAATCTTTTTCAAATTAATAGCCATTTTTCAGGCTTTAATCATTTACAATTGTGTTACAAAGATAGATACTGAATTGGGTGAGTTTGTGAGATCACAGATATTAGGCAGAAAAGCAATAATACACGTTTAAGTTATAGACTGTAAAACAAGACAATTGTAATTGATGATTAAATGTACAGAGATAATTTTTAAATTAAAACAATTGAAATTATCAAACATGTCGCTGGTGTGTGAGTACCAATGTTGCAGTTCATGCAGACTTGGAAATATTTGTTATCTTTGGAAGATTGGAAGATGGAAACAAGCACATTAATCACCAAATCATCCATACATCATGGATTGAGGCTGGTTTAATCACAAACATCAGGTGGGTAACAGCAAGTGAAAACGGAAAGACAACATCAATCAATAGAGACTTTTGATTTTTGTAACATTTTTTTTCGCAGGTTAATCATAAAATCTATCAATAATTGACTGTTATAATGATAAAACAAGTCCCTTAAGTAGGTGATTCAACTGAACAGGATTAAAACCATTTTTAAGGGTTAATCTTCATCCAAGCAATGAAAGATATTTATGTATTATTCAGGCCTTTGTGAATCCATTGAAAGGTTACTCGTTTTACCCTCTGATGGTAAAGGTTTACGAGCGAAATTTGATTCCGTTACAAGATAGCCAATAATGATTGCGAAAAGAACGATTAAGACTCCAATGAAATTTGCATAAAGAGCAGAGGGTGGCAATGAAGAATAATTTTCTCTGCAAGAAAAAAAGAAACAAATATTAGCACAACAATTCATTGATTTTGACACAAATAGAGCAGTAATTATTTAGAAAGGTTTATAAGGTGTAAGTGGAAACATTGAGTAGGTTGAGAGACTCTATTGGATTAATTATGTCATTGTCTTGCTCCAAACTAAATAAACAAAGGATGATTAAATTTTGTCAACTTTTTTTCAACACCGGTTTGTAAACATGATTGAAATTGTTCAAACGCAGTTTGCCAGTAAACAAATTTTCTGACAACAGCAATCCAAAAGACAACATCCGTGTATCAAGTGTTCATTTTTATTGGAGCATCGACAATGTTTATTCAATGTAGCAACTTACTTTCCAACAGAGAAGAAAATCTTTTCAGTTAATCCAGTCAAACAAGCAGCTTTGAAGGAGAAAAATAAAGAAAAAAATAGATATTAGAAAATGGAAAATGTAAAAGACATTTTGATATTTTACTCCATTATATTGAAAGTTAATGTCGTAAAATGTGTAAAATTTGGGTAAACAAGCTTACCAATAGAGATGGTAAAGATAATGAGTCCTCCTCTAACGTGAAAGGGTAAAAGGAAAGCTCGATATTGGGCTGGGATTCCGGGAAAGAGGAATGCGTAGAAACTTCCAATCCATTGTAGAGCGTAGACGCTGGCAGCAAATATACCGACCCAACTATGAAGTGAGTAAAAGTTGACGATATTGGCTCGATTATGGAAGTCAATGACAGCAAACAATCCGAGAGCAGTGAATATTAAACAACCGCCGTGAAGTATTGTATGGATTATCTTCAATTTTGGCTTGTCCAGGGTTCGAAATATCCTGTAGGAAATTATTGAATTACCGTAGAGGTAAACCATTCCAAGGACCATGAAAAGAGGGTGGTAATTGAACTCTTTTGCTGGTATGGACCAGTCAAAGCCACCAAGATGTTTATTAACCCAAAGTATGATTAACAGGATGATAATTGATCCAATAGAATGGGATAGCAAGAGGATTATGTTGAATAATTTGGTGTTGGCTGGATTCATAGATCCCTGAGTATTACTTGATGAAGGCATGAGTGTTTCAAGTTCTTCTGGTGAGCTAACTTCAGCTAAAGATGAAAAATGCAAAACAAAGGAAAAAATAAAACAGAAAAATTATTAGTAAAACAATTGTTGAAGTGTTGGTTGTGAAATTGGAAAGGAAATTATGAATATAAGATGAGTTTAATAAGGAAAGGATTGAAAATCAAGTATCAAGTCAAACCTAACATTAACAGCAAGTAAAACAACAGTGAAAGTTAATCAAGACTCTTTTCAGCTTTCCTGAAATCTCTCTCTTTAAGTCTCACTTAAACTTGGCTTGGCTAGAGTAAATATTGGATGATCAATTATTTGGAAAAATTTGAAATACTGAGTCAATATTTTCACGTGATGATTACCATGATGATGGTGATAACACTATCACCATGAAATACGAGGCAATCTCAACAAAAGTGTAAATATGGTTAAAATCAATTGAATTAGGAGATGAGATGAGATAAGAAAAAACAAGCTGAAAGATCAACTGGAAAACAAAAGAGTTCAAACCTAAAAATTGAACCTTAAGACAGGTGATGATGATGAGTAAATTGAAAAAATGTATAAAATACAGTCATAAGTAATGTCTTCCAGTATCGATGTCTAACATGGCTAAATATTATTTTACAAAAATATTGAATAAAGATGCAGTTCAGTATAATATAATTCAAGTGGTTACTAACAATAGAGTAAGTATTGAAAGAAGAGACAGCAATCAAAAATTTTGGATCTTATTCCCTGAATATGCTTCTAATCAATTGATTGTTCTTGAATGCTCATGAGTTGCAAGAATTATTTACATTCTGCTAATCTAATTGATTGACCATTTTGGGGTTGAACTGAATAGGTAAGAAAACCCAATAAAATCATGTCCACTTGTTTACATGAAGACTACTGGGTTAACATCTGGTGACTTCATAGGAAACCACAATCAATCAAATTTTGGCAAAGATGATGATGTTTACGATGATGACAAAGTGTGAATTTGTCTGAACATGGCATTAGATAATTGTAGTAACAACATTGATTTTGATGGGAAAACGAGTGTAGTTTGATTGATTGGTGTTGTCTTTTTTATCCGAAAAATTAACCATAAATTTGAATTGACTTACAAGAGATTCAATAGAATGTTTAAAAGAAACCAAAATAAAACCAAAAGAACCGCATGCAATGAGAAAAATCAAAAATAAACATACCAGGTATTTTAGATCGATTATGAGTAACTGTACCAGTACGTACGATCAAAAAATAAGGTGAAAAATAAAATAAAACATAACCAAAATTAATCAAAACACGGTATGAGAAATAAAGACACAGTAAAAGTCAACAAGTTAACATTAACACAGGCAGCAAGGCAATGGATGGGAATATGATTGACTATTTGGGTAATATTAGTCAATAGATTCTTACTCATGTTAACAGACAACCGGTCGATTGAGATGGTGTCAAGTTGAATGATGTGTTGGCTTTTAAAATGTTAACCGAATTATTCCAGGATCTTGATCAATTTGAATATCAGCAGTTTAACAATACAGTAATTTGATGAAAATGTAAATTTGATATGGTTGCCAATTTTTCAATAAAGAATCAACAGCTTGGATCAATATCAACTTCAACAGTTGTCCATATGTGAGAACAAAGAAAACTGCAGAAGAATAAGAAACAATAATAAATATTAAAAGAGTATAAAATTACTTGGTATAAACCAAGATGGATATTAAATTGTTAATGGTTTAACAAGAAACAATCAATTAAAATTGCATTTTTCAACTCTTCACGTCTCAAGTTTAAGTAGATACGTAGACTAGATTAGAATGAAAACAGCTGATTGGTGAGTTGGTAAGCAACTGGATATCATGTTGAAACTGTTAGGTGATTAGTTGATTTTATAAAATTTAATTGAACTTACCAATTAAAAAAGATTAAGATGAGCTTCTATCTTGTTGGTCAACATAAAATAATCGATAAATTGCTGGTAAAGATGATGGTTTCAAGCTTCCCAAGACTACCAGATTGGTAAAGGCGTAGAAGACAAATCAATTGGAAAACGCAAGTCTTAAATATGACAAAAAATGGTTCAACAGGCTGGTGGTTTCTTTATTATCCCTTGTTCCAGTGATTAACTGCTGATAAGTCTGAGCATTCATTAAAATTGAGGGTAATAATTTCACGTGAAACATTTGATAGATTTGATAAAGGTAAAGACTTGAAGGGTAAACAATGTGTTACAAGCTGCTTGCAAAGGAAACATTTAGAATGCTAATGGAAACAAATTCGGATAACAATTTATTAAGCAACTATTTAGCAAATGAGTAAATATCTGACGATTGTGAGATTCATGCCCTTTCATGTTCAAGATTGCTGGCGATATATCTCTGGATTTATCTTTAGTGGCTGGTTTTTCTGGTTGTTCAAGTTTTTTGTTGCAACTTATTAATAACTCGCGTTTATTCACACTGTATCAGATCATGATAGGCATTATTTTTTTACGAATCAAGGTTGAATTTTAAAGAATTGATTCAAAAGGTCGTCATATTAATACAGCAATTAGAACAAAAATTAAGAGATTGATCGATTCAATCCAATATCTATGATAATAAAGTGGGCATTTATGCATCTGAAGAATTTGCCTTAAAAATGGACGAAACTTTAACCAAAGAATCGTATTTAGAGGAGGATTACTGAACAGCGCGACGAAACTTTATAAATGAATAACACCTCAAACTCACCGTATTGACTCGAAGCGTGACTTTGCGCCTCCAAATGAGAAGTCGCTCTTAAAAGCACAATTTTGTGACAATCGAAACACCAGTGCGTTTATGAATGATAACTGAATTGTTCATATGGGTTCGGTCTAGAGGTGTATTGTTCCGATATTTTCAATGAACAAGAACAGTACAAATTGTATCAAAACCTAAAACGTCAATAACTTTGGGGAAAAATTTGATTGATCAACAGTTTTTAGGTGAAATAGGGTACAACTTTAATCCATCTGATGTTTTTGGACTACTTTATACATTTATTGTGTCATTTATTGGGAAATATTTGGTTTTTTCCTGATCTTGTAACATGAAAGACACATTTTGTTTTGTTTTGTTCTGACCCTAGATTGTTGTTAGTTCCTATTTTTGTGAACAAAACAACCGAACAGATCAATGCAACACTAGTCCGGTCATAAGAAAGATTATGGATTTTTTAATTCTTAATCGTGACATCAGTTTCAAAAATAATGCATTATCAGCCGCGTAACCTTTTTCGTCTTCTCGATTCAAATGTTAGACAGAATAAAAAATGGCAAAATGACATTTATTGTTGTCATTTTAAAAATTTTAAGGCAAAGTAAACGTCTAATCACTCAGCAATTACTGACATACACTCTATGTACTTCCCTTCTGAAAGACGCTCGAATATAATTAACGCTGTACTAACGAAAAAAGCCACAAATATTCTCATTAATTTTCATTATCTAAATATAAGTCATAACTAAATATTTTTCCATTGACACCTTAGTGAACATAGAGTGTCTCTAACAAACTTGCTCTATCGATTGACACTAATCCCGTTTAAATCAGTCCTAGACATTACGATTAGTTCCCTTGTAAATGCAGACTTGCAATAAATAAAACCCATTAAACCAAAACTACTGCGCATTCAAGAAAATACCTTCATGTTCATGTAACGTTCAAAATTAAACGATTTTTTATTTTCATGAATAAAAATATGAGCAATTTATTTGCTGGCATTTGCACAAAAGCTCCTTGAACCGCGTATTCATGCCTTTCGCGTAATTTATAAACACCCCCTCAAAATAGAATATTCCGAGTAAATTTAAATTCTAAAATGTTTAGTAGCCAGTATCTATGTTTAAGAGGTTAATTCGAGATGTAAATCTCGACGGATTTCAATTGTTATCGAGTACAATTTGTTTTTAATTCTTGAACGGTGAGTATTCTTGACTTATGTCCATGTCATACGCTATGATTATCTTGTTTAATAGTTCTTTTTTCTTCAGATAACCTACAATAATCGAATATTTCTGAAAAGAAGAGGAAGGTAAATATTGTGCAACTGAAACTTCAAGGTAAATTCATGTTTTATATTTGTTTCATCATTGCTTAATTTCTTGTGTCATGACTCAAATGTTTCAAATTTTTATCATTTCAGGAAAAATGGCAACAAGAAAAAGACAACACGTCGAGGAACAAGAGAACATCTTCTTGACCTGTACTGCCTGCAAGAAAGCTGAAATTGATTTCGTGATAATGGCTTCTTGTGGTTGTATTTTTTGTTCAACTTGTGTTCAACACGATCAAGGAACTTGCCAGATTTGCCAAATGCCTCTGTCAGCAGTTAGTGTTAAAATTTTAACATCAAGACCATGTAAATACCGTGATCGAGGATGCACCAATCATGCTCAGTTTTTGTGCAAATGTGTTCGCGATGGCAAAGTTTGTGGACCATGTTTGGGCGAGCTACACTCTAAGAGAGTTTCAACAACTTGTATTCCTGAAAAAATTAGTTTCTCTACAGACAGAAAAGTAAACATTTGTCAAGATTGCTGTGATTTCATCGCAGAATATCATGTACCAGAGCAAAACAAGAACGTGTGTTTCGAATGCAAGGATGAATACACGAATCTTGAAAAATTGACACCTGGGCAATCAGTTGCTGAGACGGAACAGATCATGAAAGAGTTTGCTTTGACCAAAAGGATCATGAACTGCAAGAAACAAAAGATAATGACAATTCTTAAGCAACGGGAAAATACAATGACTGAAGAAGCTATCAAGGTACAAGAAGCAACCGAAAGAATCAATAAAGATTTTTCAGAATATAAAGCAAACTTTCAGCGGGAAAACGAAGAGTACAAGAAACAAGAAGAAACGCTGACAAAGGTAAGAAGCTTTACTCGTATTTCTAGAACATGACAAAGGATTAACAAATATTCTTGTTTTCCGGATAGATTGAAGCAAAGTTCACGAAAAATGGTTCAATATCTAAAGTTTTAAAAGCTCTCCGTGCTAATGCCGCTTACATACAAGCTTCAAATTTTGAGTTAAATAATCTTTTGGATTTTTTAAGAAATGTGAATATTCTCTCGGTACCGGTTAAAAGGGCAAAATTCACATTTTCAAGTAGTGAAAACTTGTATCAAATTATGAATTACAGCTTGGAAAGTCCACTCGATGAAAAAAATGAAACTTGCATCGAGCATAATACACAGAGTCAAACATTTAATCTTGAAGCATCGATTCCAACAGAAAGTCAACCAAGTAATCTTGAAACATCGACATTACCAGGATTGCAAGAATCGCAATCTGCTCAGGATTCATTCGGAATTGACCGCAGACTTGAATCAGCTACAGCTGAAGGTTTTGCTGTTAAAAAGTCTTTCGATGGCAATGATCAAGATGAAAAGGTACAAGTAACACGTGTTGTCAGTCCATTTTATATCTGTATGGAAATTCCTGAGCTTGTAGAGACAAGAATCAGAATTCTACAGACTCTTAAAGAACATAGACGTGAATGGAAGCAATTAAAAAACTTCGATTATGGGGATATTGCTATTGTACGAGATGGTTATGGAACAAGTGCTTGCTTGAAACGTGGTAAGATAAAATATAGCGCGCGACCTACAGGTACTGTTCGAGTATTTTTATTGGACTATGGGTTTGATATCATGGTTAAGATTTCTGATGTTGGTGAAATACCAGGGCTTGATCTTGTTCATCATGAACAAACATGTTTCATCGGCAAGCTCATGGATATAAAACCACCAAGCAATTTTATTTTTCCAGTTGGGGTTGGAAAATGTCACACAGCTTTTCTCAATTCATTAATCAAAAAACATGGAGCTAGAGTCACTGTTACTCGGAAATTTACAGATGAAGAGTTTGTTTTTTGCAAGATAAGTCAGAAAATTGATGGAATAGATGAAGACTGGTCTCAACTGTTGATACAACATAACTTTGCACTTGAATATCATGACAATTCTGGTTGTTTTGTTCCATCCAAGGATTACTGTTATCGTTTTCATGGCTTAAATGATTGTATATCTTGTTATCGCGTCCATGAATGCCCTTCATGTGGCGAATTACACTCACTCATCCATTGTCCAAAATTCTCTTTGGTTAACCAAAGAGTTGCCAATGAGAGACTTAATTTAAATTTGACTAAATTTTCAACTAAAATGTTCACAATAAGGTAGCAGCACTAGTATTAAATATAAAGTATTTTACTGTGTTGCATTAAGCACAAATCCTTTTCCCAAGAATTACTAATTCACTATTTCGTTTCAAGAAAAAACAACGAATTATCAGTAGTTATTGTGAATAAGCCAGAACTAATCAGAGTCCTTAATGTTGTGTATCACAGTGTATAAAATTTATGAAGAAAAATATGAGTGAAATGTTTAAGTAAAACAATTGATTTTCACCGTTTCTTGGCTATTTTACTGATTTAGCTGATTTTTGTTAACTGTTTTGTTTTCTAATTTTTGATTTATAGATTACCGGTTAAATAAATAAATATTGACATTTAACCTGATGCAAATTTGAAATCTCTTAGTAAGGTTCTGACAATTGATTTGAATGATGAAAGGGTGAGTAATCGTCATAAGTTGTATGAACCATTTACAATGATTAAAATCGGATTTAATTCATAAGATTTGTATTTTTGCAAAAAGTAAGATAATTAAAGGAAGTACGTGAAATAAATTTGAGGTCGTTGTGTTTGGTCTCAATGTTAATCATGTTTTTACTGTTCATCAAGAAAAAATAAATCAAACTTGTTGAAAAAGTTTGAAAAGATGAAAAAGGAATATTTTTTACATAAATAAAAGTAATGAGACTAGAAAATAAAGAGAGGAAGGGGTTTAGTTTAGAGGTTTTATTACAAAGATTTCTTTGAAGTCTTGAAGAATGAAGACGGAAAAATTCTCGACCATCAGAAGGCAGTAGCAGAAACTGGCTTGATGACAGCGGAAAAGGAAGAAACTGATACATGTTTACAATAGACATGAGAATGAATGTGATGGTCAGATACGCGAAATGCTGACGAATCATGTTTATGGTGGACAGCACGATGCTGGTGATAAGGATGATTATGATGATGACGAAGATGATGATATCGAGAAAGTTGAATATTTGTAAGTCAAAATAAGATTATTAGCTCTGGTCCCCAGTGACTAATCATGTGTTTCTCTTTGATTTAAAGTTGTTCCTTAATTACAATAAGGATGAACCGCTGGTGGAAATTTCTGGCACATTTAGTGTATTACTCCTCTCTTTGATTATATTAAATCATTGGATAATCCATTGGTATTTATAAGTGACGATTTTGATATTTACTATTTACAGAGTCGAGATGAGATGATGGATGTGAGATCACACCAAATTAAATTAGCAGCTCTTTTGAGTCTCTCGTTGTCTTGACCAAGTTAAGTTACAATGATAGATATATCTCTTTAAGAGGATTTGTTATTATTAAAAACCTACTGCAAGTAAGAAGAAAGAAAAATTAGTTTTTGTTTAGATGATTCAATTTTCATTGTTACAAGTTTAGATTGTTTGAACTTACTGTTTTGTATTTTACTCTCATTAGATGAATTAAGAAGATGACTAGACTCATTTTCAGAGTAAGGCGGTGCTGGTAAAGATGTTGGCGAGTTTTTAGGAACTGAAAGTTTCTTAGGTCTTGAATCAGATCCGATTGAAGCTCGTTCACTCATGGGTGTCCGAATGACTTCATCAAAATTATTCATTGTTTCATGGAATGAATTAGGTCGGTTGTTGATTAAACCTGCCTGACCATTGCCAACGTTTGAAACTGGCCCATTAGGTGTACCAACACCAACTCCTCCTAACCCTCCACCAGTGGCTGCTGAAGCTTGAAGAGCTTGATGGAAATGATGATTTGGTAAAGGTTCGGTTGAAAAAGGTCTACCAAGAAGAGCTGATGATTCAACTCCACTTAATTTTGAGAAGCGTTTAATGTTGCCACTGCTGTCTGATGGGAATGCATTACAAATTTCCAAAAGGAATTCATCACCTTCTAATCCAGTTCGATAAACATTGTTTGGAGCTCGATTGTTGGTTCGACGTTTTGATTTAGAAGATTGGCGATTGAAACAGCAACAACAAAAGATGATCACACAGCATGAGAATAACATAACGATAAGGAAAATTCCAGGTAAAATGAGATCATCCCAGAAAAAAGCTCGACTCACAGATGTGATGGAGTTAAGATTGAAATTGGCACATAATGAAGGTTTACCAGGTGATGAGGGTAAACCAGAGGTAGTCACATCAACTGGACAGATACATCGGTAACTTCCAAGTAGATTAATACAAGTTGCTGGAGGTGAGCAAGAAATGTTTGATAGTGAGCATTCATCAATATCTTCCTCGCAATGGGATCCACGCCAACCGGATTTACATTTACATAAAGATTCTTCGCAAACTCCATTATTGAGACAAGGTGAAGATTTCGAACAGAAGCGCGACTTTTCACAAGTTAATCCTCCAAGAGTTGGTGGACATTCGCAATGAAATCCATTGATTGAGCCAGGTGAAGGAGTACAAGTTCCACCATTGACACATGGATTAGGATTGCAGGCTCGACGGCCATCAATTTCACATTTCAGGCCACGATAATCATTAGGACCAAGACAAGTGTATGTACCATTGGCATTAAATATGCAAACCTTTTTGTTTGTTTAAGTGATGGTGATGAAAGTTCATAGAAACGTGTGTAAAGAGAAAGCAAATGAAAAATTACGTGAGATAAGAGTAGATAAGTAAATAAATAAATAAATAAAAGGGATATAAAAAAAGCTAAACAAATATAAAGAGAATAAGCAATTAAACTCAAATATTTTACCTGTATGAAAAGTGTTGAATTGTTCTGGTCAAATTTAGATGGATAACCACTAACATCAGATAAATCAATTGTTATCAAGATGGATGATGAGAGCGGTGGAGATCCTCTGTCAATGGCTACTACCTCCATTACGTAAGATGATAACTGCGAAAAGAAGAATGATTGTTGACATTAGATAAATTAATAAGATCAATAAGAGCATAATTCCAAGGACATTGAGATAGGTAGGAAAAGTGAGAGAGAGAGAGAAGGAAGGAAAGGAAATTAATGATGGGAGAAAATATGATGAGTGTGAATAAAATGATAAAACAAACGATAACGGTAGAGGGTAAGAATGAGAATTTTTTGTTTACCATTTCTCTGTCTAGAGGAGAAGCCACGGTTATAACGCCGGTTTTGGGGTCGATTTCAAACTCTTTGAATTTCGTTTGATAAGCCGTTTCACTTGATCCTGAGAGACTTGAGGGTTTAAAGAAGTAATTGATTTGACCATTCTCTCCAATGTCGGCATCACTTGCAACTTTGTGTATTACTTTCTCACCAACATGTGTATCTTCCCGGATAATTGCTGAGTAACTGGCTTGATTAAAGGAAGGTGCATTGTCATTGACATCTAAAATGGTGATGGTAACTTTAGTCTCAGATGATAATGAAGGAATTCCTCCATCTTTTGCTTGAATGGTTAAAATGTATTCTGGAGTGGTTTCTCGATCTAATGATTTAACAACTGATATTGAACCAGATTTGGGATGAACCGTAAAACAGTTTCCTTCATTACCGGCAATAATGGCATAGGTAATGTCTGCATTTATTCCCGTATCTAAAGAAGTTGCAACCACTTGGATCAATGAGATTCCAACAGAAACATTTTCATAAACTGAGGTAGTATAATGGTTTTCAGTAAATTTGGGTGCATTATCATTAACATCTAAAATATGAATTTCAAACATTTGAGTTGAAAAAAGGGCTGGAGATCCAGAGTCAGTTGCAGTGATCAAAACATTATAACGTTGAATAGTTTCTCGATCCAGAGGTTTAGCTGTATGGATTGAACCACTTGTTGTATCAATGGTAAATGTTCCATCATTACCTTCACCTAAAGTAATTAGTGAGTAAACAATTTTAGCATTGACACCACTATCTTTGTCAGTGGCACTTGCTTTGCCGACAAAACTACCAATCTTTGCATCCTCAGGAACAAGAAAGGTGAAATCGGGTCCAGAAAAAACTGGTGCGTTATCATTGACATCAGAGACAATAATTTCAACTGTTGAAGAGCAAGTTCGATCTCTTTCAAGATTGTCATGAACTGTGACACGTAAAAGATAACGTGATTTCTCTTCACGATCCAGAAGACTGGCAACTCGTAAGATTCCTTCCCTAGAATCAATTTTAAAAGGTAGATTGCTTGAATTGGTGGATTCCTTGTCGAAATCGTAGTCAGCAGAGTCGAGAGACAAATTGTAGTGAAGTTGGCCATTTGGACCTTCATCTGGATCATTGGCAGCTATTTTGAGCAGATAAGAGTCTATTTCAGTGTTTTCTGGAACCATTTCAACATATTGACTTCTTTCACAAACAGGGCCGTTATCATTAACATCAGTAATTGTCACGTTAACCAAAGCCTTAGATGATAATGGGGGTGAGCCACCATCCTCTGCTTTAACATTAAGAATGAAATTAGATATAACTTCCGAATCTAAAGGCTTAGCAACTGTAATGATACCCGTTTTAGGATCTATTGTAAAACTGTTATCATTAGATCCTTCGATAATGGCATAAGTTATATCACCGTTTGGTCCAATGTCTGGGTCTTTTGCTTCAATTGTAATTATTTCCGTACCAATTGAAACATTCTCTTCAATGGAAACATTGTAAATGGTTGAAGTAAACACAGGAAAATTATCATTAACATCTTCTAATGACACCATAAATTTTACAGACGATGAAAGTGGTGGGAGTCCAGAATCGGTGGCTCTTACAGTTAAATTATATTTTTCAACCTTTTCACGATCTAAAGGTTTATTGAGACGTATCAAGCCAGTATCTTTATCAATGGTAAAAGTGTCCTCTGCTGATTCGGTTAGACTATAATGAACTTCACCATTTCGTCCTTGATCCAAATCAGTAGCATGGACTTTACCCACGACAATACCGAGTTCAGCATCTTCAGGGATAGTGACATTATATTCATTGGCTGTAAAATTGGGCTCGTTATCATTTATATCCGAAACAATTATCTCAATTGCAGAACTGCACATATTTTCACGTTCTTTGTCATCATGAACTTTGGCCAGTAAAAAATAAGTAGATTTCTTTTCACGATCTAACGGAGCAATGACAGTCAAAACACCAGTTTTCGAGTTTAAAGCAAAAGGCATTTCTGAAGTATCCTCTGGGCTGACGAGTCCAATTTCATTAAAATTAGAGTTAATTGGGGATTCATCATTGTCTAAAAATAAACTATAGTATAAATGAACACTTTCATTTGTTACTGGTCCATCTCTTGATTCAGCTTCCACTGTCAATATTTCCGTTCCAAGTTCAATGTCTTCTGATACCATTTCAACATATTCACTTTTGAGGCAATTAGGTCCCAAGGCCTCAAGAACATTAATGGACACTTTAGTTGTAGAATTATATTTGGTATCCGAAACTAAAATTGTCAATTCAAATAAACTTTTATCCTTGTGCTTCAAAAGTTTGTTCACAACTAATTCACCAGTGTCTTTGATAGAGAATTGATTAAAAGGATCCCCTGAGATTATGAAATAGCTGAGTGTATTAACACTGACATCATCAGCATCTGATGCATCAATGGTTGTAACAACCATTCCTACTGGCGAGCCTTCTCGGATAGAAGCATTGTAAAATGGAAGACTAAATTGAGGAGGATTGTCATTCACATCAATAACTTTTATGCAAAGTGATGTCTGGTTATTGAATTTACCATCGGTTATGGTAACGGTTAAGTTATGCCACTCATTTGTTTCTCTATCCAAAGGTCGGAGTAATTTAATTAAACCAGAATCCAATTCAAAATACTCTTCACCAGTTTCACTTTGTTTATCACCTTCCAATTTGTAGACAATTGGCTTTTGTGAACTTTCAACATCACTATCCAAAGCATGGACACGGCCAATAGATGACCCTACCTCTTGATCTTCAGAAACTTCAATCCAATAAGAGTCTGAATCAAAAATGGGAACATTGTCATTAGTATCAAGTACATCGATGAACATGTTGAGATATCGAACAGTATGAGATATTTTGTCGAACACTTTCACAACCAAAATGTAGCGTGAAACGGTTTCACGATCCAGAGGATCAATTAAGTAAATTTGGCCCTGTTCTCCAAGTTTAAATTTACTTGCATCTGAATTGACTCCAGCCAATGTTAATTCCAGATTATCTGGATTAGTGACATTCAGTGAAGTAATGATTGAATTGACTTTGGCCGTTTCAAAAACAGTTGCTTCATATGAAGCAACAAAATCTCCCTCCACTTTACATGGACCATTGATTTTAATGGTAACCGGGACAACCGCTTCATTACCGTCTTCATCCACAGCTTTTACTTGAAAGGTATACACAGAACCAATAGAATTGGATAAATTACCATAAACATAAATTAAACCTGACTTTTTACGAATCCGGAATGGAGTAGATGATGATATTGTAGAGGGTGATGAGATGGACGTTGAAGATGATGTTGATTGCCTGGATGATGGACTATCGGGTAAACCAATGTGTGAGATGGAGTAGAGAATACGATTTTTAGAGGTTCTAGATGGAGATAGTAAATCTTTGTCAAAAGCGATCACAGGTAAAATGTTGGTATTAGTAGCTGTATTGGAGCAAACGGCAACTTCATATTTATCAACTAGGAACTGAGGTGGATTGTCACTGTCACTTTTCACAGATATTTTAACAATAGCTAAGCCAATCCGATGGCCACCATCTTTGGCTAAAACAGTAAGACTGTAACTTTGATGTTTCTTCTTATCAAGGGGTGCAACTGTAGTAATGTCACCGGTTTTACTGTCTATCTTGAACCATCTCAGTAAATAGGAACTAAAAATAGAATAAGTAACTTCAGCGTAAATGCCATCATCGTTGTCGTAAGCTTCAACAGTCACAATGTGAGTTCCAACTGGAGCTCGCTCATCAACTGTGGTACTGTAGAAAGGGCGAGTAAATAATGGGCTTTGTTTGTTGGCAGACAAAATTTTGATTGTCAAGCTAGCATAATCTTTAAACTTTCCATCGGAAACTGAAACATTTAATGTGAAAACATCATAAATAAAGGACTGATCTTTAGCCAGTCTAACAATTCCATTGGTTGGGTCAATGCGAAAGATACCAGAAGAATCACCAGACTCAATGGAGTACTTTAACTTTCCTTCCACATTATCACTATATGCAGCATCAATGGCTGCCACTTTTGTAACAAACATATCCCGTGAAGAGGCTTCTGAAAAGTTTGCCACATAGTATTCCTTGGTAAACTTAGGCCCATCGCCTTTTACACTTATAAAAAAAAGGGTGAAACAAAATAAATAATTAAAATTAACATTAAATTTCATCATTTAAAAAAAAGATGAAAGAAAACTTCTTTCGGTTGAAAACCAAAAACTGAAAAAGTTTACCAAACCATCGCCAAACATGAACTGACTGTTAAACAAAGCAAAATAAGAGAGAGAAGAGGAAAGAGAAAGAGAAAGAGGCGATGACATCATCATTGAAAACAGCTCCATCTACCGGTTTTTTAATCATTCATCTGCATTTTGCTTTTTTCCCAAGTTATTACTTTAACTATCATGGAAATGCTTTCAAACTTGAGATTAATTATGGATAAAGAAGTGTTCATTTAAATTTATCTAAATGCTGATAATCATCTTCATTATGACAATGAATCTAGTTCATGGAAATGTTCATTTAAACAATTAAATAACTCCAAAAAGGAGACGATTTTTAAATGAAGTTAGCAAAGTGAAATGTAAGTAAAGCCTTTTTAAACATGTTTAACATTTTACTATCATAATTTGGTTGACCAATTTTGGCCTTCCGTTTTGGGTCAACCAGAAATATAGCCAACTGAACCATTGACGAAATGTGAGAGCAGAGGGACAAGTGGAAGTCCAAGTTGGTGGTCTTTTGGTCATTTTTTTTTAAAGAAAAATGGTTTTTCTCTTTGCTTTTTACTTGTTAGGCTTAAAAGTAAATACTGAGAGACTTTGTTGACTTCATTGGAATCTAAAACATGACAATTTTTAGTCATTGGTGGACAATCAGTGAGATGAATTAACAACTGACACTGATATTCCTGATTAGGAATAGGATTTATCTGTCTTAATTATTATTTATCAATGGGAAAATCAACTGCAGCTGTGGTGACATTGTTATCTTAAGCTGAAGTAAAATGGAGGGCAAAAATAAAGCTTGAATTTGATTCAATTTGGGCTCAAATTTTACACCAACCCACTGGCAACCATTATTTTCAATGCATTATTATCATCGTGAAAAGACATTTTGGTCAATTAGCTTCAATATAATGTTAATTTAATGTTTTTTTATGATAGAAAAGGATAATTTGTTCATGGTTAACCGAAACTAACATGTAAACACGAAATTACACCATTTTATTTTCATTATAAACAATCTTTGTTGAATGACAATTTATTGTTAATTTAATTTAAATGAAAGTTTATTTACCTTTTAAGGTAGCCATCAACCACAAGAAACAACAGCAAAAGGTAATGAAAACATTTCCGATTCTAATATTACAAGTTTCTATTCCATTTGATAGCAACTAACTGATTGATTTAATAACAGCTTTTACATTTGATTTTGTCAAAAGTCTTGGGTAAACCAGAAAAGTGTAAATTAACACCAAACATGGTCAGTATCAAATTATCTGAAACAATTAAAAATGAAATACCATCAACTATGAAAAGGTAAATTGTAAGGAAAGAAGCGATCATTTGCACTCACCTAAATGATGTTCATGACGACGGATCTGGTTCATGATATCAATTTTGACTAAATAACGTGAAAAAAAGGAGACAATTTAAAAATTAAATGTTAGTTGAACACATTTAAACATGTTAAATCATTTGATTATATGAAATACAACCAACACAAAACCTAATCAATCAATCTGTACTTCTTTTATTTCAACTTTCCTTTCATTTTTAACAGACAGGATTGGTTTTAAAGGGTTTAATTATGAATTTAATTTTAATTTCAAATAAAATTAACAAACAACAACAACAGTCTTAAAGATGAAACCTAAAACTAAATTAAATGACCTGAAACAAACCTTAATCATTAATCATGCTATATCCAATGTTTCAATTGACTAATTTAACCAAAAAAAGATCAACAAGCGTAGGTGATTATGATGTTTATAATGATGGCGATGATCTGGTAAGATGGAGACAAGGAAGGAATGAGTTGAGCAAGGAAAAAAAACGGAATTGATTTGTCTATTTGTCTGCTGATCAACTTGGTTGTTTACAGTTTGTTGTAACCATTATTACTGTTCATTGGACATTAGACCTAAAATTGTTGTTGATCATTCAATAATAATAATCACTATCACCATGATTCATCAACATTAACAATGGCATATTTTAACCATATGTTTACTCCATAATTACTGTACTCGATTGAATGGTAGCAATAAACAAACAAAGATGATACATTTTGCTGCCTTTTTTTCGGTCCAATTGTGTCGGTGAGATTAACAGGGATTGGAAATTTAAATCTTCATAAAAATAGGTAAAAGCTTGAGAGTTAATCCTTTAATCCATTGTAATGATCCGTGTGGAAAGTTAAAGTTAATTGACCGCGGTTATTGTAAGGCGAAGAGAAAGTCATGATGGACATCATGGAAGGGATAAAAACTTTTAATACTTTGCTTTCTCCCTCTATTCTTGAATATTATAAGCGGACACATGACCAACAGTTCCGGGGAAATGGCTGTAGAGAGTCGGTCAAGTCTCTGAGATGATTATTATGGTTGCTACTGAGTCAAATGTCGATAAAAATGTCAACCGTATGTTGATAAAAATGACCATTATCAAAGTTGGTATTATCAGTTGTTTCCATCTCTCCTTCTGGATACTTCTTTAGGCCAGTTGAAACATCTTTATCCCCTTCTCAGGGGTTCAAAAATGTTTCCAAGAAAAATCGTACATAACACAGGATTAGTGAAGCTATTGCAATAAAGTAGTAAGACGAAAAAGATGATTGAAGGAAGAATGGAAGAGGAAGAGAGAGAAAGAGAGAGAAACAAAATAGGATGAAATAAATGGTAAGCAAGAATGATGCTATCAAAGAGAAAGACCAGGAAAAACCTATGAATAGAAAAGGAAAATGAGTTAGGAGGGTGAAGATGATGAGGGAGGAGAAGGAGGAGGAAGAAGAAGAGACGGAATGCAAGCGAAAGCCGGAAAGAAAGAGTTAAAAGAAAGGGAAAATCTTAATTAGAAGACTTGAGATGATTATTGTCTCGCTTTTAAAGACAATGAGATATTTACCATTGATTCTTTTTATGAGCTTTTTGTTGTTGCAGCAATTTTTTTGGCTTTGTCGATGTGGCTGTTGTTTAGCCCCAAGCAGATAATGATGATGTATCTTGACCTAAGATTTTGAATCTAAAATCAGTTGTTCTCCTCTCCTGCGGTCTTCATCATCATCATCATCTTTCTCTTGTTGTTCTTTCTCCTTTTTATCATCATCCTCTTCCTTTTGTCTGGTAACCTGTAAATCAATGAGTTCCTTGGGAAAACAAATTTTCTTTGCTTGGTTAACAATTATATTTATTATCAGCTTTTTTCTTCATCATCACAGTCTTGCTTTTTCTCCTTCCTCTTATTTTGCCTCAAACAGTGATTTTCAAGGAATAAAGTATCATCATCTTTACGTTTTTTACTTCTTCACTTGTTTACCATCAGAAAGATATCAGTGAAAAAATTGGTGAACCGCAAAAAGTCATGCTACATAAGTAGAGTAAGGGCAGAGAAAGAGAAGAAAAAAGAAATAAGAATTAGTTGTAAAAATAATTATAACGAATTATATGAAAACCTGAAACAGAATAACATTCCAATGAGAGGAAACTGAGAAAAAAAACAAAAATAAAATACAAATAGTGATTAGCAAAAAGAAACAAAAAGAGGAAAACATTAATTTTGTCACCTTACAATGAAAATGGGTACCAATCGTTGTAATTAGAGGAGAGATTCTCACCAGAAGTTGACTCAATTTACATTTATCATCATCATTAACATTATCACTGCTTTTCAGCTTAAATCAGCATTCATCACCTTAAAGAATGATGATAACCAGCAACCTAATTAAATGACTCAATTAAATTTGCAAAACATTAAAATAAAAAAAAGCCAATATCAAGCTTAACCTTCAACCAGAAAAAAACCGGTAAATAAGCTGAAAATCCCTCCATTGTTTTTTTGCGCCATATTTGATTTTGTAAAAAGTAAATAAAATTGAATGATATTTACAAAAATGAACACTTTTGATTTATCCTAACACCAACAATATCAATAACTACTTGAAATAAATTGTCAATAATAACAGTAATTGTGATTGAAGTGTTTAACTAAACAATGATTCAATAAATTTGAAGGTTATAATCAATTAAATCATCTACTTCAAGGTGTGAATATAATTAGTGTTACCAAATGGATATGTGTTAATATTTGTATTTATGTTTTTGTGTGTGTGTGTCTCTTTTAACAATTGAAGACACTGAGAAACAATTTACAAATACATTTTTGAATCATGATTAACCAGATAAACCTGTTTAAACTTGGTAGTCATATATTGTTAAAATAAATCATTGAATAAATTCAGTGATCCATTCAAAGAAATCAACTGAAATGAAGGGAAAAAAAGCAAACCCATAAATCAACTTCTACTGTTTTTTTTTCCTCTTTGATTTCCCATCATCTTCGTCTTGCAATTACTGGTCCTATTAATAATTTGATAGAGCAAAGACAGTGATTGAGCTTGATATAATAAAGCAAAGGATTATAATCAATTAATAATACTCGATAAAAATCAAAATGATTCTGCAAATGATTTTCTCATACAACACTTGACTCTCCGTCCAAGTCTATCACTTCTCATGGCTGTGCCATTGCTATACAAAACACAATGGATCAACAAAATTCAGCTCTTAACCAAGGATTAATGAAGATAATGATTCTTCTCTCTCTTTATCTTCACCATTATCATCTTCATGTCTAAATGCTTAAAGAAATAAACTCAAGAATTGATGATGACCCTTTTCTTGATGACAAATTTCATGCTTATTCCATGCTCTTCTCAAATCCTTGACTCTTCCTCTTTTCGCCATCCTCTTGTTCATCCATCGTCTTCAACTTTAAACATCTTGAGACCTTTTATTTCACTTCTCTTGTTATGTCTTAATTCAGTGTCTTTTATCCTTCACCATCATCATGATATAACTTTCATGTTCAATGTGTTCAATGTTCAACTCTTGCAATATCATATGAGATATTTATAATTGTTATTTAACATCTCAAATTACCATTTCTAATATTACTTAGGTACATAATGTAACCATTATAAAGTTTTAATCACAATTAGAGAGAGGCAATCTAAACAGTTAAACTATCTGGTTGATTGAAACAAGTTAATCAAACAACAACAAAAGTCTAGATAAATCCTCAAAGGAATGGCAAAAGCCATTGAAAAATGTTTACATATGTTGAGGAGAAGAAGATTTTGTTTCAATTGATTGCCTTCAGGATTCCTTTTCAATTATGTTTGATATGTTTGATAATTTAAATTTACATAAGGTTAAAAGTAAATGATCAATTGATTGTACTTTGATAGGAACACGCAATTTCATTGTTACAAGTTTCACTTGATATTTTTTTTCCGTTTAACATAAATCAAAGATTTACAAAAGGTTAACTCAATTTTTTACCATTGATATTTTTATGACTTTTCCCATTCACTAACCCAAATCAATCTTAATGATTTTTAAGTGGGCTTTTAACAATCAAAGTTTAATTATCAGACAGCTATAAAACAGAGAGAGAGAGAGAAAGGAAGAGAGAGTAAATCAAATCCGATTGAACTTTTCATCTGAATTGAAATGGGAAAAATGTTTCCCCATTTAATTTCAAACAGTGTTATGTATTACACACATTACCTTGATATACATACAACAAATGTTCAACTTCTTCCGTAACAATTACAATTGCCTACGCTTTTTTAACCCCAATAATGGTCATCATTGGGTTAAAATTTAACAACTAATCAAATTGCAATCATATTTTAAATTACAATTTACAGAAAAAAAAGGGAAAACAATAGTTTCAGTTGGGGAATAATGTTGAACCAAAAAAGCTGTAATGACTAGAAAATTGTTGCTCTTTGCTTGAATCTAACAATTTTCAATTTGATCAACATCAATCATGTTTTTGTTATTATTATGGTTGCTTCTGGTGGTGGTGATGATGATCATCAGAATCATGGTTTTATCTGGTTTTGCCATTCATAAAAGGTTAACCAATCATCTTGTCAATTGTTTACTTGTATTGTAATAACATCAAGCAAAGTATCAAACTGTGACAATTGAAATTAACAATGTTTAGGCAAAAATGCAACACCATTTTTGTTGATTTTTTTATGCATTCTCATGACATTTTTTTGTACCAACAAGAGTATTTTTGTTGGATGAGGAAGAAGATGATGATGTTGATGGTGAAGGAGAGAAAATAAATTTTATGGTTATCATTTTCAGGGAAAAGGCGTGAAAATGTTACTTGAAAATAAGTATTACATTGAAAATGAAGAGGAACCAAGGAAAGCACCAAAAAGCAGTGATGTAACTAAAATCTGGAAGAAGTTGATTTCCAACAATTGGGTGACAAAGTGGCAGATGAACAATGCCTGTGAAAAGCATCTATGGATGTAAAAGAAGATGAAGATGATGAAAAGCTACCAAGCCAGTTGCCAATCTGTTAAAGGATGAAACCATTTCTTACAAGAAATGTATGATAAATTGTATCTCCAATCTGATTCTTTGTTTCTTTAGGATCAAATTTCATTCCTTTCAACCACACTTTTTGCTTTCCAAGCAGCAATTGAAATTATTTCCATCTCTTTTATTTTCTCTCTTCATTTTATCTGCTCAGATATATCATCGTCTGCTTGGTATTCAATTCAATTGGAAACGTTCAACAGCAAGTGTAAATCTTACTCCAAGAATCATATTTCACCAAAAATAGGGAAAGTAAACAATAGCGATTTGGAAAACGCTTCTCATCGTCCTTCGCTCTTCATCCATCTTTCCAATAAGCAACAAAAAATTCATGATGAAAGCGATTAAGGTTGGCTTTAAGATATTCATTGGATCGTCTGACTTTTCACTGTGAAATGGCATCTTAATTGATTCATAATAACAGCTAATTGATTGATTATACTTTAAAATGATTTGTGTTGTTCATTTGGTTTTCTGGTTGTTATTTTGTTTGCTTGTTGTATTGCCTTCTGAGTATTTCCAATTGCAAGTTAACCCAATCGATTGGTTTGTTTGGTTTGCTATTTTAAAATCATCAATCAAATCTGTTGAGACAAAAAGAGAGAAAAATAATTAATAAAAATGAAATATAAATTAATTTAGATTCAATTAAGTATGAAAAGGCAACTTAAAGGGATTGTCAAGTGCATATGAATGTTGATGATTTAATTTAATTTGTTTTCTTTCTGCTTACTTTGCTTTCACTTTATGATATTTTCATCTAACTTTTACCATTTGACGCAAATAAATTGTTGAAGATGATTCTGATAAATCTTTTTACCTTCGGAGGTTTTACACACACATATACACACAAACGCTTGATTAAATGATTAAATTATACCTTGACAATAAGTGTGTATAATAGTTAATTGAATTAGGAGACGAAGAGAGAGATAAAATTAAACCAAATTGTATCAAAAAATTGACGTCAATTACTTTAAATTGTAAATTATTGAGAATCGCAAATGATTTAACTTTCCTTAATCTCCTCTCAACGGCATTCATCAAAAACCTACATTAATAATGTATTAATCATATCAATTGTCATTGATCTTGAAAAAGCTCAAGTCGTAAGGTAGATAATCAAAGTTCAAGTAAACAATACTTCAATTATTTCATCAACACTTACAGACCTTGCAATTTACACAGTAAATTGTTTCATTATTACTGTTATTATTGTAACAATTTATGGCTTTAAAGATTAATTTTCAATTTCAACGATCATCATCATGGTTGGCGATTCACTGAGTCAAGTAATTGTTATAAATTGTTACACCTTTTTGTATTGTACTTAAAGACAATGATCAAGAGTTGAATGGTTAAAAAAGATAAAGAGAGGAAAAATGTAATTCATCATTTGATTGAAAGAATTGAATTGTATTGTAACTAATTAATTACCTTGAAAGTTAAGAGCTAAAGACATAGACCTGTCAAAAGTGTTTTAAAATGAAACCATATTTGTGGCAATTTATCTCAAAAAGAAAGATGATTAACTATCTGAATAAATAATTAAATTGGTAGATGTGATTTATCAAAGTGGGTAAGAGTGTGGAGACAATCAAATGAAGTGAATAAAAGTGGTAAAAGTGACTAACAGTGAAGGATTCAGAGCTGGTGTGCAAGTATTAACAGTTTGAAACAAAGACTCAAGAAAAGAGATTAAGTAATGGACTGAATCAATTAGGTTTGATTGAAGATGGATGAATGTTCAGGTGAAAAGATGATGATAAAGGCAAATAAGTGTTAGTCAAAGACAATGTAAACATAACTCTTTCCTTTCATCGAAGGCTTGTTGGCATTTCTGCTTCTTTTGGGTTTCCACTTTTTTTTCCTTCTTATTCCAGCTTTGCATGATTTTTTTCCTCTCGTTACAACCCTGTTAATGTTGATCATCGTCATTATCATGTTGACTGGTTCAGGAACAATTTATCATCTAATCCATAGGCTTTTAACTAGAGGAACCTTTCTTTTGTGCTGCTCCTGAGTAAAGCTTTGGGCATTCCTCTGGTATAACTTGTACGGTTATCATCATGATCATCATTAACATTATCGTGATTAACTTTATGGGCAAAGGGTTGAATGTATATTAAGAGTCAATCAGCCACACACCACGAAATGGTTCATTTAATGTCCAGGGTTAAGGTTCGTTTTGCCAGTTCTCGGGTGTGGTTAATCATCATAATCGTTGAATTAATCATTATACCATCATTGAGTTTGAAAGGAATCTGTGGAAGAAGAAGAGAAAAAATTAGATGAGATTTAAGAATGGGAAACGATCAAAGTAAAGGGAAAGGATTACATGGATGAAAAGAGTGAAAATTACTCTTCATTATATGGTAATTGAACCGTAATTTAAATTGTTATTATGAGAATGAAAGCCAATTAATAACTTACTGTTGTTGTTGGTAGCAATGTTTAGGTTGATTTGTTTGATTGCGACTCTATTCTGTAATTTATGAAAAGGTTAATTAACAAAGAGATGGAAATACTTGTTGCTAGGAAATGATAAATCATGTTGGCGTTCATTTCTTGTTTCATTTTATGATAAGAAATGGCAATTAATTGTTAACCAAGAATTGGTTGACCATTTGGTTAGATTGTAACATCTGAAATGAGAAAAAAGTTGAAAAATAATTATTAAGATTAATAAGGTTTGGTGTAAATGCTTGAATTTCATCCTCACAATATTGTTAAGAGATTAGGTTGAAATATGTTTTACCATGAAAATTTGTTGATAACAAGCAAAAAATACGTTTCTTTGCCGTCTATTGAGATGCAGACGTGATTAAGCTTATTTTGTCTTGTTTTGGATTGAGATGTTATTAAATTATGAGCAAATTACTTGGATAATTAGCTGGTAAAGCCAATTAAGACGAATGTTGAAGTCTTTCTATTGGGTTAGTGTGTTGCTTGAAAGCCGAGATGAAATTGTTGGAGCCAGAATTGGATTATAATTAGTCTTGATGTAAAAAGATCCCAACAGCAATTGGTGAAAAATATTTTAAAGAAATGAAAATTAATCTGCTTCCATTGTTTACCAAACAAAACAACTGGATTTAACAAGAGACTACTGATTAAAGTAAACTGGAAAAGCAAAGGATTGAATTGATATAAGCAGACTTTTTGGTTATCATTGGCAAGTTATCACATTGCCATCAGCAAATTATGACTAACAATCTGTTGTGAATTGATTTGTTTGTTAGAACTTGGTTGTAAATTCAATTGATTAACAATTACAGAAGGCAAAAGAAACTGATAACTACTCCGGTGTCAACAGTTGTTAAAATAAGCCATCAAAAAATTAGCAGTTTTAGTGTCGTTGTTTAGCCTTTCCAATAAAAGCAATATGCTCTTAATTTTTCTCTCAACTGTAATTGGAACCAATCGTCATGTTGAGTGTTGAAGTCAAATAGAATCGATAACATCAAGTGGATCGAACGCTCTTTTTTTTGTTTTACTCCATCTTAATCTTAATCTTTGTTAGTCTTTCTAGTAACTGTGTTGTGTTTGCAAAGCCAAACTTGCCAAACCCATTTGTTGTAACCTTGCTAATGAATCTTTTTTTACCTCTCTTTGACTTTTCCTTCAATCAGGTAAGTGTTCCAAGATGCTTTACTGAGATATAAACCTTTTTCTTTCAACACCATCCCATTCACTTGTACCTGTTCCTTATCTTCCTCTTGATCTTCATCTTCTAGGAGTATCGAAGTCACCATCTTTTCTTCCTTTTCATCTTCCTTCTTTTCACCATTCACCATTCTTGAAACGTATTTTATCCGTAATTTGTTAAACCTCTCCTTGAGTAAATTTGTTTTTCCCTTCATCAACATCATCTTTTCTTCTTCTTCCTTCTTTGAGGTAAACATTTTAACCTTTAAAAAACTCGATACTAACCTTTGATTTAGATGAATGACAATGATGATAGGATAATGTAAAAGTGAGAGAAATTATCATCATCTCAATGAGAGGTGCGGGAAAAAAACAGCAAGACACAGGTTGATTAATGTAGCTTGGAGGAAAGAGAAAGGTAAAAAAGAAAGAAAGAAAAGGACAGAAAGGGTTACCAACAGAGTCCAGTTGATTGATTTTGTTTGGTCAATGGGAAAATGGGTTTAATGAGAGTAACTAACTTACTGCATGCAACTTGTATACACATAATTAGATGGCCTTGATAGTTAAACAACTAAACTAATTGGGAACATTACATTAACAAATCAAGAACTTATGTTCTCATCAAAGTTAAATAGTTTAATTTTTGAAAAAAAACCAATGATAATCAATTAAAAGATGTTCAAATCAAAACAAACAAATCATCTCGTTGTTTTTTCGATACATCGATTTTAATCTCAATATCGATTAGCAGGAAATTTTTAGCTTTGTAAAAACAATGAGTTAACGGGTGAACAGATGATGAATAGCTAATTTTGATTAATATTATAATTCTGTTTTCTCACCTTAATAGTAATTGATTTTCTTTGCTCAATGTAGGTTAACTGAATGGTTGATATGGTGGTCTCATGGTTAATACAAAAGATTGTTCTAATAGATGGAGAAATAAATAAAATAATTTGGATGCTGATCAAATGGTCATAATGGTGATCAAATAAATACAATTATGTGGATCCAAAGTTTCCTTTTTGAATGTTTATTGGTAAGGTGATGGGTAGGGTAATTTTTAGTTGATCTGAACAATTGGTTATTCAACTCATGTATTTATTTATACATTTTTTTCCCATCTATTTTTAGAGAGATATCACAAAATTGGACTATTATCATAATCATCATCGCCATCGCCATCACCATCACCATCATAATAATCATCTTTATCATTATTGGTTTGATTGGTTGTAGGCCACATCTTACTTGTTAATTTCTTTCTTTCGTTTAATCATTCACCTCCACCCAATAAAACAACATGGCAGGCAACAACAAACAAATACCAACTGGGCATTACATCAAGCGAGGATGGTGCAGCAACATGCAATTGCTGGTCAAATATTGGAGGCTTCATCATTTTTGGTGCATGTTATATTCAAAATTAAGTATTCTTAGTCAATTTCATTCCATATTTTTTTCATGTATGTACATATATATTACTCTCTAGTTCGACTAATCTCCTCACCTTTCATTGGATCTCGGGAATCACCAAGTCTTCATCTTCTTTTTCCTTTCATCCGTCTCCCCATGTATATGTTAGTCAGTCTATGTTCACATCATCACTCATTTACCTTTTTATCTTCATCTATTTACTTTTCTCCCTTCCTTCTCATCATCATCACCGTCAACTTTCTCTGTTACCAGATTCGCTCTATCAATTTCTTTTCATTCATTCATTTTCCCTCAATCTCTCTCTCTCCCTTATCATTCTTTTTATACCATGTCTTGATTTGAATGAGTAAGAATGAGGATTCTTGTTAAATCCCAAAAAAATTGTATAAATACACTATGAAAATTGCCTAAAGGTTTTACCCAAGATTACTTTTTTCTGGCAATTTTTGTCTACACATTTCTCCCTCTCATTAGATAATGCACTTAAGTAGTCTTGATTTTTGGATAACTGTGAACTTATTATTCTCTTTCAACCTTCCGTTCAGTTTTATTTTCTTTCTTCTCATTCCTTTCTATTTTATGAATGTAATGAGAACGAGGAGAAGGAAAAAGCCACTAAAATTAAGTGGTTAAAGTAACAAAAAGCGGCTGAAAATAGCTAATATATTGTGACAACTGCTTTTCTTAAATGAGACAACAATCAATAGAAATTGTTTTAACATTGAAAAAGATGAAGATTGAGAAGTTAAGGAATAAACAATGTCCTACTCGTTAAACAGGAAACATCATCTTCCTCTTCCACTCTTCATTCCTATTGCTACTACTTGTATTAATTTGCTCTCATCTTTTTTTTTACAGATACAACCTCGTCAAGATGATCACCTCTACTCTAAGGAGAACCAGAAAAAGACAAAGAAAGAAACAAGGAAAAGAGAAAAAAAAGGAAAAGTATCAAGTGAAAGATTGAGAAAGGCGAAAATGATGGCGTAAAAGAAAGAACACGGCAAATAAAGATGATCAAAAGATGAGGAGAGAGCAAGGAAGCAAAAAAAGAGATGAAAAATGGTTGAAAAAAGTGTAAACATTGGATGCAAAAAAGTGGGGCTCGAGAAAGATGTAAAAGCTCATAGAAAATGTGAGCACAAAAGAGACTTGATGAAGAGAGGGATGAGGATGAAAAGATGATGATAATGACGCAGAATGAAGAGAGTGAAATTTGAAGAAGAAAAATAATAATAAGCTTGAAAGCGAATCATAGGAGTGTGTTAGGTTAGAGTATGTTGATGGAAATTTCAGCAGAGAGCAATGAGCTAGTTCGACCAAGAATGAACAAGGAGAATGGAAAAAGAGAGAAAGGAAAAGGAAGATGAAATGAGAGAGAGAGGGAAAGAAAAGGAACCCTAGGAGATGATGATGGAAGAAAGATAAAGAGAAATGATCAAATGAGTAGCATTTTTGCATCAACCCCACTACCCATTCATCCTCCTCCTCCTCCTCCGTCTCTCTTTTTATACTCACTTATCTTATTCTCTTTCTCTCATAGATTTATCTTTTTTTCCTTAGCTTCTTTCATCATCATCATCATCATCTCTCTCTCTCTCTCTCTTTTTCCTCATCTAATCTGGAGAGATGAAATAAAAAGAATGAGAGGAAAATAGAAATAGAAGCGAAATTAGAAATGAAACTGACAGACAGATCAAGTTATGCAAAAGTGTCGTTAACAAAGATTCTTGAGGATGAGGATAAAGGGAGAAGATGATCGATCAAGACGGAAGCAGAAATTTAAGTCTATGAAAGAGAGAAAGAGAGAGTCAAAGGAAGATGAAAATAGACATCAAAGAATTAAATGGCGAAAGTAGTGAAAGGATTTACTAAATGTATGCCAGACAGACAGACAGACATATAAAAATTCATTTGAGCATCACCTCAGAATCATTATCATCATCATCATCTCTTTTCAATATTTTTTCCTATTACACAGATTGCATATAGATGACAATGTAAAATTTACTTTCTCTCTTTTTGGTTTGAAAATTGTTATAATTAATGATGGAAAACTCAAATCTGTATTCACCTAAAGCCTTGTACCTTAATTATTTTAGTGAGCAATTTGATGATGTTGCTATGTGTGTATATTATTATGTGCACACTATTGCATGTGGTCCTTTTCATCCTCTTCATCTTAAGCAAACAACATCATTATGCTATTTTGCCTTTTTCCTCCTCTCTCAACTTCTCATTATTATCATCATTTTCCTTCCTTTTTTCTTCTTCGCCATCTTCATCTTTATCATCTTTTCTCTTCATTACATCCTCAATTTCCTTTAACTTGAATTGAAATTGATGAAAAATCCAAACAAATCATCAGTAACACTAAATTTCTTTCATTTCATCTCATTTTACTTCTCATCTAACCCCTCATTAGCCTAACAGTGTGATAATCATCATTCTCATCACCATGAATCCTTAAAGCAATTAGTGGCACTTTTTTTCAATAATACTAATAATGAGTATCAGCAATCACCTTTCAAGGTTTCCATTTCAACATGTCAACATTTGATGAACAAAACTGAGAACAGCAACAATTAAGTTAACAAGACTAATTCAGAGATTTGCAAAAAAATAAGTCAAGAAACAAGTTCACAACCATTAAGAAGATTCAAGACAACAAACGTATTAATATTTACTAATTCACTAATGCTTTAAATCAGAAAATCTTGATGAGAATTGGCCATAAAAATACAGTTCTAATTGCTTAAGGCCAGTTGAAGGCCACATGATATGATGGTTTGTTGCATTGAAATAAAAAAGCTTCTGAAGTTACAATTCATGATTAAATAGGATGAATTACTTTGTGCATGTAAACATCATCTTAAACCGAGTATCCCTCTTAAAGATATTGAAATAATGATGAAGATGAATTCACTTTCACTGATTTTTTTGTACATTTCTTGATCATAACGATAATAATAATCATAATAATAATAAGGATTAAAATAAACATAAAAGGAAGGAAATAATGTTGATCATAAATAAAAATGTTACAAACACAGCAGATTGTCTCAAATCCCAACACTAATCGTGACTCCAATTCAATTTTGATTGCACTTTATCATGATACCTGTGTTTTGTTTCACAGCATTAAAACTGTTTAATGATTTTACTAATCGTTATTAGCCTAAAGTGACCAAAATCATTATTTAATGCATGTTACAAGGCAACAAATTTAATAAACAAAATCAATCGATTACACATTTCAACACTTTTCTGGAACAAAGGAAAACACAGTTTGTAATTACAAGATTTACCCCTTAAAAGCCCTCCAATCAGGGTTGGTTGGCATAGAAATTATCTTTTGCTTTAACGCCATTTTAGTGACCATCTTTTATTAATTGACCGTTTTCAGTGATCTAATTAATCGTTTAAATTGTTACATCGATATCTTTCTCTACTTCCCTGACTGCCAATTCATGGCCGACCAGTGAACTTACCTCTAAACAGTGTAATAAATCAGTTGGATAATAAGGATAAATGGAGCAAAGTAAACACTTACAGTAATATTTACATTTTGACTTTTCTGTGTCACAAAACAAAGTAACAACACAATTTTGATTATGATGGCTATGAGGATGTTTATCAAAGTAAATAAATTTACTTGAAAATCAAAAAGACTCGGTTTTACCTCTAATTGTTGTTTTTATTTTTTCTTTACAGTTAGTGTTTGCCTTATTGCTTATAGACTCACCACTGGTAACTCAAAACGATGCCTTTAAGGTGGGCCAAAGTTTACCTGTTAACTTCATAAATCAGTCACCATGTTGATCAAACAATTGGAGGGAAAACCTTTAAATGTTTACGTAAAATACGCTAAATGTCAATATTGAATGGTTAAAGTATCAATTCTCAATGGATTAACCTTATTTTTACTTTGATCTGCATTTTTTTGTGTATCATTATTGTGAGTACTTTTTCCTTTATTAATTCACCTTTTTTTGATTGACAATTTTTCTTTTGCTTTCTACTAATCAAATGAATTTACAATTTTTACAACAAATTGATTTGCTTATATCTTGAACATCAACTTATTTAGCTGATCACATGTTAACAAATCATTTAGTAATTGATTTAGTTCATTTTTTTCAACCCTCGTTACCTTTCCAGTTAATGATGAGTTTGATCAATTGATAAATGATGACGATGATGATAATGATAATGACGAAGACTCTCTTCTGTTTATACATTATTGTCATTAAATTGTTGCTGAAAAAGACATATTTTTATGTTCCTTTTGATTTTGCCTTTGATCCTTCTTCCTGACGATAATAAATTCAATCTAAATTGATTAACAGTTTCCTGTTTATATCAATTAAAAATTATCATTATGAGGAAAAAAAAGGTTTTATTTTATCCACATTTTGCTAAGGTTACTCTTAATGATGATTCAGAATCACACCTTAAAATTTAAACTTTACTTTTGTTTTCATCAACAGAAAGCGATGAAACAAAATTAAATTATCTGTTAATTTGGTTGAATAAATATAATACAAAACTGTATCATAATTTTTCTTCAAATTGAATTCTCAATGATAAAGTATTTACTCGCTTCTTTTCACATATAAATATATTATCATTAACATTATCAACGTTATAAAAGATAATATCTAATTAAATTAATATCAAACTCTTAATGATTTTGCCTTCAATCAAATTGCTTCAAGGTAAATTGAAAACTCTTTTTCCACTCTCTTTCAACTGTTTAATTTCAATCTTTAATTTGACCATTTACTTTACTAATTACCTTTACCTTTTATATTTCATTTCATTTCAGATTCACATTCATACTGATTAACAATTCATACGGATATCTAATGATGAAGACGAGGATACAATTAACTATAGACTAAGCAAATTTGATTAATTCATGATAAAAATCAAGACTAAAGATGGTAATGATTACGTTTCAAGTCGATTCCAAGGATGATTAACCATCAAAATTACTCTTTGCCCTAATTACTTAAAGTAGATAATGAACTGAACAAGTGAAAGTTTGTTTCAATCATATCAGCCAAAAAGCATTCAATTAATTGTAAAATTTGTGAACTCTTTTGTTAGTCAAAAAGAGTTTGTAAATTGCCTTTGTTAAATCAATGCAACAGTAATGATCTAGGAAAGGTTGATTTGTTGAAGCTTTAAAAAATTAATCAATTTTAATGCAATCATCAAATTCAAAAACTCTGTTAACCTTAATATTATCATCATTATTTAATAAGTTAACTTTAGGGTTTGAAGTGGTAGACTAATATGAGGTTAGAGATATTAGACAAGTTAACGTATCAAAGGTGAAAAATGAATTGATCAAAGGGAAACAAAATGGTTGCTGGTTAAATTGTTAGATTCAATCAACAATCATTTGATCAATTTGAGTTAAAGTGAGAGCAATTCACAGTTGGTTAACTTTATTCACTCATCAAATAACAATCAAGGTAAAAGACATTTTTACATATTGCTATTGTTTTTCCAGTTTTACCATTACAACCTTTACTACACTTTTATCCGAACATAAAGCAAACTTGATTGATTGGAAATAATTTCTAATCATTATCAGAAATTGGTAATTTAGTGAGAGTAATAGTAAAAATAATCAACAACAATAGGTGATCGTAAATTTGTGATTTTACAATTGAAAGAGTTAATTTAAATTTTAATCTGTTCACATTGTAATGTAAATTGAATTTGCTACTGTTAAAAGTTAACAACATCAGGTTAAACTGGTGTTGTTGGTGGAATTCATTATTACCTTAATCACGATTTAGTTAACAAAACAATTAGATAATCCAGCAATTCAATTAAATTTAATCATTGATTTTGAAATTAACTTTCACTCGTTCAGGTTGCTACAATTTTCATAATCTTAACATTTATCTTTTGTTTTTACCTTTTCCTACAGCAAAACAAGAAACACAATCTGGCAACGAGAACAATTTTCAAATCCAAATTTATGGCCTCATGAATAATGATGTTTTAAACAATGAATGGAACGGAAGTTAATCAATTGGATTTCAAAGGTGATTATGGGTTATCTCAATGCAACATCACCAGGATTATGAACTACCCATGATAACAATAATGATTGAAGACAACATGAGGATGAAAGCACAAAGAAAGCGATGGAAATGAAAAAAAGTGGAAAAACAAAATTGATATAAAAAAGTAAAGAAATGAAAAGTTTGATTTATAAATTGCTTTGAGGCAAAAATTTAATCTTACTTTTCCTTCGTCCAAATATTAATAACAGTCATCATCATCTTCATCATCTTCTGTCTATTTTTCCTCCAAATATTACATGAGAGAAGAAGAAGGTTTGATCCTTCTTTTGGCATCCTTTTCTTCTTGATCATGATGATACAAAAAAATACATCAACCTCATCCTCCTCATCTTCTCAAACTTTTCACATCAATCTCAATTAAGATTAATCATCTAGTAAAAAAACGTCTAAGGTTAATTTATTTCTATCCTTATTTATGGTGAATCTTTGCCTTATGAAGGTAACGTTTACCCACCTTAATCAGATTTATTAATCAGTTGTAGTAGTTGTGTTAAAATTGCAACTTATTAATAAAACCTAAATTTGATCATTTAATTTGTCAGATCTTTGTTTTTTAGGAGTATAATTATTGTTATTATACAAAACAAACAAACAACATTGATCATAACATTCGCTTATGATCATTAACTCAAAAACCTTCAATGGTGGTCTCGATTATAATAATAATTATGATAATAATGTTTTACCCAAGAAATATAAACCTTAGTTTCACACTATTAACCTGATTACCATCCTAATTAGCCAATAAATAATCTGATTTTATCCAACCAATACCAACAACAACCAGATTAAAGTAAATATGAAATGTATGAAAAATCACTGACTATTTACCAGAAATAGGCATATTTTCATTCATCAATTTATTTTAATTGTTGATCTGCTAATGATGATGATGGTGACTATTATTGATATTTCAACTGTTAACTTAACCTTTATCATAAGTGTGTAAACAGACAAGAGATTGTCATGTCAATAATTACCATTTTATTATGATTGTTGTTATTAATATTGTACATTTCATACTCATTTAATCAATGCTATTCACCAATCTTCCTGTACGTCAATTTGAATGCTCAATAGCAGGTCACACAATTTAAGGTGTAGTTATCAATAATAAGTATATTAATAATGATAACAATATAAGAATCATAATAAATGGTTATTGATAATTGTATATTAGTTACAGTGAAGAGGAAGACGAGCCTTGAACAACCGAGCATGTAACCTCATCACAATTATCATGATGATGATCAATATTATTAATACGATTTAACACGATTCCCCTTGAAATCAGCAAAACGAGGGCAATATTGTTTTCAACTCGTAATTATAATCATTATCATCATAATCAACATTTTGATGAATATATTATTTAGCAAATATTTGACCGCGAGTTGAGAGAGGAATGAAAACAATGGATAAAATAATGAAATTGATGTAAAAGGCATGAAGATGATGAAGATAAATATGAAAGTTTATATTTTCCTCTTCATCTTCATCTAACTGATTCTTTGTTATTCAGTTTTTTATCTCTTTTCAAAATTTATCAAGTTAAATCTGTTCTTCATTCATTCAGTTTTTTCATCTCTTATTATACACTCAAAGTGTATTATACCTCCTTTTAGTCACTTTATTATTGTATTAGTTTCTCATGTTATCATCATCGGAATAAATTTCATTTACAGATATGAATGGAATGAAGAAAGGGAAGAAGAGAAAAAATTAGATGATGAAGAAAAAGAATTGTTAAGAAAGCTGAAAAAATATGAAATGATGAAGTCAAGCGTTTCTTTATTTCCTATCCTTGAGCAGCATTTCATTGTTTATAAAGCTGAAGGTAAAGAAAAAGTTGTTTGTAAAAAAATTTGACAATGTCAATATTTTACTTCATCTTCATCTTTACCATCATCTTTCATCCTCTCCCTTTTGTCTTCCTCTCATAAGGTTAACAGGTTAACAGTTGAATGAATGAATCAGATTCGTCTTTACCTTAACCATTGGGTGTGATGATTAGCAAATGTTCATTTGATTTAGATACTTTTTTGTTTAATGTTGTTGAGTTTTTTTTGTGACTAGATGTTGATTATAATTGACATGTAAGTGAAAAAAGACATTAACTGTTAAAAAATATCCAACTTTTACAGGGAAAAGCCAAAGAAAGCAAAGGAAGGAGGAAAACAAAGTCAACATCAACTGTACCTCAATGGTTAACCTGCAGAAACCTTAGTCATACAGTTTCATGGTGATAAACTGGAGGAAAATGTAAGAGGAGGAGGAGGAGGAAGATGAGGAGGATATGGCGGAGAGGGAATGATGATTAAATTGGAGGTTGAAGAGGTTTGAAGCGAGATTAAAAAAGCAAAGTTGTTACAGCGCAAAAAAGTATACAAATGTTAAGAGGTTGACAAAAAAGTAATGTTCAATAAGATGCGGAAGAGATGGAAGATGAAAAAAAGATGGAAAGAAAAGGATGATTAGCCTTTCTTTTCTCTCTCGTGCTTTTACATCTTCAACTTTTCCAATCTAACTTTAATGTCGACTTTCTTGGCGATGATGCAAAATCTTTATCCATAAGGAAAAACCTTATTTTCATTCAATTCATTTCTCTCTTTCTCTTCTCTCATCATCATCATCTTCCTTCACCAAACATCACTTTATTTTGATCAAATCTACAATTTTTTCCTTTGTATTAACATCAAGTTTGATTTATATTTGTTGGTTGTATAGTTATTTGGTCTGTTTAACCGTAAAAGCATGAAAATTTGATGCAAATGAGAAGATCGGAAGATGAGAAAAATGTCAATTATAATTTAAGTCAAATCAATCAATCGTTTAACTGTAATAACAGAGATATAAAAATAGTAAATGTTTAAAATTAATTGACTTAATTATAAATGGTTTGTTTGGTTGCCTTGGTTAACGTAAAGATAACTCATGTAATGTAAATTGAAACACACACACTTATCTAATATATTTTTACCGTTTTGATATTTTTCTGTCAAAATTTATCCGCACTCAATGGGTCTATAAATTTTCTGTTAATCGCAAAAGTAAGGTTTTGGCCTGAGTGTCACCAAAACTGAGTGTGTTTTAGGACCCGACCCTGAAACTAAAAGGATTTCAAGGAAAACTTTGGTTGAAAGCCATGGTTGAACTACATGTCCAATGGTAGTAAAAATGGTTGTCTTGCAGATAATTATCACTCAAGAAGCATAAATCGGCAAATAATCTATAAGGTGTTTGAAACAGCAATTTATTTCAAACCACTTGATTAAAATTAAAGGTTAACTGCGTAGCGACAACGTCTATCTATGAATTCAATCATAATGATACTTTTGTCATGAAACCAACCTTATTGACTTCAATTGTTTATGCTTGGCAGCAAAATATGACTCCATTAAAATGTTTTCATTTAAATTCAGTTACAAGATTCATTCTAATAACAATATTGGTTTCCATATTCAGTCAATCATTTGATTGTAAACCAGCAAATGTAAGTAATGATATTATCATAACAATCAGTCTCATCAAAGATGACTATAATTTTGTCATGGCATTTCATTGCTACTTCAATTTTGTTCAACCATTAGTCTGTGATAATTGGAACCTCGGAACAAGGAAACATCAGTCAACCGATTGACCCACCAATGTCTACTGATAAACCTTCAAGAAGCAACGATAACAAAGGTCCAGTTGTTAAGCGCGCAGCTCATCCACCTGACGGTATGTTAGATAAATTTCAACATATTAAGTCTTAAATATTAACTGTTGATTCGTTTTTGAATTCATTTCAGATAATTTTGGTAGCAACAAAAATGAACATAAATGTTTTAAGATGGTTGAACCCGTTTCGCCTAAAAATTTGTTGTTTTATTTAAAAGATTATAAAATTATGATGGGACCATTGGTAGAGAAGATTAATCCTTCAGATTTCAAAGTAACTTTGCATGTGAAAGCAAGGCCAAGATCGGATTATCGAAAAAAAATGAATTTGCCTACATTGGAATTGAATACGAAGAATGAAAAACCGCCCGCTCTTAATTCATCGAAAGTTAAGAGTATCAAAGTCGAAGTCCCTTGTTCACATTCATCATCAACAACCAATAGCCCTCTTAAAAGCACTTACGGAAATTCATCAGACATAGGCGTTATAAAACCAAACAGAATTGAAGTGAAAACTGTGGAAACTACGACATCATCTAACGGCACTTTTACAACCAATCCCTTAAATCAGAAAGATCTAACCACCATTGAATCACCAACGACATTCAGTGAAAACGCAACAGTCAGTCGAAATGACACTGTTACAAAGAGTCTGACTGTTTTACCAACCGGTTTTAATGCAACTATGGAAACTACGACATCATCTAACGGCACTTTTACAACCAATTCCACAGACCAGAAAAATTTAACCACCACTGAATCATCAACAACGGTCAGTGAAAACGCAACAGTCAGTGGAAATGACACTGTTACAATGAGTCTGACTGTTTTACCAACCGGTTTTGCTGCAACTATGGAAACTACGACATCATCTAACAGCACTGTTACATCCTATCCATTAGATCAGAAAAATCTAACCACAACTGAATCATCAACCACTGTCAGTGAAAACGCAACAGTCAGTGGAAATGACACTGTTACAATAAGTCTGACTGTTGTACCAACCGGTTTTAATGCAACAAAAATGGGAACTACGACATCATCTAACGGCACTTTTACAACCAATCCCTTAAATCAGAAAGATCTAACCACCATTGAATCACCAACGACATTCAGTGAAAACGCAACAGTCAGTGGAAATGACACTGTTACAATAAGTCTGACTGCAGTACCAACCGGTTTTAATGCAACAAAAATGGGAACTACTACATCATCTAACGGCACTTTTACACCCAATCCCTTAGATCAGAAAGATCTAACCACAACTGAATCATCAACAACTGTCAGTGAAAACGCAACAGTCAGTGGAAATGACACTGTTACAATAAGTCTGACTGTTGTACCGACCGGTTTTAATGCAACAACTATGGAAACTTCGACATCATCTAACGGCACTTTTACAACCAATCTCTTAGATCAGAAAAATCTAACCACCACTGAATCATCAACAACTGTCAGTGGAAATGACACTGTTACAACTACAACAAAACCTGCATCTAAAACAATGGATCTCTAACAACCGCATTTATTTTATCGTACATTTCTAATTGTAATAAACTTATTCCAATTCCTTATATACTTGATTCTCGTGATTCATTAACAGTGATTATAAATCATTAGTGGTTATTTAATTAGACACTTGTAACAAGAAAGTTCAATTTTTTGATTCAACTGCGAATCAATTGAATAAATTAAACTGCATGACAGGAATAAAAAAGGCATAAAAAGCATTACAACATGTACATTGTACTTTATGCTAAGTGCTTATGACCATATGATTAACAGTAATTGATTATTGAAAATGGTAACCTCTTTGAGTTTATGTTCAACTTTAAATCGAAATAATGATATTAATCTAAAATTTCATTATTGATATTTTATTTAAATTGTTTACCATTCCTCATTAATCTTACAATACAGTTCGTGTAAAATTTAAGTGTTACTTGTTAATGAAAATAATTATATTTATCCAATTGAATGTTTATTGCTCTTCCATCAAAATTTTCATGCCTTCTTTGCCTCCTCAACTTGTGATTGTTACTGTGTTTACTGATTAAAGTGGTTAATTGTATAATATTATAAGTAACCTTGGAAAGTAAATTAATTGATTATCTCAACGAGTTTGCTACGAAAATTCAATATTCAGAGGTTTAAATTAAATTAAAGAAATGATTGTTCAACAACTTGGCCAACTTGCAAACCCATGTAAACTGGATAAAATGATTGCTCTTCATTGCCTTCTCCTCAAAGTTGGTTTATTTAGAGGAACAAGCTATTTATTTAATGACAAGTTGATACGGGTTTACAATTTATTATTAACACCAATCGCTAATTTCATTTCTATCACTTGAAACACCTCTAGATTTCACTTCATTATCATCTCTGTGCTTTTGACGGTCAACAATCAACTGTTGGTTTACTGATATTAACCTGATTAAACTTGGCCTTTCCTCATTCCGTTATATCACTCTGAATCATTTCATGATCCAATTGCAGATAATTTCAGAGTCAATTGAACATATTAAGGCTTGGTGAGCTAGGTTTTAATCTTTACTTTAATCAAACTCTATCAATATCTTTTAACCTTTGTTTTTGTATTTTCATTTAAAGGTTGTTGATCCAGGATCAGATTGACTTTAATTTATATCCGATTGTTAACATTTTTTGGTTGTCTCTTTGGAAATGGATTAACCCTGCATTTCTTGCATCAACTTGCCTGTTTTGAATTAGCTGTTGGCTGAAAAAAACAGAAACATCATTATAAACTGTTATATTATTGATAAACCAGTATCTCACGTTGATGGATATCATCTTTAAACACTTTGGTTGCATCTCATCCTTTCCTCATCCTTGTCATCTTTGATTTTTCCCATCTTTTCTTCTTCTTTCTGGTCTCTGTTTTTTTCCTGTTAACTTTCAAAGAAGCTCATTCATCATTCAGTTTGTATCGTTTAACTTGATTCTGCAAGGAAATCAAAATTAGCTCAACTTGAGGGCAACAAATTTGTAACACTATTGTAATTGTACGACCATCAGGTTCAACTCTCTTAATTTGACTATTTTCTAACAATCATTCAACTCATCATGATTGCTGATATTCAATGATTACTTTCAGATTCCCTGTCATCAAAACAGCTTCTCAACCCTGACAAAACCACAAGAAAACTTCAACAGATGAGATTGTGAAGGTTTGGTAAAGACCAAAACGAATGGCTAAAGGAAGGCAAAACAAACCTAATTTTGGAAGGAAAGGGAAAATTTGATCTGAATTTATCTCAAGAATTTGACTTATCATTGAGGTGGAAATGATGAAAATAATAAAAGGTATTTGCAGCCATTTATCTACTTTCATTGTCAATGTTTACATTTGTCATCATTATATTATCACAAACTTTTTTTTATTATTAGTGTAAATATAAATGGACGGCATTACTTATATATTAACTTGGAAGCTCTTGAGATTCATGGCAATGGTGTTGAAATTGAATGTTGGATGGTGATATAGAAATCAAATTGGACAACATTAACATGAAAACCTTTCCTCATATTAGAAACCCCTTTGGAACCAGACTGGACAACATACCTTCACAAGTGATGATTATTATTACCATTTACCTCTATAATTATTGTATGGTGTTGATGTTTATAATATTATTACTTGGATAAAATGATTTTTATCAATAGTTAATGGTACAATTTTGTCAATACATTTTTTCGTTAAACATGGTTAACTTGATCATCTGCAAGAGTCACAAGAAACCTTTACTTGTATTTTTGGTTGACATTTAACTCTTTTTTTACATAATATTACCATTTTGTAGTTATTATGTACAAGACACAATCATTCAAAAGAGTTAACCTGGTTCAGGTTGATCTTTATCAACATCATTATTCACCTCTAACCATAATAATGTTAAAGGTTGACATTTACAGCTAAAAATGTTGATAGGAAAACAATTTGAGATTTATATTTGAGAAATAAATTGTTTCTTCAAATAAAAGACAAGATGTAATTTAAAGATCTTCCCTTACCTTTGTATTGTTTTTGGTTTTTGTTGTCTTCATCTCTCGACTTTTACCCTTTGTTTCTCAAATTGCTAACTCTGATTAGGTTAATTTTACAGTCCCAATTGTATTGTGTAAAGATGATCAAAATGGAGATTCATTGATTAATAAATTAAAGTGAACGTTGGTGTTTTCCCAAATGGCTTCAAGTGTTTACCTCTCTGTTTTGTTGCATTTTATTTTGATTCAGTGGAGCTTGATTGGTAATCAACTTTTACCCATTAATTGAGACGATTCTCAAGTTGAATATTTTTCTATTTTATTCAATATTAAATCAATTTGGTACCTTCAATGTAACAACATTTGTTTCCCTGAATTAGACTTGAAAAATTATTGCCATCAGTCAAATACATTGAATGAATAATTTCCTCCATCTCTTCATTTCTCTTTTTTTTCACCAGATTCATTGATAAAGATTACCTGGTTAATCTTTATCATAATTCATCATGATCACAATTTTGTCTCATCATCAGAATCTTGTTCATCAATTTACTGCTCGGCTGAGCAAATTAAAAAGAGTCGAGTAGTTTTGTTTTTGTTTCAAAGCTTTGCTCCAACTAATTGATCAGCTGTTAATAATTGAAACTACTCAATGAGATAAATATACACTACATTGAAATTAGCTACAGTTTTATCCGTACAACCTTTTTATCATGTAATCAATTTATCAGTTTTGACATAATTTCAGTTTTGAATGTTGATTCACACACAATTTAATTTATTTCATCTCTATTTGAACTGTAAATACTATTTCCAACCAATTGGCCATTTGACAACAAAGCAACACAAAAAGGTGAGTGTAAGTGTTCAAAATGATCAAGAGGTGTCAATCTTAATTTGTGTTTAAACCATTTGGACCATATAATTGATGGTTTAACCTGGTTAACCTTTGCGATTATTGATCACTATTGTTGAAGATTGAATATTGACTTAAATTTGACAACTTAAGAATAAGATGGAAGCTGAAATTCAGCAAAGAAAGGATTAACTTCCATTAAAAAAACAGATTGAACCAGATGGAAATAAAGTGAAAGCTTACCATTTTCACCATTTTAATCATTTTAAACACATTTCCTTTGATTGTCTGACCAACATACTCCAACTCATTAATAGGTTAAAATAATCAGGTTAAATTTAATCAGTTAAAAAATGAACAACGTGAGAAACAATTAAACGTTATCAATAATGTAAATAAATTGTTATGGTAATGTAATACACTGTGATATGTGTTGATGTACAAAGTAATAGATTGATGATAATTTTTCAAATAATGTTTCCAAGTTGACTATTAATATAATACATTTAAGGTAATCAAGAAACAATTAGAAGGGTTTTATTAAAATAAAGAGGTAAAATTTGGGTTTACAGTAGCTACTTGAATAGCATCAATCAAGTTGAATGGAAAAATTTGGCTTCAACTGTACAAATGACTTTTGTATTATCTGTAAAATATACAGTAGATAGAGTCCATTATTTACAATCAAATAAAAATTATCAAACCATTTGAGATTAAATTTACATTAAATTATCATAAATAATGATTATTGTAAATATCAACAATTTGCAAGACTCTATTAACCTGAAAACCGGGAGATATTGTGAAAAAGCCAGAAGGAATTGGAATTATTTTAGGTAAACGTTGAATCACATTTAGACATCATGAACAGGTAACAATTAGATTTGAGATGACAAATTGAGTTTAACCAAGTATTAGGTACAGCAAACAGTTAACCACCTCAGGATGGAAACAATAACCAACATGAGGTTTTACGCCGTTAAAGCCATTGTTATCATTCCATGGTTTAAGTGAAATGATTGACTCCATTGTCCATGTGGTTGTTCAAATTTAGGTTACCTGGAGTTGTCCAGTAAATGGTCTTCAAGTGAAAATTTACTTTCATCTCGCTGATCATTTCTAGTAAGCTTTAGACGTGGCTTTTTATTCCTCCTCCCTGCTTATTAACTTTTAAGTCCATCATCATCACCATTATCATCATCGTCAGTAACCTTTATAATGGCCTTAGGCGAACGTTTGTTTTCCTTCGTTTTCCAGGTGATGTGTTAAACAAGAAGAAGAAGAAAAAATAAGAAATTTTAGAAACTTCTTAAGATGTTCAAGATAACTTACCTTAACTAAGCTTAAATTTTCATCATTTGCTTTTTTTTGCTTCTCATCTTTAGCTGGGAACAAAATCATCATTTGAAATTGATAATTGATCAACACACACACACAAGGGTAACCTTTGAGAAGCTGAAAGATTAACACTGATTAGTTATTATTTATTATTATTAAAAGTGACATAACATGTTATTAATTATTACAATAAACTATTATCATGATAAAAATCAATTACTCACCATATTTGATCAAAAAGTTTGTCAATTAGATACAAATCTTGGATCCAACATCTTATTAATGGTCACTTGAAAACACTAGAAGCAATGTAACAAAAAAACAAAACATATTCAACTCTTAATAAACCTCAAATTAGCAAAAACTTAATCAATATGTAAAAATCTTCAAGAGTTAATGAAGTTTTAATCAACATTTTGTTTAAAATCAAAAGTGATAATTATCATGGTTTATAATTAATCATTAATTTAAAATGTAAGTTTCAATTTAATTTTCAATGTCAAGCTAAAAGAAAAGGCTTTAAGTATAACCAGCTGATTAGCCAGTTAACGGCTTTAAGCGCCTTAATCCAGTTAGCCGGTCTTTTGTTTCAATTTTTAAGCTTTTCTTGTTGTTTTGGATTTGCGACAAATATAAATCCTTTTATTTCAATTATGTTTATCTAATTTTGTAAGATTTACATTTGCCATATGAATGATTAACTACACAATTAATGTTCACCGTTCAAGAAGTGGAAATAATTGAAGCAGACGATGCCAAAATTTGGAACCAAATGGATGCCAACAACATCAACATGAAACATTGTGATATCATCTTTGGCTTGTTTCCTTCATTGTTATTGATAAATAAGACTAACAAGTGTGAACTGTCATCCGAATGGATGAAATTGAATTAAGAAGATATAATAAGAGGAAGAAGATGATGAAATGAGAAGATTATTTAACTTGATAGACGTGCTTTAATGGGGCGTTAAAGGATCATGTTTATAAAGGTAATCTAAAATAGTCTACCCTGAAAGGTAAGTGATTTTATTTTATCTTCAACTTTTATTTTCCCCCTAATTTCATACAATTTCAATTGTCTTAACAATACAATCCATTACACTGACAGTTGATACTCACATGTGATTTACCTGAATTTTATCCTTGGATTCGATTGCAATGTCTGGCTAGTCTGCAATTAATTCAACTGTTCAGTTGGTGGAAATTTATTTTTCAGGTATAATTACATGAATAATGAATTGTACAATAAATACTATTGATATAATTTATCATCTAAATTCAATTAATCAATTGGATAAAGATGTTTTCACTTGCACTTGTATTGCTTTTCGAGACAATTTTTAGGTTAACTGTAGTCACATTACACCAATGAATTAACAGAGTCATTGAAATGATTAATTAATTTTCATGTATCTATTTTATTGTCAATCGTTAAAATTTTTTTTTCATCATCTTTTTGTTTGTTACTTAAACACAAACAAATAAACATACAAACATACAGACAAACAATACAAAAGCAATTGTATTTTGTGTACTAATACATTAAAACAAAAAGATATGTTGATGAATAAGTAAACAATCAAGTTGATTGATGTCTATTCTGGTTGACTGATTATTATCATTATGATTATTATCACTATTCATTATATTTACTAACTATTATCAGATGAACAACAGAAACGGTATATAACTGCAATTGAAATTAAACCAATCTCTTGAATGAAAGTAAAAATAATACATAACTTAGATTTCTGGTTCTGTACAATACAATGGCAGAAACCAAAGTTAACCCAAACTTGCCATCCAAATACACAATCATAATGATGATAACAATAAAAATAAGCATCATAATAAAATGATGAACAATGAAATAAATGCATGTAAAAAAGGCCTAAAAACAAAAAATAAACAAACTTGACCAAAAAAAACGTTGAGTCTGAGAAAAAAGCGATTGCCTTAAGGCAAATAACTTGCTGTTAAAGCATATGTTTTTACCTGATAAGAATAGGTTTTACAGTTGAAAGAAAAGGTGTTCACCAGTTATTTATATTTTTTTGCTTTCTCTTCATATTACAGGGGTCAAGCATATGGTTAACTTGAATACACTGGACAAGTCGTTATGGGGAATGTAAATCCAACTTGTTACCAGAAAAAAATGGCTGGAAATTTTGAATTGAAGAAACGTTTATAACCAGAAGGATTAAGTTGAAAACCAGAAGATTGAGGAAACCAATAAAGACAGTTGGTTGACAAAAGATTGAAAAAAGTACCTTATGACCATAAAATGGACGAAATGGTTCAATCATGGATTGCTGTTGAAGGTTATCCAATGAAACGTAAATTCAGTGAACGGGTCAATTGGGGAAAATTGAATTTTACATGGACATGTTTACCTTTTCAATTACATGGATGCTCATAAGTTACACTGGTCGAATGGCTTATCGTAACCTTAATCATAATCAATCATTATTATTATCATCGATAGCATTTAGCCTGGAGGTTTTGATGAAATGAGTCTAGAGTCAATTGAGGAGAAATCTGATGATGAGATAAATTAATGAGCAAAAGCTTAAGGAGATAGTAACCTATTAATAATCAATATATATATTATAATTGTAAGAAAGAAGAGACTTGATCTATTCTTATCATAATCATTATATATATATTTTTCGTAATGTATCTAATGAATGTTGATGAAATCTCATGAGTTTAGGCTATCATCATTAATATGATTATTATTTTATGAACATTCTTAGGGTTCAAATGGATTCATTTGATAATGAAAATGAAATCAAATTATTATTGCCATTATCATTAACATTTGCTACATATTATTTCATGGTGATTCAATTCACTTCATGGTACCTTTTGATAGTTTATTAACTTTAGCTTGGGTTAACTTTCAATGAAAAGGAGAAATATTTTTTTACTTTTTTTTATTAACTCTGATAAAGTAAACTTTCAATATCAGATTCATATTTTTCAAACTAATGCAGCCCAGTTTCATCAATCTTGTTTGTTTTCTTCTTATACATCAAAACCTTTTTCTCATTCAAGTTAACCTCAAAAGGTAAAATTCACATAAAAAATGATTCCTAGTGAACCTTTTTATCTGGATACATGTTTGATTCATTTTGATAAAACAAAATGAATCATAACTTTAAGCTGATAACAAACGAAAAAGATTATGAAAGGAAAGGCTTAAAATGTCTTCCTAAAACTTCAATCATTTTGAAATTGAAATTTTATTTTTCATTTTCACTCTTATTCCCTTTCCATCTTGGGATCTCCAACGCCAATTGTGAAAGTTGACTACAAAAATAGATTAAATTTTATCAGAATGTTGACTTTTGATTGAAATCTTGTTAATCTTGGACTGAATTTGGTTAGAAGCTCAATTGAATAGCAATCAAATCCAAATTTGAAGAAACCGCTTTTTTTAATCAAACCGCCAAAACCATAGTCATGTGGTTAAAGTATGTCTTTTGTTTTAAGCCTTTCTCATCGCTTCTGAACAATTAACACTTATTTTGGTTGTTAATTAATTTTGACAGTTTAGTAAATATTATTTCAATTATTACTGTTATTATTACCCAATCAATCACTAAACATCAGTCTATCCAAAATGGATTCAGCCTTTTCTCGTCACTATCATTTTTTTTGTGTTTACAATGTTTTTTGTGCCTTGGTTTATAATGCCTCATGGCAATCTTTAACTCTAAATGTAAGTAATTGTACATTAATAGATTTTTAACTTTCAAAAAGCAACCAGAAAAGATCACAATTTATTTTAATTGTGAATCTAATGCAGCTTTTAAGACTTGAATGTTAAAGACTTCCATGTAAACAATAAAATGCAACAACCCACAACAGCCGTTCAATAAACAGTCTCGGAGCAAAATTACAAAAATGGTTTCCCTTTGACTAGATTTTTTACCTTTACCTGTTTTGTTACATCATTTTTTAACCTTGTTTCTCTTTTCTCTTCTTTTCTTCAACCCAGATTTTCAATTATATGTGTCTCGGAGAAAGTTGTAATAAAAATTTACAAGAAAATGGATTCTCCTTGGCTCTTTGTGTATCAAACTAAACAGAGGAAGACAAAAAGGAAAAGGAATAAACACATATTTCGAGGCCAACAAGAGGTAACTCAGGTAAAATGCAATGAATTTTTCTCAAAGCTTTTTCTTTCACATTTTCAGTTTACAACATTTTTTCTTATCTTATTTTTTTTCTCCTCCGTCCCTCGTCCTTTAACACAATTAAATAGGTTAAATCAGTAGCTTCAAAGATTTCTCTGCCAATGTTTTGACCCTCATTGACCCTGGGTCATCTAAACAGATAATAATAACAATGGAACCCAAAAAAAGCCTTGTTTGAAGTCAACAAACCTCAATACAAGAGACAAGTTTTTATTCAATTTCAATAATCTTTATTTCTTCTCTATTGAAATTTCTCTTAGCCCCATCATCATCATTATCATTTTTCACATCAATTTGGCTGATTTACTCCTTAAAGAATCTACTTTTCACATTCAACAACAACAAACATCAACAAATCTCGGTTGATATATGCAAAGATAAACTTGAATTTTTGTGTTGGTTTTAGTTATAAATGGTATAATCATCATAACAGGAAGTAATTTATTATCCTTTTATCATTATTTCAGAATGATTAGGATCAATCAATTGTATCTGTAAATCTCTTTACCTTTTCTTCATCATCATCATCATACACCTTGAAACTATACAAACAAGAAAATTGTTTATTTTACATTGACAAATGAGATTCGGTAACAATAAGGAAGACCTTACCTTTCCTATTGATTGCGGTCTAACAATCAAAATGTAACCATGCTATAAAATGATTACATTCATTATTGTTACTACTGTTTTCAAATTTACCTAGTAGTTAGTCAATTGTTATCTTATTGAATAACAACAAGTTTATTTGCTGTTGATCGATTTAAACTTGAATTTCAATGAGATAGAGAAAAAAATTGCAACTCAAAGTTAAGTGTGTTGTGATGAATGTAAAAAAATCAAAGGTAACTCATTGAGTCTCCATGGTTTTGCTCCAATATTTATTTATTTATTGATATTATTCCGAGAAAGAAACTTTCTTGAAACTGTTTTTTCCCAACACATTTAATGTCAAGTTTTATTTGAAATAATAATATCAAGCAATATTAACTTGAAATGTAATCAAAATTTTTCTTTTTGTTGCCAGACTAAAACAAATTGCGCCATTGAATTTCAACGGATTCAGGAACGGATCACATTTTTGTATGTTGTCTTTTCATTTCTTACAAATTATATTTTACTTCACTTCAAGATTTGCCTGACAATTATCAAAATAGCCTAAAGGTTAGTCCTTTTTACCTTTGATGCTCATCATCGCCCACTTTTTGACTGTCCAATTCAATATTGAAAAAAAAGATTCAAAATAAATCATCTTACAGTGCAACAAAAATGGCTGTCATCATTTTATCCAGTTACTCATCTTGTTGTGGGTAACCCACCAGTAAAATTAAATTAATATTTTTATTATCAATTACAGGTTTAAACTACATCAAACTAAACAATTAAAAGATGTTGGTGACTTGGACCAAGGAGTTAGCTGTTTGAAACAAATGCAAAGGTCAATTAAATTGATCAGAACTGATGAGTCTGGACGAGGATCACAAATCACTGGCAGGATTGTTTAATGGTAACTGTTCATTCAACTTCAAGACAACCAACTTTTGCCGTTAATTTTTCCTGGAGACTTCATTTACTTGGTTTGCACATTCAATTGACTTTGACAATGATTAACTTATCTTGCAAAGTTTACTAATTAATGCATATAAGTGTTGCTATTTTCAGAATAAGTCAAAATTATAAAATGATTAATTCACTGAATTTTTATCATTTTTCTTTCACATTATTGTATTAGTTCATCTCAAACCGTTAAAATAGCAAGTAAACTCGAAATTAAACTTTAATCAGGGAAAAATGAAAAACTGAACTTATATAAATTATGCCAACTGTGTCTGATTTGATTGTTTATTTGGCGATCAGTTTAATATTTTATACTGAAGGGAATACTCTTTTTTTTGGGTGAAAAATTGTTAATTTCACCACCTAATAATTTACTCAGCTCTTTTTCAAACATTATTCATCATATTTTGCAACCTGTCATCTTATATAATAATAATGATGATAATTTCAATTCACATTTATCAAGATGATTGTCATGATTAACGATCAAAGGCAGTAAATAGTCAAAAAGCTGAGTATGCCAAGGAAGACCAGGAAAACGAACCTCAAATGTAACCAAAAAAATGCACAAGAAATTTAATAGCAAACTTATATTTTTAGGTTCACCATAATCATATGTATATTGAAAAGCGACCAAAATTTATGAATTAATATACACATTGGGAATTGATAAGAGTTAACTTTAAGTGATGCCATTTTGAGTAATTTTGACTTTAAATGATTAACCAATTATAACCAATAATTTAAATAAGTCACGATTGAAACAAAATAATGAAATAATCATAATTATATGATGGTTAATATGAAGTGGCAAATGAAGAAGCACAACACACAACAAGCCAAGATATCTCATAGCTTGCGGCTTGGATCATTAAGGTTAGTCTCTACACAAATACACTCTCTCTATCTCTACTTCAGGTAATTAGGTAAATAGTTGAATCTAAATGATGATGGAAATGATGATTACTTTGATTAATCAATAGTTGTCCTTAAACTTGATTTAACTAATAAAGTGGTTAATTATAACCAATAATCCAAACGATGAACCGATCACAGCAACCACATTTATAAAAAGGGGAAGAAGTGATGGCCGGTTAAGGGTTAAAGATGATCTCGACTCCCCGTTGATCAATACTGATTATCACAATAAATTAATACAAATAAAAGGAATAATTAAATCAAGAAAAAGAAACTGATTAATTTAAATAAACAACAAAAAAACAAAAAACAAATAGCTAGACATAATGGCTTCGACCCATTTACACATTCATCAGCTGGCCTCGTTTCACTTGAATCCAGTAGAGGGTTAAAATGCTAAGTAAGATCGTCATTGGTTGTCCTAAACATACAATGCCAATAATGTTTAAAATAATTATGCCTAAAAATAACTCCAACAATTGTAATCACAGTTGACCTCAAAAAACACGATAATAAACAATCAAATCAGCTATTACTGTCACTTCAAATGTAAAACATTGAGCTACATGAGCAAAGCTGAATGACTTGAATATCATCACCTAATTACACTTACAAAGAGCAGTGTCTGACTGCCTTTATGCCAGAGCAATTTCATTACCAATCGATTGAACACACTCGATGTACAAGAAATGTCCATGAAATGTGACCAAGAAAAGGCCACAAAAATGTCAAACCTTTGGCGTCAGAAGGTTCAACAGACAATCTAAACGTCAAGTTACTCCAAACAATTATATTTTCACACTTTAAATCCCATTCTCTGATCTCAATTTCACTCTGGGAAAAATGGATTCATGAGGACTTTTGTTTCTTACGTCTTCTATCGATTGACAGTTAACTCCTGGCTCTTAAAACCGATGTAAACATTGATTTCTGTACTCAAAGGTGAAGACAATAGATTTGCCAATTTAAGATTGATATGAACTTCATATTATGAAGGTATTGAGATTATGAGTGTTCAATTGATTGAAGGGCTAAAAGCATAAACAAATTATATTCAGGTGTATGTTAAGTAAAGCGTTAACCTCCTAAGGTGAAATGTGAAGTCAAATTGTAATCATAAATTATTGTTACCATGATGATAAAGGAATACATTAAAACATTGATTGGTGATAATTCAGGAAGATATTCAAGATTGGAAATTGTTTAACAAATTGGTGAGTAAAGTGACTAAAACAAGTAAATGTTTTGCTTCAACTTGACTCATATATTTCCTTCATTTGCAGCATTTCTTGACCAGGATAAGTATTCCTCTCTCTCTCTCTGTCACTCTCTGAATATGTTGCCAAATTGTTATTACATTATTTCTTACATAAATTCTGGTTATGTGTTTTTTTTTCAGGATTCATGGTGATCAATTGATGAACAGGGAAAGGAGAAAGCAGAAGGCAGAAATGGCAACATGGCAAAGATGAACAAACTGATGAGATGATGTCTTGAGAGATGTGACTTGAAGCCGGTTTTACTCTCAATCAGATTATATCAGGAGGAATACACAGAAAAAAAGCCAAAAATCACTTTGACAGCTTTTCACTTTTCAAAATCAGTAGCTTCAAGAATCTTACATATCATCATCATTTCCAAACAGATCTCTGAATTACTATTGGAAACAGGATCTTTTCAGTCTTTCTTTCTCTCTTTCTTCATCATTCACTCAGAAACACACTCTTGAAAGTCAAGAAACAGTAATCAGGTTTACATACCTTTTGTAATGAACAATTTTGTTAACCTAAAATAACCTACAATTTTTGACGGTTACTTGATATTTTGATTCACATTATGATGATTATTATTATGGTTGCTAGTCATATTCAGTTACAAATTCAAGATTGACTGGCTTTATGCATCAACTTAATTCCCAATCCAGCAAAACATCACAATCAGCAGACTGGTAAAGCTGGTAACAAGTAAAGAAACAATCAACTCTTCAATAGACATCATTTGTTTTTCAATTAAAATGGACAATTATAATTATGGTTTATAATTATTTGCTTGATTGGCTTCTCATTTCTTATCCTGCCGATCTTAATCATTACAGGTTGGCCCTTGTATTGAGTAGGCCCTTGCTTTATGGTTGATTACAGTTTAAAGTTGACTGTATCTCAATTCACAATCAAGAGTCTATCTTCAACCAGAAAACACTTGGAAGATTCAAGATGCAGATAAGTTAAGCAAAATACATGGTAAACCCTGATAAACTTGCCAATAAGCTATGAAAGTATACATTTTCATATTGGTTGCTAGTTTGAATAAGTATACCTAAATTGGTTTAATAAGCTTTTATCAACTCTGGTTCTTACCTTCAACATGATTAGATGTTTAATGAAATTGGATTTAATTTGATGGCTGCTGATTTAAACATTCATCAAGCAATCATCATTTGCCAACCTTTCCAACCTTTGGTTTAACGTTTTTCAATCTTGTAACATGAACAGACCAAATCAATTGGAAGGGAAAAAAATCAAAGTAAATTAAAAATGTTGGATACAATTCACAGTGGTTTAGTGGTGAGAAATTAATTGCATTTAAAAGTGATACTCTTGTGATTAAATCCAGTTTCCAAGATTGGCCAAGATTTTTTCACCCAAAAAATAAGGCTAACATGATAAATGATTCAGTTTGATATGTTTAGTGTTTGCTATTGATAAACACAAACACCATTTCAGATGTAAACCAAAAACTGAAAGCTGGTTAAATCTTTTAATGGACAACAAAATTGATCAATTTAACCAAATTAGTAGACCTTATATCATCTAATGATCAAAACTGGCAACATCCTTTAAGTGTCACTCACCATTGAAACATTTGACAAAATGATTTGATAGATACCGTGTTTCCGCACAAAGAAGGCCAGAGCTTATTCATCAAAATTCTCACTAATTAGCCCTTGGATTTTCTAATGGACAACAAAATTGATCAATTTAACCAAATTAGTAGACCTTATATCATCTAATGATCAAAACTGGCAACAACCTTTTTTCATTAATAAGCTCTGGCCTTCTTTGTGCGGAAACACGGTAATTGTCTATTGTAATTGTCAACCTTTGTAAACCAGTTTAACCATGTTCAAGTCTTGATCAATCTTCTGAATAAACCAACAGTTGGACAAGTTATAAATAAAAACAGGCAAATGATTTCATTGCGATTACAATACAAAATGTCACAAAAAGATGATCAAAAATCATCTCAATGTAAATGGAAAATTTACATTTTCATTTCAATTTTTCACTTTTCACCAACTCTGATCAGTTCAATTATACCACCAACATGAGATTAATTCAGACAATCTGGTAAATGTTACAAAAAGAATGATAAAAAACCAAAAAATCAACTTTTACTTTTACCAGTTTTTGAAGCATTTTTGTCTCCATGTTTGGGTAAAACTGAGAATCCTTTTTGCTAACCATAACAGTTGACTGTTTTTATTGATTAATCAGTTTTCCTTTGAAGCTATTATCAATTTTGATCATTTGGTGAATCATTAAATCTAGATAAATTCAAGATTCATTTCACGAGGTTTTCATTATTTGTATTGATGGTCCATTGAAAGTTAAAACTGTTTTCATCTCTTTAATCTTGATACTTTTGTTGAATAACAGCTTCACGATGAAACCAATCTATTTTCATATTCATAGAGCAACGTGATCAGAATTACCAGATTAATATAAATAGATGCTGTTAAATTGGATGAAAACAATCAAAGAAGATGAAACGGAAAAAATAACAAAAAGTTTCCCCTGAAAAAAATATAAATCATTTGTTATTATTGTTGTTCAATCAAAAGCCATTACATTTAGATCAATTTGGTTTCTTGATCTTCTTCAAGATGATTTACGTGATTGAAAAAGGCATTATAAAACATGATAATTGTATCATCTTCAATATAATTTAATGTTACAATTAAAGGCAATAATCAGTGAACCTTTGAACAAACCAAACGAATCCATTGAAAAATGTGTTCATCAAAAAGGTAACATCATTTTACTCGCTATCGCAATGAAAGATCAATAATGTTTTGTTAATCATCCAAGATTTATAATTGTAATAATGATATTGCTTGAGGTAAACACTTAATACATTCACAGTAATTTGTTAATGTGTTAAAAATTGATTCAATAAAATAAAATTAAAGGTTAATACATTTTACAACATTTTTAAACAAGTTTTCAATTTTGGCGCTTCCAAACTGCTGATCAAATATTGATATCAGATCTGGTTGAGTCCAATTTAGTCTGACTTTAGGTTTGGCTCAAGCTTAAAGGTTATCATTGGTTTATTTTACATTATTATAGCAATTTCAACTTGATTTGAGATGGTAAATTGTAACGATTAAAAGATAACATTGATTGCCAAAGTTGATTTGATTCTGGTAACAACATTGTATCAAGACTGGTTGCTTCAAAAGGAAACATAATCGTATGGTTCATCACAAGTCAGTCAATAAGTTTTATTGTTTTCTTGGAGCTTCTTTTGATTTTCTTCTGAAATTTCATTTAATTGGTAAGTAATAATCAAAGTCTTATATAGCTCAATTGGGCCAATTTATGCTACATTTTAAACTGTTCAATACTTTTGCCAAAAACAACAGCCATTTGACTTAAGATGCAAGTTATAAATTGAGAAATGGGTTAAAATGTATTTTAAATATAATAAATGAGTTAACCTGATAATTTCCCGTTGATTTTGATTTCCTCATGATTATCACAGTTAACCTGAACTGTGTTGATTTAAGGGTGAATCTTGGTGATGATAATAAAGGTGATTTAGCAAGATTATGTTGAACAAGTGGCAATAAATTTAAGGTAGACATTATCAATCAAGGAGTAAATCAAGGAGTAAATCAAAGAGTGAAAAGTTGAACCATTTAACATGACAAAAGTAAAAACCAATATTGCAGTAAACAGTTGCATTGATTATCATTTGAGCACTTGAATATGAATCTAAATACCTTGATAGGTAAGCTGCAGAAGCTTTAAACCAAACATGATCATCTTGATCATGAAGAGAAACAAGATAAACAAAAATTGAACCAAATTGATTGAATATGCTTTATGCTCAGAATAAACCTTTGAATTACTTTCCATTATCAAATTGATCCATCTCTATTATTACTGTTATTATGATTATTTTGAATATTTGGCTGAAGATGATGGATGAAGATTTGGATGAAAAACTTGAGATGAAAAGTTTCTTGAAAAAAAAGATTCAGATTTCAACCTCCCACTGATAATCAAAGTAAAAAAGGGATAAAATTAAGATAACGTTAAATGCATGAAAATTGATTTTCATTTCATCTTCTCAAAGGTTTTCTCATTTCACATCATTCACATCGTCATCGTCATAAATGATAACCAACATTGATACTTACCATGAAACATGAATAAAAATCTGAATGATTTGAAGAAGTAAAATATTCCAACAATGATAGAAATCTTTTTCTTTGCAATTCAATAGTCTAATTCATTGAATTTGATCTTGATCAAACTGTTATTCAACGATTGATTTACTAATGACAAGATTAATGATCATGAAAGTTGCATTCAGACAATGGAATCAATAATTAAGAGCAAAATTCATTCTAATATCCAATTGACCAACTAACCTTAATTTGTCCGTATCAAGACCCAATCCAAGAGGTAATTTCAGTGCAACAGAGTCGAGTTACAAGGATTAAAATTGATCTCACCCTTTGCTACTAACATCATTGGACCAAAGTTTGACAATTAACTTTATATTGTTCAACAATCTATTCAATTAAGAAGCATAAAAAGATGAATGAAATTATAATTAATAACTCTTGTCTTGAATAGGCTATTGAATTGTCGCTTAATGATGACAAGATGATGGGATAAGATTTGTTTTGAAGACAAAAAAGACAATATTAGTGATGTTATTGTTTAATAAAATGATAAACTCAACCAAACCATTTTTGGGTTGCTCTCTTCGTTACGAAGTCACAATGCTATATAAAAGTTGATAAATCATGAGAATGTTTGAGTTTTATTGTTGAGTACAAGATAATGGTGACGATAGTAATCTAGTTTATTGGTTAAAATGATTGAATCTAATTATAAGCAAGAAAAATGGTTCAACAATTGTTTATCATGTTATTACGATTTTCCTTCCCAGTCAATCCTCATTTGATAAATGTTAACTTATGCTTGACGTTTGATGCTCAGTTTTGCTGAAGCAAGCTTAATACAATTTGATATAATCAAACAAATGAAGTTTTTTTGTTTCTTCATTAAGGCAAACCAGAAATGAGTCGAGTTAATCACCACTATTAACGTAATTTTCATGGCAATTAACTTTTGTCTTCTCATTCAACTTTCAATACAATAGACTTGTAAGCAACCAGATTTTGGTTTTTCGCCCATTCTTCAAGTTTACTATTTTGTATTAAAATTGTCAACAAACTAATCAATATTTTAATCAAGTTTGTGTCTTTATTCAATCAATGATTGAAATGCTAAATCAAATGAAAAGCAATAAAATCTACTGAAAAGGTTTGGATTAGTTTTTCACTAAAACCTTTTCCACTTTAAACCTTTCAAAATGAAAACCTTTTTTTCTGGTTTCAATCAAAAAAAACACTTTTGACTGTAATTTGACTTTTGATTGCATCTTAAAGAGTTTCAATATTTCAATTGAATACTTTAAATTGAATCAAAAGCAAATAATATTGAGCCTGACAACAACATGAACCAGGAACGAGATGGATTGATATGAAGATGAGATGCTTTTTTGAGTCTCAAGCTCACATATCAATATCATTGAACTTTCCTTGTTAATCATGCTTTTATTTTTCATCTATTTTTTTGATTCCACCAACAATTGATCATTTCAATTTGATGGAAACATTTGCTCAAAATAAGTGAACCTTGAATGTGCTTTATAAAGAGGCAGACAAGTTGCCTTTGTTACAAGTTACAAGCCTTACTTGTCTAGGTTAAAGTGAATCAAAGAGTCACCTTCAACATGAGGGAATTGAAGAGCGTTTGTTTAAACAAAAAGGTAACATTGTACCATTAAATGGTTTTGTATTATCATTGATAAACACTGTTGGACTACAAAGCTCAGCTATTAACTGTGATAATATCATTGCAAACATTATTCATTCACGGTTATTTGATAAATGAAAATACATTAGCCCTTCAATGGTTTTTACCAGCGTTTTGCGACTCACCATTTCCATTGTTGTGTCTGTTACCCAAAACCTTTCCCTGGTTTGACTGATTTTTGGTTTTCGGGGGTTTTAAAGTCAACATAATGTCATTGATTGTAGCCATGGAAGTTGGTTAACTATCACTGTTTAATGCACAATTGTTAAGAATATCGGATAAAAATGAGAAAAACATTTACATATCAATATCTTGATAACATATTCAAACGGCTTGAAAGCCATATGATAATCGATATTGATCTCGATTGTATCGATGACCATCTTTGATAATTAAATCAGTTATGATTGATTAATTTTCATTTGCATTTTCTTTTAATTGTTCATCCATTGTGTAGATAATAGTTGAAAGGTCTTGATTCAATTTTCATTTACAGTGATAAAGATCATTCAAATTAAGGTTCAGCCTTTCATTCATTGTCTTGGATCTTCAGTACATTTTGTATTTTGAATGAGAGATTGTTTTTTTCTGACTTTTTCATTGTACTTTTCATGTATTCATAGATTAACCATGTAGATACGATTAAACTGAAAGATTTGAAACTTGAGGTGAGTTTTTATTGAGCTAATTTAACAGACAATTACCAGTTTCTCAGTATTAACCGTTGACAAGTTTTACATTTTTACTTGCAGTTTCACAAAAAACTTTCAATTGTGGTGATGAAGTTTGTTAATGATGTAGCCTTAGTAATAACCAAAGTTTTGAACATTTTACTTATCATCAAATCATTTCTTGATTGTTCATTTTGTTCACCTATTGTTAACCATCAGCATCGTCATCAACAACAACAAGATCATTATGGTATGAACCAAAATGATAGAAAAAAGCCACAAACATGATAAAATTCAGAGATGATGATCATAATGATGATTATGTAAAGATGTTGAACATGTTGCAAAACAAGAATGTTTGAAATGTCTTTATAAAAACTGCTTTTCGCTGGTTTATTAAGCTTTTATTTTGTTTCCACCTTTCATACTCATTACAATAGAGTTGCGAGTAAACTTACTGATAATTTACTGTGTTCATCTTTTAAATGTTCAACTATTAACACCTCGAAAACAACTGATGATAACATTAATGATGGTCAACATTTTCGTTAAAAATCTCTATTGTTCAGCTTCTATCTTTTCATGTTGACAGGAAAAATTGCACATTTAAATTTCGAGCTCATTGAAGATCAATAATTGATTAAGAGAGGGCGATAGCCATAATTAGACGTCATTTTTTTTATTGACGAGTTGTATTGTCTTATAAGCTTTATATTGTATTGTATAAATATTGATTGTTTTTGTTAATTATTAACTTATTGTTATGTTATGACATCTGCAGTTATCTAGGGAAGTGGTTATATTGTGTCTCTGGTAATTAAATTTTACAAAAAGAGGTAAGAAAATCAAATTATTCATTGTTTCTTGCAAATTAAAAAAACAGCTTTAGTTTACTGAATATTTCTTTCTTAAGACTAGGTTGACTATGAGAGACTACTGAATTTGAATTCTGTATTTTATATTTCTGGTATTCATCGTGGATAAAGATTAATTTTCCTGGTAATTATGGTGTTTAATTTAAAACGTTGAATTGAAACAATATTCACGAAATTTCATTAAACTGACTGGTCTTGACCAATGATGGATATGAAAAGAGTTGTAATTTGCCAAAAGATAGATTCAGACGATCTCTTTGTATCAAGATAATTAGTGGATTATTGATGGGCTAATGATGATTATGATGGCTCATGATGTTGATGGCGATGATAATAAAAGAGTAACTTCAATCACTTACGGTTGTATTAGCAAATACAAAAAAATCTCAAGGGATTAAGCAACCTCGGATTGAGTTGGTGGTGATGATGATGATGAATTGGTGGAAGACAAGGAGAAGAAAATTTGGAACCATGAAAAGAAATAAAAGTGATGAAGCAGAAGAGGAATCGACAAAAGGAAATTAATGATGCTGTGAGTATCTTCAGATTAACCACGCGACTTTTGAAACAGTTTAAAGATCAGAAAAGGTTTGATTTTTTTGCTAATTTCAATCAGAATAAGTTTCTTGTTCGAAAGCTACTCAATGATGAAAAGATACGCTAAACAGCATCTTAATGAGAGAATATTAAATTGGAAAAGTAAATCAATTTAAACCTTTTAAAATCTTTACTTAATTTTAATTGAGCTTTAATTAAATATCTAACTGAATCTTTTTTTTCATTAATTTCAGTGACTTGGGAAATGCCTTAATATGGTTTCACATTCAATGTTTAATCAATTGTTTGCAGCTATCATAAATGGGAAAGATGTTCACTCATGATGTTGATAGTGATGGTGATGATGGTAATCATGGCGTTTGATTTAGAGATCTTGATTGACATTAATTAAGTTAAAGGAAAATAATCAACTAACCCAGAAAATGAACCTTAAAAACCTTGAAAAGCCTTCAACCTTTACTCTCTTTGCCTGATGTAAATTGATATTTACAAGACCTGGGTTTGTTGATGCTGCCACATTTTAAACAATTTTTAATAAACCAGCCGATTGTCAATCAATGCTCAATTTGGCCCAATAATTTAATTGAATTTACAACGGCATAAATAATTGAATTTGAACACAAACAAACCAGTTAGCAGCTGAAAATGTTGATTATTGCAAGTGAACTTCAAAAATGAAAAACTGGTAAGTTTAGTATTGTATAAATCAAAGCATAAACATTGAGGCCCTATTTATTTAAGTATACTTTATTTGCTGGTTCACTTCTTTTGTACATCAATTGACTGAACTAATTTAATAACAATTTTTATTATTTTATGGATAAATAATTAACTTACATTACTTAATCAAGAATTGCTTGAATTTCCTTATCCAGAAAAATATTCAAAGTCAAAACGGGCAACTCAGGAAAAGGCTGACCAACAAGATTAACTGTCTAACCTGATGGTACTTGGATGACTCAAAGACTTTACCACTAGTGGGAACCCTTGGTGTGAAAGCTGCCTTAATTGTGATTAATGTCTTGTCCATATGATCAGTTCCCAATAATGTCCCATAATGAAGTCAATTTT